AGTCAGAAGAGTGACGTCATTTTACCTTTGTTGCAAGTCCCTTTATTTATTTTTTTTTAAATATATTTTATTGATTTTTAACAGAGAGAAAGGGAGAGAGATAGAGAGTTAGAAACGTCGATGAGAGAGAAACATCAACCAGCTGCCTCCTGCACACCCCCTACTGGGGATGTGCCCGCAACCAAGGTACATGCCCTTGACCGGAATCGAACCTGGGACCTTTCAGTCCGCAGACCGACGCTCCATCACTGAGCCAAACCGGCTTCGGCTGTTGCAAGTCCCTTTAATGTCGGACTGGAGGAGAGGGACTCTCCTGTCCGCTTGTGCACTTGCTCTGCTGTGGTTTTTGCACATTGTGAAGTCTTGTGAAAACTCCCCAGCACCACCACGAGAAAAGGAGAGTGGAAAAAGAAAACTAAAACTTAATAGTCTTCGTACTATTAAGGAAACAGTTTGAACTTGCAGACCCCTGAAAGGTCTCGGGATCCTCAAGGTTTCCAGAACACCCTTTGAGAATCACTGTTCTATATCAGGGTGTGCAATTACTTTTTTAAAAAGGCATACATAGCCAAAACTGGTTTGGCTCAGTGGATGGAGCATCGGCCTGCAAACTGAAAGGTCCCAGGTTCGATTCCTGTCAGGGACATGTACCTTGGTTGCAGGCACATCCCCAGAGGGGGGTGTGCAAGAGGCAGCTGATCAATGTTTCTGACTTTCTATCCCTCTCTCTTCCTCTCTGTAAAAACTCAATAAAATATATTTTAAAAATAAAAATAAAAGGCATAAATAGTACATGGTGCTGATGCTGTGAGCCACCTGGTCTTCTGGGTTCTGCTGTTGTACCAGGAGAACAACCATAGGCAACATTAAACAAATGTGTTCCAATCATTTCTGTTCATGAGAACAGGAAGCAGGATAGATTCGACCTGAGGGCTGCAGTTGGCCAACCTCAGTTCCAGACAGTGATAAAAACCAAGGTGTTGAATCTTCCCTGCAAATCCACATGGCTGCTCCTTCCCTTCATTCCAGATTTACTCAGTGCCATCTCAAAGAAAGCTTCTCTGATGACCCCATTATCACAAGGCCCATCACTCTGAAGTTCCATCTCCCCCCTCGTTTAGCTTCATCCCTTCTGCCATCACCTAACCTGTTACTTATTTAATATGCGTCTCCCCCACCTAGAACAAGTGAACTTTACTTTATGCCCAGTGTCCAGAACAGTGCCCGCATACAACAGGCACTCGACCCAAGTTTGCTGAATGAATGGACTTGCTTTTGATTTGCCTGTTTGTTTAAGTCTCACATTTCAATTTCTCTTTTGTGTTTTTTTTTTTTTTCAGTTGTGAGGATTCACCCAAGAAATAGAACATGTAAAGAACCATGTGCTTTATTTATTTAATTAATTAATTTTTTTTTTTTTTAGAAAAGCTGGTCATTGACACTATGAGCATGGAATTTGCCCCTTCCCTTTAGGAAATTAAAGTCTGAGAAGTATAAGTCTAAACAGCATACAGTGAGAGCCTGAAGTAGGAGTTGGAAAGCCTGTGTCTCCTTTCAGCTCAGCCACCTGCCAGGGGTGGGACCCATCTCCTGATCTTCAGGTTTTCCAACCGAGACCCAGGGAGAGGGTCACGTTTGTCCTGCCAGATTTGTCACATTGCTGAGGGAGGTCCCCGAGGGCGAGGGAACCAGACTGTCCAAGGGAGAGGCGGTTTCTAGGGTGGCTAGAACAGACTCGCCCACAGCGAGTCACGCACAGCTGAAGTGGCACGCAAAGTGCTCTCCTAACCCATGCCTGTTGGCTCAGGAGGTGTGCCAGGGTAGGGAAGGGAGAAAAGCCTGAGGAAGAGGACAGAAAGGATCACCCAAGCACAGGGCTGGGCCCAAGAACACAGCCAAGATGCACATTCATTGCAGCCAAGTTAAACTACAATGAGGTTATCTCCTCACACCTGCCAGAATGGCAACCACAGAAAACAAAGTTTCATTGCATCCTTCAGGGGAGTGATCAGGGCAAGAAGGTGGCAGCACTCTGGTTTGGGTCCATCTAAACAACAATAAGACTCCCAGATGGTCACAAAGGGAGCACAGTGCAGGTCCGCTCCTCAGGGCAAGCACAGCAGGTTCTTTCTAAGAGCAGTGCATCTGGAGATTGTCAGGGGGAGTGACTGCCAGTGGGCATGGGATTTCATTTCGGAGGGGGAAAATGCTCTGGAATTAGAGCAGTGGTTCTCAACCTTCCTAATGCTGTGATCCTCTAATATACAGTTCCTCATGTTGTGGTGATCCCCCCAACCATAAAATTATTTTTGTTTGCTACTTCAAACTGTAATTTTGCTACTGTTATGAATCATAATGTAAATATCTGATATGAGGATATCTTAGGCGACCCCTGTGAAAGGGTTGTTTGACCCCTAAAGGGGTCCCAACCCACAGGTTGAGAACCGCTGAATTAGAGAATGGTGATGGTTGCTTGTGTTCATGAATATACCAAAGATCACTGCATTGTAAAGGATGAAAGTTATGATATGACTTATAGCTCAATTTTTAAAAATTAGAATGCCTGCCCCAGCCCACATGGATCAGTTGGTTGGACATTGTTCTGTGCACTGAAGAGTTACTCTTTCGATTCCTAGTCAGGGCACATGCCTCAGTTTGGGGCTCAATCCAGTAGTGGGTGTGGTGTGCAGGAGGCAACCAATTGATTTTTTTTTTTTTTAGAGCCTGATCTTATGGTTAATGTTAATATTGTAATGATTGGAAATAATTGTGCTGGAATATGCAAAGGCCAGGCTGTTTTATGTAGCAAAACTTTTATGAAATCCAAGGACCCCTAAGATAGAAGCTGTCCCAACACAGCACAGAGAAAACTATTCAAAACCAAACAATGGACCCTCATATTCTAAAAGTCCGCTCAGTCACTTGTCACAGGATTCCTCACAGATCATTCTCTTCTCTCTAAAACTGAGAGTTCAAAAGCAGATGCAAATAAATATGGAAATTTAAAATATAATAAAGATGCCTTTCAATTCAACAGATGAAGAGTGGAATATTTTATTAAATTATGTTAGGACAATGGACAATTCATTTAGAAAAATAATAAAGTTAGATCTGTGTACTTCTGTGTAAAGTTCTCATTGTAAAAAAAAAAAAAAAAAAAAAAAAAAAGAGTAACTATTCACATGGAGTAATTAAAGACATTAAGACACAGTATGGAAAATACGTTTGTTTATATATCCCAGGCTTGGAAGAACTTAAACAAATTGATATCCAGAAACCATTAAAGGAAAGGTTAACCAGATTGACTCCTCCAAAATGAAAATGCTGTATGAGAAAAGAGGAAGAAGAGCCCAGGAAAAAATGTTTGCAACATACATAAAAAGCTAAGTGTTAATGTTCTAATACTAAAGAAACTTGTAATAATTAGCTATTAAAAAGGCAAATAGCACTCAAAAACATGGTTAAAGAATGTGAATACAAAAAAAAAAATCTGAATACATAATTCACAGAAGAGTAAATGCAAAAGACCAATCCTATATAATAAAAGAGTAATATGCAAATTGACCATCACTCCAACACACAAGATGGCTGCCCCCATGTGTTCAAAGATGGCTGCCCCCATATGGACACAAGATGGCCATCACAAGATGGCCAGTAGAAGAGGGCAGTTGGGAAGGACCAGGTTTGCAAGGGAAGACAGTTGGGGATGATCAGGCCAGCAGAGGAGGGAAGTTGGGGATGATTGGGCCTTCAGGGAAGAGCAGTTAGGGGCAACCAGGCTGGCAGGGGAGCAGTTAGTCATCAATCAGGCTTGCAGGAGCAATCAGGAAGGCAGAAAGGTGAGAGTTGGGAGCCAGCAGTCCTGGATTGTGAAAGGGATGTCCAACTGCCCGTTTAGGCCCTATCCAGGCAGTCGGACATCCCTTGAGGAGTCCCAGATTGGAGAGGGTGCAGGCTTGGCTGAGATACATGCCCCCTCCCACCCGCCCCATGCATGATTTTTATGCACCAGGTCTCTAGTATATCTATGAAAATTGAAGCAGCTAGGTAGAATTTTTTTACCAAAATATTTAAAAGTTGGAACACATCTGAAGTTGGAGACGGTATGGAAAAAAACTAGAACTTTCATATACTGTTGACCCAAGTATAAGATTGTTCATCACATTGAAAGCCATTTGTTACATGTGTAATATGTGCAGAGCATTAGACCTAGCAACACTACTCCTAAGGATTCTTGGCCTACAATAGTAACAGCAAGATTATGGAAATATGTGAATATAAAGAACTTATTTTTAAATGGTTAGCACAGTCTTATTTATAAAAGGGAAAAGTAAAAAAAAATAACCATCAATCAATATTGTTTACTTGAATAAACAACAGGGCATCCAAAGAATCTTATGCAACTCTTAAAAAGAATGTCACACATTTGTATGTAATGGCTGTAAAAAGGTCCATTATTTATAGGCAAGTGAAAAAGATAAAGAACAGTATGTCCAGTCTGATGCTAGACTTCATTTTCATAAGATGAGTGTAAGAATTTACATTAGCTATAGGCATATATCTGAAATAACTTCAGAAAAATTTGGATAAGATACATATGAAACTGCTAAGAGCATTTTCCTAAGGGGGTTGCATTAGATTAAAAATGAAAAGTTTCATTTCTTACTATGTTTTTCAGTATTTTTTCCAAAACAATATTAAAAAATGCAGCCTGGAAATTAAATACAATTAACTCAGTTGAATACACATGAGTATCAAAGGGGACAGTGTTATAAAATTTCCTAACATAGTTAAAAGAACTGACGCAAAATAATCCATTGAACCAGAAAGGAAGTCCAAATGTAACTAATACAAATTACGAATCATGGTTCAGTGAAGCATGTTTGTTTTCATTCCTCTGCAAGCCACCCTATTCTGACGAGATCGGATGCGTTCAGGGTGGAATGGCCGTAGACTGCAAGCCATCCTATTCTGAGCCTGGGAAACCAGAGGTAACTCACCTGTGACAGTGGCTTTCTTGGGTGGCAGTTGATGCCGCCAATGAAGATCATGTTGGGCATCACAGGTTTGGGATAGTCCAAAACAAAGTCATTTCGTAACAACCAAATGGATGGTTGGCTGACCAGGTCATAGGCTGTGACAGACGTCTGGAGAATCTCAGAGGCAACTTCTACAGCAGTTTTGAAAAAATAGCCACAAAATAAATGTTCCTCCAAGTGGATAATGTGATTCCACACTCTCTGCCTGAAGGTCATGGTATCCGATAATGAAAAGAGACCTCTCGGAACATAAGAAAGAGGGCTGGGGCACTGCGCACCTTCTTCCAGATAGTGGCATAACAGTCCCCTGGTGAAGACCACAGATGGGAGTGAAAAATATTTGGCTACAATCAAGCCACACATGTCAAAAGGGTCCAGAAACACCGCATCAAAAGAATTATCTTCTATGTATTTTACTAATTTTTTGTCTTTAAATAAACTTCTACAATTTGAAAAAAAGTATTCAAAAACACTGTTAGATGAACTCAATAGCATAGAATGTAAATACTGGGCCCGAGTTTTCCACTGAGAGTCAGCAAAAATCCGGAAGTGATCATTCAGATCCTCCAGACTGTAAGATGTGGAGTAAGTCTTGACAGTATAACTGGTTGATTGTCCCAGGCGCCAACTCACCTCTGGCCTGACCACCACCACCTCATGCCCTCTGTGGCTGAGTTGTTCCACCACGGATCGCATGGTAAACCAGTGGCTCCCATCCATGGGTATGACCAGCAGCTTGCCTGCCTGGGCAAAGCCAGATGCCATCAGGAGGCACACACAGAGAGGAAGGAGGCCAGTCAACACTGCAGGAGCCATTGGACAGCGGCAGCCTGGAGCAGCCCAGCTGTCAAGCTTGCATGATATAGTCGGCAGAAGAAATATAGGCACAAAGCCTGCCCCAAGGGAGGGTGTGTGTTAATATATTCATAAGAGCACGCACGCAACTGATTGCCAATGATTTACTCATCAGAATATAATGAATGAAAGCATTTACTGAGGTACCTCCTGGCACATTTCCAGTAAGAAGACTCTTGATCTTTGCCTGGGCAGAGATCATGCCCTATGCCAGTTTACAAAGAGAATTATTAAGCAATGATCTTTGGACCCTGAGTACTCAGAAAAATAATAAATAAACTAAGCTCTAACCAGTTTGGCTCAGTGGATAGAGAGTTGGCCTATGTACTAAAGAGTTCCAGGTTTGATTCAGGTCAGGGGGTGGGGGAATGTTCCCTGGTTTTGGGCACATCCCCAGTAGGTGGTGTGCAGGAGGCAGCTGATTGATGTTTCTCTCTCATCGATGTTTCTGACTCTCTATTCCTCTCCCTTCCTCCCTGTGAAAAATAAATAAAATATATTCTAAAAAATATATAAAGTAAATTCCAATAAAGCTGGTATTTTGGGAATTTGTCCCCAAGGAAAAATTGGATTTTATCCTCAGACTACCAAAGTCTCTTTGCCCAGAAAGAGATTGACATCCTGGGTTCCAAGGAAAGACTGGAAGCCCCTTTCCACTGACCTGCTCACTGGCAATGGAAGTACGTTTCACGGGGTCTCTGGAGCGCCCAGCATCGCCGCCTGTCTAGTTGCATTTCCATATCTCCAAAATGGTGGGATAAGATTGACAACTCCACCTACACGAGCATCCTAGCAATGGATGCAACTATCACCTATTTTAAATCAATATCCCTAGATACATCACATGCAATGGATGGTCACTGTCACTACTTGCAGGGACTCCTCTCTCTTTTCTCTCTGCTTCCTCACCCTCCTATTTAGACCTCTGCAGTGGGCTCACCCCAATGAGGCTGGCATTCTCCTTCAGGAGTCTCTGTATCTGTCCTCCATGTCCTACCAAGCATGTCCTGAGGTCAGGGGATAAGTCTTTAAGTTTGCACTCTCCTCCCAAAGTTCCTGTGCTGTGCTTCATACAGAGAAAGCACACGGGGAATGTTTGTCGAGTTGAACTGACTTTCATTTTGCAAGTTTTCTAGATAACTTATTGTGAGAGCTCAATGGTGTAAGACCCTGAGGAACATTTATTCAGGGATGCTAGAGCCAATCTGGACCATAATCTTTGTGAAGGGTTAAGATGGCTCCTTCGGAAACACCCAGACTGCTACTAGACATTTGCTCAGTCACCATTTATCTTAATGACTGGGAGACTCTGAGATCAATGTCTGAAAAATAAAAATGCTGTTATTTAATCTCTCTTCCTGGGACGTTTACTTCAGGGTAAATATCAGTAAAATGAAAAACAATAGAAATTATCAGTGAATCTAAATGCTGGTTCTTTGAAAACTTGAAATAACTAGATACTAGCCAAACTGGTCAGAAATAAGCAGAGGAGAAAAAAATTACCAATATCAGGAATGGAAAGATGACATCATTACAAATTCTAAAGCTATTAAAAGAAAAATAGCTCTTTTCAAGCAATCTATGCTATCTGCATAGTTGCTGCAGTATTTTCCCAGCTGCACAGCCCACGGCCATTTCAGCCCTGAGCAGAGGAAGGAAACCGAATCAACAGAGCATCATCACACACACTAGGCCTCCTTACCCAAGCCACCTCAGCCTAGCAAGCTAGCGCCTAGGAGCCACAAGCATCTGCCCAGCTCCAACTGGCCTGCTAAAACCATTCAGCACACATAGCCTACCCAGATGTCTTTTCTACATAGACTACTTTTTCAAGACTAGGAGAGATAGCAATTTTGTCTACTTTGTATAAATAAGCACAAACAAACAAAGTCAAACAAAATGAGAAGACAGAAGAATATATCTCAAATAAAGAAACAAGAAAAATTTCCACCAAAGAACAAAACAGAATAAGTAATTTGCCTGATAAAGAATTCAAAGTAATGGTCAAAAGAATGCTCACCAAACAGGAGAGTAGAATAGAGGAATTCATGAAGAACTTCAACTAAGAGTTAGAAAGTATAATAAAGAAACAATAAGAGATTAACAATATAATAACAAAAATAAAAAAATACTCTAGGAGGAATAAACAGAAGATTAGATAATACAGGAGAATGAATCCATGAACTAGAAGATAATTGGCAACCAACCAATTAGAGCAACACAAAGAAAAACTAATTCTTTTAAAATTCTTTATTGTTGAAAGTATTACATACTTCTTCCCCAATTGACCTCTCCCAACCTGCTCCCACCCCCAACATATGCCTTCACCCCCATAGAAAAAAATAATTTTTTAAAAATGAGGAGAATTTAAGGGACCTCTGGGACAACATCAATCACACCAACATTCACATTATATGGATCAGAGAAGAAGAGAGAAAAGTGAATAAGAAGTTTATTTCAGGAAATAATTCTGAAAAACTTGCCTAATGTGGGAGAGGAAATAGACATCCAGGTCCAAGATAGACAGAGTTCCAAACAAGATGAACCTCAAGACCCACACCAAGAATATTGTAATTAAAAAAACAGCAAAAGTTAAAGATAAAGAAACTATCTTAAAGGTAGCAAGAAGAAAACAACTAGTCACATACAGTAGACCCACCTAAGGCAGTGGTCGGCAAACTCATTAGTCAACAGATCCAAATATCAACAGTACGATTGAAATTTCTTTTGAGAGCCAAACTTTTTAAACTTAAACTTCTAATGCCACTTCCTCAAAATAGATTTCATGGTATTTTGTGGAAGAGCCACACACTCAAGGGGCCAAAGAGCCACATGTGGCTCATGAACCACAGTTTGCCAACCACGGCCCTAAGGGTATCAGCTGATTTTTTCAACAGCAACTTTCTGGCCAGAAGAGAGTGGCAAGACATATTTAAAGTGCTGAAAGAAAGGAATATACAAACTAGAATACTCTACTTAGCAAGGTTATACTACCCGTGTTTCCCCGAAAATAAGACATCCTCCGAAAATAAGACCTAGCGCATGGGAAGATAAGACATCACCTGAAAATAAGACCTAGTGCAACTGTGGGAGAAAAATTAATATAAGACACTGTCTTATTTTCGGGGAAACAGGGTAGTAATTCAGAATTGAAGGAGAAATAAAGTGTTTCCTGAACGTGCAAAAACAAAAGTTCATCACCAATGAATCAGATTTATAAGAAATATTAAAAGGTCTCCTTTAAGCAAAAAAGAAAAACCCATAATCAGAAATAAAAAAATATGTAAAAAGAAAATCTTATATAAAGGCAAATATTTAATAAATACAACACATGAGCCATTTAAAAACTATGAACTATGAAGTTCATGAGACAAAAGTAGCAAACTTAACTATGATTGTTAAGCAGATACACAAAACAAAAAGATCTGAAATGTAAAAAAAAAAATAAATCTGAAATGTAATGTCAAAAACATAAAGCACAAAGGGAGAGTAAAAATTTGAGTATTTTCAAACACTCATACCTATCAGAAAAAAAAGGAAGTGGGTATGAGGCATATCTTACCAAATATTAAAACTTACTGCAAAATATGACACTGGCACATGAATAGGTAAATAAATCAGTGGTACAAAACTAAAAGCATAAGAGCAGATGTAAATAAATATGGAAGTTTTAAATATTATAAAGATGCATTTCAATCCAATAGATAAAAAATGGATTTTGTATTAAATTATGATAGGACAATGGACTCTCCAATCAGAAAAATAGTAAGTTAATATCTCATTTTATATAAAAGAAAATCTCATTGTAAAAAAAATGATTAATATTAGAGGACTTAAAAAATTAAGACACAGTTTGGAAAATATGTTTATATATCGTGGGCTTGGAAAAATCTAAATGAGTTGAAATCCAGAAGCCATTAAAGGAAAAGTTAACCAGATTGACTACTGTATGACAAATAAGAAAGAAAAGCCCAGGAAAAAATATTTGCAGCATAAATAAAAAGCCAAGTGTTAATATTCCCAAAATACAAGAGACATAGAAATTAGCTCTACAAAGAAAAATATTCCTACAAAAGATGATCAAAGAATGTGAATACATAATTTACAAAAAATGCAAATGACCAATATATCTATGAAAATGGAAGCAGCTATGTAGAATTTTTTTTTAACAAAAAATTTAAAAGTTGGAACACATCTGAAGCTGGAGATGGTATGGAAAACCTAGAACTCTCATACACTGTTAACCAAAGTGTAAGGCTGTTCAATATTTTGGAAGCTTGTGGGCAGGGAAGGTGGGTGGAGGTGAAAGAGGACAAAGAGGGCATACATGGTGATGGTAAATAAAACAAACAAACAAATGAATAGATAGATAAATAAATAAATAAATACAATTTTGAAAGCCATTTGTCAAATGTGTAAGATGTGCATAGCATAAACCTAGCAACCCTATTCCTAAGGATTCTGGCTTACTAGGATAAGAACAAGATTATAGAAATGTGTGAATGTAAAGAACTAATTTTCAAATGTTTAGTACAGTCTTAATTATAAAAGGAAAAAGTAAGAATAAAAGCTTAACTATCAATCAATATTACTTACTTGAATAAATTATGGTGCATACAAAATAAAGAATCTCATGCAACTCTTAAAAAGAATGTCACACATTTGTATGTAATAGCAGTGAAAAGGTTCATGATTTATAGGCAAGTGAAAGGATAAAGAACAGTATGTCCAGTCTGATACTAGACTTCATTTTCATAAAATGAGTGTCAGAATTTACATTAGATATATGCATATATCTAAAATAACTTCAGAAAAATAAAATTAAAAAAGCATACAAAACTACTAAAAGCATTTTCCTATTGCGTAGCACTGGATAAACAAAAACAAAGACGTTTTATTTCTTATTGTGTTTTTCAGTGTTTTTGTATACAATTATTTTTCTATACAATTACTGCAACTGTAAAGAATCTCATGCAACTCTTAAAAAGAATGTATACAAATGAGTGTCAAAAGGGACAATGCTATAAAATTTGCTAACACAGAATTAAATGGATTGACCCAAAATAATTCATTAAACTAGGAAGGGATTCCAAATGCAACTAACGTAAATTTATGCTTGTTCTCTTTCCTGTGCAAGCCACACTATTCTGAGCCTGGGAAACCAGAGGTAACTCACCTGTGACAATGGCTTTCCTGGGTGGCAGTTGATGCCACCAATGAAGATCATGTTGGGCATCACAGGTTTGGGATAGTCCAAAACAAAGTCAGTTCGTAACAACCAAATGGATGGTTGGCTGAATAGGTCATAGGCTGTGACAGACGTCTGGAGAATCTCAGAGGCAACTTCTAAAGCAGTTTTGAGAAAATAGCCACAAAGTAAGTGTTCCTCCAGGTGGAAGATGAGGTTCCGCACTTTCTCCCTGAAGGTCATGGCATTAGAGAACCCTAAGAGAAACCTCGGAACATAAGAAAGAGGGCTGGGGCACTGCGCACCTTCTTCCAGATAGTGGCAAAACAGTCCCCTGGTGAAGACCACAGACGGAAGTGAAAAATATTTGGCTACAATCAAGCCACACATGTCAAAAGGGTCCAGAAACACCGCATCAAAAGAACTGTCTTCTATATATTTTACTAATTTTTTGTCTTTAAATAAACTTCTACAATTTGAAAAAAAGTATTTAAAAATGGTGTTTGATGGATTCATTATCAGGGCAATCACACTTTGATCCCGAGTTTTCCACTGAGAGTCAGCAAAAATCCGGAACTGATCATTCAGATCCTCCAGACTGTAAGATGTGGAGTAAGTCTTGACAGTATAACTGGTTGATTGTCCCAGGCGCCAACTCACCTCTGGCCTGACCACCACCACCTCATGCCCTCTGTGGCTGAGTTGTTCCACCACGGATCGCATGGTAAACCAGTGGCTCCCATCCATGGGTATGACCAGCAGCTTGCCTGCCTGGGCAAAGCCAGATGCCAGCAGGAGGCACACACAGAGAGGAAGGAGGCCAGTCAACACTGCAGGAGCCATTGGGCAGCGGCAGCCTGGAGCAGCCCGGTGGTCTGGATTCCAAGCTTGTGGGATACAGTCGGTGGAAGAAGCACAGGCACCAAACCTGCCCCAAGAGCAGTCTGAGGATAAAATCCAATATTTCCTTTGGGACAAATTCCAAAAAATGCAAGCTTTATTGAAATGTTCTTTTCAATCTTCCCGAGTACACAGGGTCCAAAAACAGTTGGTTAATAATTCTCTTTGTAAACCAGCATTGAAGTCACGGCACTATCACTGTCCAGGTAAAGATCAAAACTATTTTTTGTTGTTGTTGTTGCTGTTGTTGTTAATCCTCACCCAAGAATATTTGTTTTTATTCATTTTTAGAGAGTGGAAGGGCAGGGCAGAGACAGAAAGAAACATGGATGTGAAAGAGACACACTGATTGGTTGCCTCCTGTTGGGGTGGGACAAGCCTGCCAACAAAGTTCATGCCCTTGACTGGAATTGAACCCCGGACTCTTCAGTCTGCGGGCCAACGTTCTAACCATTGAGCAAACTATTCTTAGCAGGAAAACATATTGTTCAATATTTTCTTGTGAGTAAATTATTGGCAATGACTGATTTGGGGTTTTTTTTGTTTGTTTGTTTGTTTTTTGTTCCAATATTTGAACACCAAGGATGAATTTCAAATTAATTCTGCACAATAAACTAAGCCAGACAGAAGAATCCATGTTGTGTAATTTCACTATTGTATTTCTTTCCGCCCATTTTTTTTTCTCTCTCTCTTTAAATGCTAACCACAATCCCTCTCAATAAATTTGATAATCCACTAATAACACATGACCTTCGGTTTAAAAGGTTCTTGTTTATAGCATTTGGGTAAAGATTGTATAACAAATAGATTAAGTAACACAGCACAGATAAGGAAATAAAAACGCAAATAAAATTGCAAGTTTTTCAGGCCAGGGTCATGGATTTTTACCTTTGCCAACCACTTGGGTCAAAATCCCAATTTTTGTAAGAGTAATCATGAACTCAAAAGTGTTGGCCCCAAATTATTACTGCTTGCAGAGGTGGGGCCCACAGGCATCTGGAGGTCACTGTAGGTGTGGTGTGCTTCTCTTTAATGCAGGAGGCCCTATGACTTAAGTTTTAGTGAAAAACATTTTTAGAAGGCTATTTAAAATTAAGTACAGTTTTGTGTCCATCCATTGCCTGGATCTCCTCTCCTGACAACATGGCCATTCTTACTTTAATATATATATATATATATATATATATATATATATATATATATATATATATATATAATTGATTTCAGAGAGGAAGGGAGAAGGAGAGAGAGGTAGAAACATCAATGATGAGAGAGAAACAGAAAGAATCATTGGTTGGCTGCCTCCTGCAAGCCCCCCTCCCCCCCATGGATTGAACTCATAACCCGGGCATGTGCCTTTGACTGGAATCAAACCTGGGAGCCTTCAGTCCACAGGCCACCGCTCTATCTACTGAGCCAAATTGGTGAGGACCACATGGCCATTTTTTAGCTTACCTCTGAAGCAAGCCATTTTATCTGTAGACATCCCAGACTTTTAGGAAACTCTTTCTTATAATAACAATTCATAAACTGCCCCCCGACCTAATTTATTTGTTCTGAACATATAGATTACATTCTAATAGCATTCCAATTTTACCACACTAGCTTCCAAGAGTTAATATATTCAAAACATAATTTTTGAGTTTCCTACCAGAGCTTTCCTCCTCTCCCAGTTTGGCTCAGTAAATGCTATTTTCATCTACCTCGTGTTTCAGGTAAAATAATGTACAGGTATCACTGTCCCACAGCCCCTCCATTCAAGCTGAGTCAGTTGGGGTTCAATCAGAGAAGCAGAACCACCAACGCTAATAGTCAGAGATTTGTCGGGATTTGACTCATGTGGGAGTTGGTTGAACGGATCTCTGTTAACAATCTTTGCCTCTATGCTAGAATTTCAGAACATCAGGGTGGGTCTTCTGGAAGGGATCAATAAGCTTGGATCCACAGGAATGAACTTGAATCTACAAGAAGGGACTAGAACTTTGGAGTATTCTTGCTACTCCAACCTTGATGATGTGGGGGTCCTGCAGGACAAGCTGGTGCTCTTCCTCATGAGCTAAACACACACTGAGCAAAGATATGGGAGAAGCTGAAGGAGGAGCCAGGAGGAGCCAGGGCAAGGAAGGGCAAGAGCAGGTCCGACTGCCACTTCATGCCAATGAGTTAAGTCTGCATTTTATGAGCTACAGAAGTGCCTGTCCCACACTTCTGCATGTAAGAAAACAAAATTGCTCCTCAATTTCAGGTAAAAATGTTTCTATGACTAACCCTAATCAGATATAGGAAGGAAATTCTGGGAAATAAAATTCAGCTTAGCCCATTGATGCATTACAAAGCTGCCACATGACCAAGTCCCGTCCTATCTCCAAAGTAGATCTCACATCTACCCCGCTCTCTAGTGCCTGGCCATCATTCCACCATCGTCTCTTACTTGAACTCCAAGAACTGCCTCAAAAATTAGTCTTTCCGCTTTCATGTTTGCCCTGCAGACAGAAGCCAGAGGGGTCTGTTCAAACATCTATCACTATAGTATCATTTGTGTAATACCATTGAATGGCTTCCCACTGCAATTAGAAAACACCCTCGCCTTGGCCAAAAGGTGGATGAGTCCACCTCTTTAACCTCTTTACGTCGCCATTTGCTTTCTCCACTCATTCCAGGCCTCCTTTCTGCATCTGGAACAGGACAGTTTCTACCTCAGGACCTATGTGTTTGCTGTTCTCTCAGCCTGAAGTGGTCTTTCATGAGCTCTTCCTGTGCCTCCTCATTGGGAAGTTCTCCTTTAAGAAGTCTGATCTGAGGCCAATATCAGAAATAGCCCCCATCCTTGCTATTATATTTACTGTCACATCCCTCTGTTATTTCCCTCAAGTTACTTATCACTACAGCTATCATGTAGCTTTTCTTTAGTTTCCTCCATTATAAAGTGAGCTCTATGAATTTAGGGGCCTATCTCAGTCAGATTAAAATGAAATCTCAAACTTCTAGCCCTGTGCCTGTCACTTAGTGGATGCTCATTAAATAAAGATGTTTACTAAGTATTTATTAAAGAATGGATGAATGAATAAATGAATGAACAAAAAAATAAAAAGCAACTCATTATGGCTCCTTGCCAGGAAACTGCTAAACCTCAGCCTGAGTGATTGATCCAACCTTCTTTGCCAGGACTGACCAGCAGACACTGAGGGACGGATGAATGGGTTACTCTGACACGGTTCTGTGAAAGAGAGGCTAATGGGCTGCTTGGCAGGAGGTCCCAAAATAGCCCCCAATTGCCTGCCTCAACAACTTGAATTAAAATTAACCTCTAGATATAATCAACAGGGTAAGCATCCTTGAGAAAGTACATGCTTTCTCAAGGTTGGGTTTAAAGAAGAAACACAGAGATTCCAGAAAAATACCCTGGAGGCTCAGACTTGTTTGGAAAAGTCAAGGACCTTCAGCAAGGTCCCCCCTAGAGGCCTCTGACCTTTCAGAGAATCCTCCTTATAGACTTTCCAACCAAGTGCCATGTTTCCCCACACTTCTCTGGCTTTTTTTTTTTTTTTTTTTTTTTTTTTTTTTACAGAGCAGGTTTTTCATCACCTGCTGACCTGTCTGGCTCCTCATAGTCCATGTCATGATCACTCTCTGGAACTTCCAGAGAAGATGCACTCATTTCAGAAACATCTCAGCCTCCATGCCCACATTGTTCTGGTTTTAAGAGCCCATGTCCTGGTGGAGCTACCTTTAAGTGCTCATTCTTGATCAGGGAATGGAAGTTGGAGGAATATCTACAATTTGGAAGAGGGGAATGAAGCACAGCTGGTAAAAGAGAAACAACATGCAGAAAGGGAAGCAGTAGAATAGTGTGCCATGGGCCAGGAAGGAGAGTCTTGAGGCCAAGAAGCAATATGGCCAAGTGAAGTCTAATGAGAACTGAGAACAGACTTTCCCCACTGCAGTTTCCTAGACCTTTGACCTCTTAGCTGGTACGCTGCCTCCAGGTCTTTCCCTACCAATATTTCTGAACACTCCAGCTACAGGAGTCTCCCTTAAGTATTACACTACAAATTTAGTAGTCTGGCATTCACTAGGACTCCTGCCTTGCAGCTATTCTCAGTTTCTCCAGCCTTTAGCTGAAGTCCAGAGGATTTTCTCTCTGTCTCCCCCACTCATTCCAAGCTGGAAGCTGGATTGGATTGGGGAGATGCCAGAAGTAGGGCCTACATACATAAGCTACTGAAAGAGTCCACTAATAATATTCAAATCAGCAAGAGAGGATAATTTTGAGATATTTTTAGTGTATTCTTGTGAATGCTATTTAGAGTTGGTGCAGACAAAACAAACATTGAGGTTATCATAAAGGTTCAAGGCTACGCGGTACATTTTTTTTTTTTTTTTTTTTTTACTAGAGATACACTAGAAAAATGTCTTTGAAAGTGCACGGCCAAGCAGAAGAAGCCTTACACAGTGTTTCCGTTGTTTAGGTAATTTGGGAATTAGCCATTACAAAAGACAAGTGATCTTTGGGTACTCCACCGCAACTAGTGCGGATTGCCGACAGCAATAAGTATACACTTTAAGGTGTGATTGAATGAGCGGCCACCTGACCGATAGGATCCGCGAACCCGGGAACCGCTAACTGACCGCAAAAGCGAGCGCTCCCCTCCCACCCGACTCCCAAACTCGCGGGACAAAAAAGAACTACATTGCCCATAAGGCCAGAGCTCCCGCGGGGCATCCTGGGTCGCGTAGTCCGCGTTCCATAAATTGCTCACGCTGGAAGTTGCCCGAGACACGCCTGCACCAACATGGCGGCGCCTGCTCTAGGGTCGTCTGTTCGCTACGGGTTCTGGCCGGGGCGGGGGTCTGGGCTTTAGGCAGTAAGTGGAGCTGGCGGCCGGGCTTCTGCGGAGGGACCTGGGAGGCCCAGGGGCCGTGTAGGCGGCACGGCCTGCAGAGGGAGAGGCGAGGGACTTCCGGGCCGGCCCGGGGACGCGGAGTTCTGGCGTCCGCCCCGCGGTCCTCGGCAGGAATACTGCCTCCTCGCGCCCCCGGGCCCAGGGATGGCGGGAGGGCTTGAGGGCCTGGCCGAGGCCGGGAGCGGGAGCGACGGGAGTCCAGGCCACGAGCTCGAGGTCAGGCTTTCGAGTCCCATTTCTTGTGCTTTTCTTTTGAGGAAAGCGTTGAAAAAAGAAAACAATCGCATTCCAGCGTTTCCTGTCCCTTGGGAACCGTGCAAGGAGCTTTGCATTTTTCATTTCCATGCGGCCCTCCAGTCGCGCCGCACTTCAAGTGAGACCCTGAGCAAGTGGCCTGGGTCCCTGGGGCAAACGTCAGGATCGCTGGGTGCAGCCTAGGCGGCCCTTTGCTCAGTAATTTTAATGGTCGTGAACGCCTCGCGACTCTCCAGCTTTGGGGCCATGCGCTTAGCTGCTATAAAGGGTCATTAGTTCCATTTAATTCACTTCCGTGTTATCATCTGGTTCAAGGAGTGTGAGAAGCAGAGATTTTAGGAAGTGATTGACTGTTGTCCCAGGCCCTCGTCAGCTCTCAGGATGTAGGCTTGCAGCAGGTCAGATGTGGCAATGGGTATTCTTTCTGTTCTCATTTGGTGATGCCAGTTTGCCTTTTTAAAAACAGCTGTGGTTCATTGTGAGCCAAACCCCGTGCACTAAGTGCCTTTAATTGTCATTTGATTGTTTAAATGACCATGTGTGATCGGCGGTATCCATTTACATATAAGGAACACAGGTTTAGTAATTTGCCCAGGGAAGACAAATTACTAAAACAAAGACTCCCAAGTATAAGATAGGGGGTAATGGGGAGAAAGTTTGTTGTAAAAACAAGAGCATTTTATAACATGTCATCTTTTTTAAAGGTGATATTTGGTTTCACAATGTTTGGGGACCTATTTGAAGAGGATTATTCCAGTGTATCAAATAATCAGTATGGAAAAGGGAAAAAATTAAAGGCCAAACCATTGGAGCCACCTGCTCCTAGAGAATTTACCAATTTAAGCGGAATCAGAAATCAGGGTGGAACTTGTTACCTCAATTCCCTTCTTCAGACTCTTCATTTTACACCTGAATTCAGAGGTATGCTATTATTACATGCATTTGCTGAGTAGCCTGTAACCCTCATCTCCATGTAATTATGCAAGATCACAAAGAGACAAAGTACCTTAAAGGTGTATTCTACAGCATGCGTTTATTGTTAATGTAACATACAAAATGGTAATGTGAAGCTTAAGTTATCTTAAGTATATTCTATGTAATATTTAGTAACAAAATTTAAAATGGCAATATTTCTTTTATATTCCTTATAATTTAAAAGACAACATAAAAACAATTTTGTCATGAGTACTGGCCTTCATTATTGTTATACTATTGGTATTTTTGAGTTTTAAAATTTCTCCAGAGTAATAAACACATAAGCCTGAGTTACCCAAAGCAGTTATATCATTTGGAATGGGGAGGATATCACATTATTTAAACAGTTCGTAAACTTTATTTGCAGTTCTGCAATTCAGGAAACCCTGACAACCTGATATGATTGATCTAAATTTGTTTGAGTGTTAGAAACTGAGCTGATGTGAAACCTTTTATAGTATAGTTATTTCACTTGGGTGAACATTCATTTGTTATAGGAATATTAATCTTGATTAACACACTATTTGTCCCAGACCCTGCTGAGGGTGTAAAATTAACATAATGTTAGCCTTTTCTTCATATTACCGTTGTAAAATCTGGAAATAGTGAATTTCATAAACCCAAGCATGACGTTAGACAAAGGGGTTGTGTGGAAGGAACAGAAACCCATTCAAATTAACTAAATTTCAAAAGGGATTTATTGTAGGAATGTAAGGAAATATCCCAGAAATGACCTACAGGAAGCCAGTCCAACCTTACTGGGCCCTAATTTCTTGCTTTTGTTTCTCTTTACATGTTTATCCCATCCCCATCTCTGCAAACTATTTTCCTCTACAGCAGTGGTTCTCAACCTTTCTAATGCCATGACCCTTTAATACAGTTCCTCATGTTGTGGTGACCCCCGACCATAAAATTATTTTTGTTGCTACTTCATAATTGTAATTTGCTATCGTTATAAATAATAATGTAAATATCTGTGTTTTCCGGTGGTCTTAGGCGACCTTGCTAGCAGTTCTCAACCTGTAAGCTTAAAGACTTCTTTCCTCCAGAGATTTACCATGTCCCCTATTCAGGGCCAGTCTAGTGGATAGGACTGCGTGTGGGATTTAAGAGTGGTTGATTCCATCTCCTCCTTAAAAATATCTCCCTGATGCATTCAGTAATTCCACCATAAGAAATTTTCTGTCTGAATAAGCAGATCCCTAGTGGGGGGAAAGTTAGAACTTTTCCAAGTTTTAATATCGTTGAGGTTTAAGGGCAACCTAAAGTAGGAAAGTAGCCTTAAAAATATACTGAGGCAGGTGTTTGGGGTGGAGCAGGGCATAATGAGTACCACTAAGCAAGAACAGGGCTGAGAGTCCCAGGGCATCTTCTCCAGCCGAGCTCATGGGTTGATATCTTAGTGGGGATTGTGAACTCTGAAGGCTGAGCATGAATCCCAATGCTTATTGAAGGGAAGTATACTTGGGAAAGAGTAAGGACTGAGGGAGAAGAGTGTTGGAGCTTCTTGGAATCATATTTTATGGAGTTAGGCTAGATTGGGTTCCACTGTACTCCCAGTTTAGTGTAGCTGAGAGTAGTGGGAGATGATCGTAAAAGTCCTTATAGTTCATTTTTTTTCCCAGTTCCTCTCAGGAATTCTGGAGAAGTATAACATTCATAATAGTAATCACTAGGCAGCAGTGGTTGCCAGTGGAGGACAACACTCATCCCTTCTCTCCCTGGAGTATATCAAAGTTCCCAGTAGGAGTTCTTATCTAGGTTTGAATAAAGACTTCCCAAAAGATTCATATATTTCCTCATTGGGTGGCATAGCAAGATGCTGTATTGTTTAAAAAACTGGAAGCCCGGTGCACAAATTCATGCAACAGTGGGGTCCCTAGGCCTGGCCTGTGTGATCGGGCCAAAACTGGCTCTCCGATATCCCTTGAGGGGTCCTGGATTGTGAGAGGGTGCAGGCCAGGCCAAGGGATCCCACCAGTGCACGATTGGGGCTGGGAAGGGACCGCAGGAGGGCTCCAGGGTGTATCTGGCCAGTGTCACTCAGTCCCGATTGGCTGGATCCCAGGAGCAAGCTAACCTACCAGTCAGGGTATCTGCCCCCTAGTGGTCAGAGCACATCATAGCAACTGGTTGACCATTCTACTGTCTGCCCCCTGGTGGTCAATGCACATCATAGCGAATGGTTGAGCAGCCTTAGCATATCATTAGCACATTATGCTTTGATTGGTTGAACGGACAACTGGACACTTAGCATATTAGGCTTTTATTATATAAGATTCTTGGGACTGGCATTGAGTTACCAACTTATTGTTCCAATTGATCCAACTACCATCTGTTATCATGCTCAACCTAGGAAAGATGTTTGCATACCCCTAAAAGGAAGGGTATGATCTCAGAGTTAAAGGTGGTCCTTCTCAGGAAAGGATAGCTTGCTGTTGATCATATGCAAAACTATTATTTGTTATATTTCCTGATACTCCTTAGGTAGCTGTAGTGACCTACTGCTGATGGCCATCACAGATTTCTGATGTTTCTGCTCTTAGTTTTATATGAATAATTTTCCTTTTCTAGATCTTTCATGCTGAAACCTTAACATGCCCTTTATAGTCAACTAGAAGCCTGGTGCACAAATTTGTGCACTGGTGGGGTCTGGCTGGCCCACCTCGATGGGGGCCCATCAGGTTGGGCTGGCAGGGTGGAGGGGCTGTGAGTGATTGGCTGGCTGGCCCCACCCCTAATCAGGATTTTGGGGGCCGGCAATGGGAGTGGGCAGTTGGCCAGCTGGCCCCAACCCCAGTCAGAATGTTGGGGGCCCATCAGGGTCTGGGTTGGCCAGGGGTGGGGGGCTGATCAGGCCCAGATCAAGCTGGTTGGCTGCCACAGTGCATGTCATAGCCACTGGTTGTTTCGCCATTCTGGTCTCTGGACTTTTACCTAATAAAAGAGTAACACACTAATTGATTGTACCTTCGCGACATCCACTAGCCAATCAGGAGTGTGTGTGCAAATTAACCCAGCAAAGATGACAGGTTAATTTGCACACACAGGCACCAAGTGGCTGGGGGCGGGGCAGGACGCAGGTGTTCCGCAGCACCCCAGCCTCTCTGGGCCACTGGGCAGCGTGGGAAGGAGGAAAGGCGGCTCAGGCCTGAGTGAAGGCGCTGCCGACAGCCAGGAGAAGGAAGGCCCATTTTTTTCACAAATCGTGCTTCAGGCCTCTGGTGTGTGTGTGTGTGTGTGTGTGTGTGTGTGTGTGTGTATATATATATACACACACATATATATATATATATATGGTTAAAATGTTACTAGAATGTAAAATGTGTAGAGTAAGGGTATAAACATTGCTGCAATCATATTGCTGAATTGTTAACTGATTTTATTTATTGGTGGCCTTGGCTTTCTAAAATGAAATAATGTCATTTACATCTGATTCTACTTTTTTGTCTAGAAGCTTTGTTTTCTCTTGGCCCAGAAGAGCTTGGCTCTTTAGAGGAAAAGGATAATCCTGATGCAAAGGTATTAAATCCATGATTTACAGGGGTTGTTTTTATTTTAGAGTATTGAGGGAGTGTTTTTTTAAGGAAGGAATTAATTTGTTACAGAAATCGATAATTTTATTAATTAATTACCAACTATGATTATTTTCAGAAAGTGACTTGGCTTATACCCTACTGACAATGGAACAGTTTGTCAAATGTAACGTCGCTGCTGCTACTGTGTTTATTCTTTCTTGTGGTGAAGGAAATATTTGCAAATGGCCCACACTAGCCTAACAGAAACTCTACATAATGCACTTATTTGTATTCACAACAAATAAGACCAGTATTCATTCAGTTTGGTATTCTGGAAATAAATTGAATGAGGAATTGGTTTATCATAAGTACAGATCTAATGATGTTCCTCCCCTGCTTAAACATCATTCAGAAGTTTGTCGCTTTCAGGCTAAAATCAGTACTTGTTACAAGAAGTCTTTCATGATCCAGCCCAGTGCTTCTCAGGCCACCTGTGCAGCAAAGGGCCAGTTTTTGTGTATTTTTAAAATCTTCCAATCTGTTGCAGATTATACTTTTATGAGACATAATAAAGATGTCATCACAATGTCAAATTGCAATAAAAGTTTCTAAAGGCTGATTCTCACTTTAGATGCTTAAATTTGGTCTGCAAACTAGGCTCTGACCAGCATTTTCTGTCAGCCTGGCCCTCTCCACCCCAAATAAGACAAGAACAGGCTTGGAACCCACAGGAAGAAAGCAAGGCTGGGTGCAGCCTGTCTGTGACTGGGAAATTCCTCCTGAGAGTATGTCTGTATCTGAGGCATTTTAGAGAAAGAATGAAGTATTAGAGACTTAAATTACTATCCATCTGTAATCCCTGAGGTAGTTTTTTAAGGCTTCTGGGTTTTAGTATTGACCTGAACTATGTCCAGGTAGAAAACTCCAGATAGCTAAAACACTTTGAATTGAATTTTTGAAGAAAAATGATCACCCTTTGTAATAAGATTTGTAAACTTTCTTCTGGGTGAACTGAGTGAACTAGGAGATGTAATAAAATTAGTATGCAGTTCTTTTGAAAAGCCCAAACCACATTGAAAAGACTTATTTAGAAATGCATTTGTTCTCATTCAGGTTCGAATCATACCTTTACAGTTACAGCGGTTGTTTGCTCAGCTCCTGCTCTTAGACCAGGAAGCAGCCTCCACAGCAGACCTCACCGACAGCTTTGGGTGGACGAGCAATGAGGTACGGAGATCAGCTTCTCTAAGAAACATTGCCGGCAATGAAGAATAAACACTGGGTTAATGTTCTCTAACTTCTTTAATTTTGTTTTAGGATCTCAAGATATTATTTAAATATTTTCTTCTCTTGTGTTAAATAATTACAAGCCAGAAACATATTTTAGGACACTTGTTTGCAGGATTTTATGAACAGTTGTGATTTGGGTGTGGGTAGAGGGCTATGAATACAGAGAGAAGTATAGGAGCTGATTTTTACAATTTATATCTGAGAATCTTTATATGGAGTAGTTGAGGTTGAACACCTATTACAAAGTGATTACCATTTATATAGCAAACTGATTGATCAGTTTATAATAAAAAGCCGCCTAGCAATAATTCTGTCTGCCTCTGTGACTTGCTCTTGGTTTTGAATCTGAGTGTTCTGATTTGAACATATGCTTCAAGCAAAACTATAAAATCATTCTTGGCAGGTCTTTTCACTTTCCCGGCCTTTCTCCTGACTCTCCATTGTCTTCCTGTGTCCTACTGTAAGACTTTCCTTTCTTGTTCCCTTTGCGTCCCTATGGGTATTGCACTGTGTACAAACACAAAACATTTGACAGAAACAAGTAAAGGTGCTTGTTGTCAATAAGCTGTTAGCTGTATAAAATCAAACCAAGTCTGTGTGTGCGTTTTTTATGAAATAGATGTGGTTTTGCAAAGACACAGGTATGGGAGACTGTCACAGAATGTAAAGAGGCAATGATCAGAATAATGTTATGTTGCCTTCAACAGTGAACTCTGAACTGTGGTCATCTTCTAACAGGAACACTCCTTAACTAGGCGATGCTATGAGGTCAAAGAGGTAGGGCTTAAACTTTGAAGTAAATGGGGTTTTACTAAACAGTATATTAAATTTCTGATGCAGGATAGCTGCTTAGGGGTAATTTCTTGTTTTAAAAATAACTGCTTTATTGAGATATAATTCACACACCATAAATTTACTTTTTTGGAGGGTACAATTCAGTGTGTTTTTTTAGTATATTTACAGAGTTGTACAACCATCACTACAATTTATTTTAGAACCTTTTCCTCACTCCATACCCATTAGTAGTCCCCCTCCCCCAGTCCCTTTCTCCTCACCCCCTGGCAACCACTAATCTGCTTTCCATCCCTGTACACTTGCCTATTTCTGCACATTTCACAGAAACGGAATCATATAGTATGTATTGGCAATCATTCTTTTTTATTGCCACATAATATTCTATGTCATAGATATGCCATGTGTTTGCTTTTTTAATCTAGTCATCAATTGATAGATTTCCCTTTGTTTTGTATAATGAGCTTCCACTAATTTATTAGTTTCATACTTAAAGCTGTGAAAACCTTATTTACTTCTAAATAAAATCGTTCAGGAAACCATGTAGGTTTCAGTGACAAAGGGTCTCTGAGACACTTCTGGCAAACTTGGGATTGTTCAGAAATAGCTTGAAAACTTCAGCAAGCTTTCTGTCCCACCAGATACTGAAGAAATTTGTCTTCTAGTGTTTTGTGTGTTAAAAAAAAAAAAAGTGAAAAAGATCCTGAGTCCCATATCTTGCTTCAGCTTCTATCCACTTTGTCAGCTTCTCTTCACAAGAACTCTAAATTTGTCTTCCTTCACTGCCTCTACTTCTGCACCTTCAATTTGTTCCTCTTGTTTCTTGTAAAAGTCACTCATGACATCTGTGTGCCAATTCCAGGAGACACCTCTCTGCTCTCAGCAGGCTCTTAGTAGCACTCACCGCCCCTCTGTAAAGCACCGCCTCTGTGATTCCTGTGACCTCACTTTCCTGGTTCTCCTCTCCTGCCACTCTGCCTGTTCATATTTTTGTTTTGTAATAAAACTGAAAATAGGTGGTGGTCTCTTAACCTATTCTCAGCTCATTTAGATTAGTCATCCTTATGTTGATCGAGTTTACCTTTGGATTTGATACATCTTGTGGGTGTGTTGTTTTTTTTAATATCACTTTAAAAAATCTTTTTAAAAATGTGAAGCACAAAAATCACATTTAAAAGTTACCTTTTTTATAGGAAATGAGACAACATGATGTGCAGGAACTGAATCGAATTCTCTTTAGTGCTTTGGAAACTTCTTTAGTTGGGACCTCCGGCCATGACCTCATCAATCGTCTATATCATGGGACCATTGTTAACCAGATTGTTTGTAAAGAATGTAAGAATGTCAGTGAAAAGCAGGTGAATATACAAGAGTGTTTTAGTAATAAGTTATATTGTTAAGAATAATTCATACTGTTAAATCTATGACCTGTGGTACCATGTGAGGATTAACTCTTTATTTCTAGAAATCACTTTATTGGGATTTTTTCTTTTACTCTAGCTCCACCTAAGTCATAAGTTTATAATCCAGTTTTCTCCATGTAAACTGAAAGAAGCAAATATCATAAAATTCTGTTTTGATGTTTTATTCCTTATTCTGATAGTTAGAAAATAGAGTTGGAGATCTGTGGCCTCATAAGGAAAGTGACTTCATCATGGTTGTTGGTGGAATATTATCAAGTTAATTAGGGAAGTAATAAAAATAGGGTATTGACAAATACTTGTAATTAAATATTGGATTTAGTTTATTAATGTCTTCAAGAAAGTTCTTTGCACATGTATAATTATATTTAAATGTTATCTGTTTAAAAATATGTTTATTATACATAAATATATATAAAGCCATTATAATAATGTTTAATCCAGTATAACCTATAATACTTTGTCATGACATAGATTGTCCATTCAATATTATTAGAAATTTGCTCATGTAAATATAATAATCTCCACTTACTCTACCTATCTTCGACAGCAAATTATTTCATCTGAATTGCTGTCCTTTAATAAAAATATTTTGTTATGGCAAGAGTTATAGAAAGTTTCTGTATTTGATAGTATGAGTAAAAAATTAAATGCCATTTTCTAAATGTTGCATTAATTGCTTTTTTTGGCACAGATATTTTCTTCTTTTTTCCTATTTCTTTATGAGCATTGGGGATAAAAAATACTTTTTTGATTCTTTTTTTACTGTGCTAATAGGTTTGGCCAGCCTAATTTGAAAATATTAAGATGTGTATCTTTGAATTACTGTATGATGACTTACCTATAATAATAATTCACAAACTAATTTCATACTACTTTGTATATTAAGGCACATGATAAATTACAGAAATTAACTTTTCACATACATATATTATAGACCATAACTAAATGTTACTTTTATTACTTTAGATTTCTACCATGAACTTAGTACTGTTATTTTATAGTTCCAATAATGCCTTAAATGCTATTAAAACTAAATACTCTATACGCCGTAGCCGGTTTGGTTCAGTGGTAGAGCGTCAGTCTGTGGACTGAAATGTCCCAGGTTCGATTCCGGTCAAGGGCATGTACCTTGGTTGTGGGCACATCCCGGTAGGGGGTGTGCAAGAGGCAGCTGGTCGATGTTTCTCTCTTGACGTTTCTAGCTCTCTAGCTCTCTCCCTTTCTCTCTGTTAAAAATCAGTAAAATATATTTTTTTAAAAACAAACAAACAAAACTAAATACTCCATAAACTTGTCAGATTTTCTAAGTTTTTATTACTAAAAACATGTTGTAATTAAAATATAGTTACAGTATACTTTATAGACTCCCATTTTGCAAAATATCCTCTTAATTTTCGTAAGAATAAAATACCTTTTTATCTTGGCTTAAAATTATATTTTTTTTATAACTTCTTAAGTATGTGTTAAACCAGCCCTGGCAGAAACAGATGAGTAAGCAGAATTTCCATTTGAGTATTCAGCCCTCCCCTTGTTGTTCTAGTCTAGAAACTCATCACTAATAAGCCCTGCATGTACACACTTCTCAATGCAGATGTATATTTGTCTTTTGTCTTAACTCCTGACAAAATAGGTTTTATTGGAGCCACAATGAAGTCGTTCCTGACATATTTTAAGCTCAGTTATAGTTTTAGAAAAGATAATTTGGTTATGAATTTCACAGTATCTGATTAGAAGGAGATCTATACCTTGATATGTACAGTATTTTAGGAAAAATAGATCTGATTATTTTCATTATGTGTATGAATTGGTGATGTATATGTGAACTGTGAAATTGTTTTTTTAATTATTATGTTTATGTGTATTTTAGGAAGACTTCTTAGATCTAACAGTAGCGGTAAAAAATGTAACAGGTCTGGAAGATGCACTCTGGAACATGTATGTAGAAGAGGAGGTTTTTGACTGTGACAACTTATACCACTGTGGAACTTGTGACCGGCTGGTGAAAGCAGCAAAGGTAAAGACAGACATTGCCTTTTTTTAGGTTGGCCATTTAGTACTTTAGCAAGAAGGTCTATCAAGTGAAGTCAGCTTGTTTGAAACAGTTTGGAAGATATACATAAAGCTGTTAATACTAAGGATCGAAAACACATTTACATTTATATCTGTATTTTAATTTTTATAGTAAAGGCTTTTTTTAAGCTTTCAACTCAATAGTTTTCTCAACTTCTTTCCTTCTCAGGAAAAATTTTATTTGTACCTCAGTGGTTCTTAAATACACCTTTGGTGATAAACGCCTCACCATCATGGCTTTTTGCAAATTATCATTACAGAGAAGGCAATATGTTTTTATTTCTGCCAACCAAGACGCTTGTTGAGCTTTCCTCTCTTTGTCTACTACTATGAAAATAGATGGCTTTCTTCACTTTCTGCATAGGCAGGTATTTTACAGTTTCAAATATATACATACCTCCTTCCCTACTCCAGCAGATCTAATATGCCTCAATTAAAGGGCTTGACAGTACTTCTGGGTTTCTTTTTGTACAGCAAAGCAAAACACAGGGTGAAAGGAAGGCAGGATGTAAGCAACGATTTTTTTCCTGCAATGTGGCACCAACTCTGCTGCTGCCATTGTTATCCACAATGCTCACTATTCCACTGCTAGTGGATGGTGTCATAGGCTCTTTCTAGCATGATGAACTGGAGCCCAATTCACTCGGTGGTTATTGAGCTCTCACTGAAAGAACAACCACAAAAGACATATCTTTGCAGTTACTCTGTTATGACAACGAGATAACACTATTCCTACAGCTGACAATGACTGGCTGTTCTAACAAAGAAAATGAGGAATGATTTAGATAATACACAATATTGATTTGGATCCTGGTCATTGTAGGTGAAAATGTGATAAAAACAATAAACTCAACACCTCTAGCTTTCTCAATAGGATTTGAACCAGGATAAATATTATACTGTTTAGTTCATACTTTTATCCAGCCTTTACCCCTTTAGGAAACCTAAATAGAGAGGTTTATTGTTTTCTTATTTAGTTTGTATCTCATCTTTGACGCCATGATTAAAATCTAATTAAATAAATATAAAATTTAGGGGATAAGTTTTGAAAGATACATAAATACATTTTAGTTTTAGTTGGGCTTAATATGCACATTAGTAAAATAAAAACTTTTTGCTAAATAAAAGTTCTTTATGCATCTTGTATATCATTGGTTTAATTATTTTTCAGTAGAAATATTTTGATTTTGATATTTTTAAAAATATATGTTTTTATTGATTTCAGGGAGGAAGGGAAAGAGAGAGAAGTATAGAAACACCAGTGTGAGAATCATTGGTCAACTACTTCCTGTCCTCCCCCTACTGGGGATGCAGCCTTCAACCCGGGCATGTGCCCTGACCAGGAATTGACCATGACTTCCTGGTTCATGGATTGCCATTCAACCACTGAGCCACATCAGTTGAGCTTATCTTGATACTTTTAAAATTACATTCTGTTGTAGTTGCATTAAATTTATTGCATTCTAAATTTAGGTTCAGTTGTACTACCTAAATTAATGCAGATTTTCTTATTTTGAGCAGTCTTTCTTTTCTCAGCCACATTGTAGTTGAGTTAGTTTTTTAGACTTAATTGAAAATCTATCAGGTGGTTAAATTGCTGTTTTATCATTTAACTGTTTTTTGTTATTTACTTGATTTTTAGGATTGTTTTACTTATATGTTTAGGAATGTTAAATATTTATGATTTTGGATAATTTTATATATGAGGAAGGATGTTCCCCCCCCACCCCCCATATGCCATTAGTGTAAGGAGGTTGGGAAAAGCTGATGACTTTTTAAAAAAATTGATTTTAGGGAGAGAGAGAGGAGCATCAGTTTGTTGTTCCACATATTTATGCATTCATTGGTTGCCTCTTGTATGTGCCCTGATCAGAGACCAAACCCACAACCATGGCATATCAGGATGACACTCTAACCAAATGAGCTACCTGGCCAGGGCTAAAAGCTGATGACTTAAAAAAACAAAACAAAGCAAAACAAACAAAAATGCTTAATTATGTTTTATTTTAAAACAAGAAATTTTTCAAAAACTTACCTGCTTGTAAGAACTGTAACTATAAAACCCCAATCAGTAGATCTTAACATTGGGGAGTTAGAGCACTTTTGAAAGTCTAATGAAAGCTATGGATCTTCTCTTCATAAATACATAAACATGTACAATTTTGATATTTCAAGTGTCCAAATCCATTGAAAGAGGTCCACGGATCCCAGATCAAGATCTCCAGTTGTTTAGTAAATAAAAGGAAGAAGATGGTAGGCTAGGACTTTAGCAGGAAAGAAACATTGTTAGGGAGGGGAGCATCCAGTTATAACATGCTCATCAGATAGCTTTGATTTTAGGGTAGAAACACTAAAATTGGGTTGTAAATTTTAGTTGTAAGCGTAAATGAGTGATACCACTTTTAGTCCTATAAAATAGATGAGTTTATATCAAGGGCTATATTCAATTCATCATAATGAGTTTGTGATTTAAGGACATAATCCTTTTAAAATTATGTCATAATTTGCTTTGTTTAAGAAACATGTATTCTTTTATGCAACTGCTTTTTAAAAACTTAAAACTTTTTCTTTTAACAGTCGGCCAAATTACGTAAGCTGCCTCCCTTTCTTACTGTTTCATTATTAAGATTTAATTTTGATTTTGTGAAGTGTGAACGATACAAGGAAACTAGCTGTTACACATTCCCTCTTCGGATCAATCTCAAGCCTTTTTGTGAACAGGTTTGAACTCTTTTATTTTTAAATTCTTTTTTCTCCCTCTCAATATTGAATTCTTAACTGACCTGATTTTCAGTTGGCTTATTGCAGAATGTCAGCCTGGCACTGTGCTGTCCCATGCATTGTAGGTTGTGAGGTGACATTTCTGGTAGATGAGAGCAGCAACCTCCCCCCTCCTCTCCAGTGGTGACAGAAATGTATTCAAACCTTGTCAAATGCCCATGTCTCCTGCAGGAGGGGGAATTGATAAAATCACTCCCAGCTAAGAACTCCTGGTTTATTACAGTCCTTTTGAATTTCCAAAGTATGGATTTGTTCTCAGTTATTTTTATTAGTCTCTCTTGAAAAAGCTTTGAAATGAAATTTAAGAGCAAAATTAGAAGTGACCTCACATTAAAAGAAGTTACCTGTAATTGGCACTTTGCTATTTGGATTTAGTTTACTTTAAATGCAGCAATGAATTACACATTTAGAAAGTGAACAGGTAACTGGAACTTACTAGCCTGGGATTTGTAGTACTTAAGACTTGGGCAAGAAAAAGTTTGAAAACAAATTAATTGCATAATTAACCTACTTTATAAGCCATTTAAAAATATCCTTTATAATGAAGAGGTAATATGAAAATTGACCATCACTCTAACACACAAGATGGCCCCCCCCCCATGTGGACACAAGATGGCCATCACAAGATGGCCGACAAGGGAGGGTAGTTGTGGGCAATCAGGCTAGTAGGGCAGGGAAGTTGGGAGGGACCAGGCCTGAAAGGGAGGGCTGTTGGGGGCAATCAGACCTGCAAGGGAGGGCAGTTAGGGGTGACTGGGCCAATAGAGGAGGGCACTTGGGAGCGACCAGGCTTGTAGGGGAGGACAGTTAGGGGCGACCATACTGGCAGGGGAAGGCAATTAGGGGCAATTGGGCCAGCAAGGGAGCAATTAGGTGTCAATCAGGCTGGCAGGAGAGAAGTTAGGGGTGATCACGCTGGCAGGCAAAAGCGGATAAGGGCAATCAGGCAGGCAGGCAGGCGAGCGATTGGGAGCCAGCAGTCTTGGATTGTGAAAGGGATGTCCAACTGTCCGTGGGATTGGGACTAAATGGGCAGTTGGACATCCCTTAAGGGATCCCAGATTGGAGAGCGTGCAGGCTGGGCTGAGGGACACACCACTCGCCTCCCTCCACCCCCGATCACTCTGTGCATGAATTTCTATATAATTGTTACATATGTCAAGATCACAATGACAAGACTAATGTATTTCTTATTACAAATCATTTTTATATGTTTATTAAGACCAGAACATTTATTAGCTTGCTATTGAATTTCTAATGAAAGTAATTTTTTAAAAAATATTCTTTCAATTTAGATAGGTCTTCCTCTACTTCAAACCTAATTACTGAGCTTTTGGTTGTTTTATTATATGAACCAGAGGCTTGATGTACGAAGATTCGTACAAGAATAGGCCTTTCTTCCCCTGGCTGCCAGCACTGCCTTTGCTCTGGCCAGAGCCACCTTCCGCCTCTAGCCTTGTCACATCAAATTGCATATTCCCTTCTTATTGGCTGTAGGTGCCACCATCTTTTGTGGTGGCGTTATGGTCAATTTGCATATTCTTTATTAGATAGGATTACCATTCAAAGGTTGTAATTTGTGTTGGCCTTGAGTTTGTAATTGTACACATAGAATAAACAGTTTTTCCAGAGTGTCAGTGTACTTGTTCCTCCATTTACTCCTGAAACACACACAGTTTTTCAGGATAATTGAGCTATCTTTTCCTGTTTTATTGAGAAATAATTGGCATATATCAGTTTATAAGTTTAAGGTATACAGAATGATAGCTTGATTTACATATATGTGAAATGATTGCCACCATTGGGTATGTGCCATAATAGGTTTCGTTAACATTCATCATCTCATATAGAAAAATTTTTGTCCTTTTATAAACAGCAGTTTGTCAAATGATTTTAACATGCTTTGAAATAACAAAACTGTAATAAGGAAAACATTGAGCATTTATCCAAGAAATTTGCTTTTTATATTTTTGATATCTGTATTAATGAAAAAAATTACCACTTCTCATTTTTGTTTATATTTCGTCTTTTGCTTGAACCAAACATTTAAAAAAAGAATGCTGCTTACTTTAATAATATAATTTTTAAAGAAAATACATTTTCTCAAATAATTGGGATCTCTTCAAATAGCACCCATATGCAAAATATTTCTTAATCTAAAGTAGATTTTTCTTCAAATGCCAGTGTAGGTGTTCATCTGTTGGATCACTCATATTATAGAGCACATTAATTACAGCAAAGTTTGATCATACTATTTAATAAAAGAGTAATATGCAAATTGGCCATACTTCTGCTACACCCACCAGCCACACCCACTAGCCAGGCAGGAGCAAATATGCAAATCCAACCAAGATGGCTGCGGCCACAGAGAGCAGGAAGGAGGATTGGGCAATGGAGGGAACCAAGCTTTTTGTCTGCCCTTGCCAGTCTAGGCCTCCACTCGATGCCGCAAAGTTTCAGTTATAGAAGGTAAATAAATTCAACAGAAATGGTGGCAGCCACGGAGCTGGAAGAGCATAAGGCTAGGGTTGCCCCCAGCAATGGAGGAAGCCAAACTTCTGCAGTTCTGGCTGGCCTAGGCCTCCACTCCAGGCTACAAAGTTTCAATTGTAGAAGATAAATTCCAGATACCAGGGCCTCCGCTCGGGTCACCAGGGGGTGTGGCCAGCCTGCAAAGCACCACAGGCCCTTCGTCCAGGCTGCCCCACGCCCCAAGAGAACCCCCACCCTGATCCAGGATACCCTTCAGGGAAAACCAGCTGGCTTCCACCCATGCACCAGTCCTCTATCCTATCTAATAAAAGAATAATATTCAGATTAACCATCACTCCAACACACAAGATGGTTGCCTCCATGTGGTTAAAGATCCTGTCCCCATGTGGACAAAGATGGCCACCATAAGATGGCCAGCAGGGGAGAACAGTTGGGAGGGACTAGGCCTGGAAGGTAGGGCATTTGGGGGCAATCAAGCCACAGGGGAGGGCAGTTAGGGGTGATGAGGCTGGCAGAGGAGAAAAGTTGGGAGTGACTGGGCCTGCAGGGAAGGGCAGTTGGGGGGTGACCCGGGCCTGCAGGGGAGAGCAGTTAGGGGTGACCAGGCTTGCAGGGGAGGGCAGTTAGAGGTAACCAGGCTGGCAGGGGAGCAGTTAGGCATCAATCAGGCTGGCAGCAGAGTGGTTAGGGGTGATCAGGTTGGCAAACGGAAGCAGTTAGGGGCAATCAGGAAGGCAGGAAGGCAAGCAGTTGGGAGCCAGCAGTCCTAGATTGTGAGAAGAATGTTCGACTGCCTGTTTAGGTCTAATCCCGGGGGCAGTTGGATATCCCTCAAGGAGTCCCAGATTGGAGAGGGAGCAGGATGGGTTGAGGGACACACCCCCCCCCACACACACACACACACACTGTGCACAAATTTCATGCACTGGGCCTCTAGTAGAATTAATAAATTAACAAAAAACTTTCATTCCATTAAACTGCCTCTAAACAAAACCAGCTTGTATTCATAATTGCTAAATTCCTCTTATATGCAGAGGACCAACATGTTAGGAGTGGTGACAGATATGGCTTTGACTTTCAGGCACATGACAAATCTAATTGGAGCACAGGAAAAATTTACCAGCTAAAGACCACATTTAAAGTAGCAAAATAGGTATCATACAAAGATGGGCTTGCCAAGACTCACAGATGCACTGATAGGCAAGTGTGTTTTGTTATCACATTGGCTTACATGATTGATCTTAGCCAAACTACATAAAAGTAGCATCTTGTTTGGGTATGTGTTTTCATGTTTAAGCAAGACACAGAATTAATCTAAGAATTAAGCATTTTAAAATTTAAAGTCAGTTAAGTTTATCTTAATTTACCCTTAAATAACAATAATAAACAGTGAAATTTTTATTTTAGTAGTTAAAATTATTTTGCCCTTTGGTTATGTATCTTCCCACTTTGTGTGAACTATATCCATGTTTGTGTTCTTTTGTAGAGTGAACTGGATGACTTGGAATACATGTATGACCTCTTCTCAGTTATTATACACAAAGGTGGTTGCTATGGAGGGCACTATCATGTGTATATTAAAGATGTCGATCATTTGGGAAACTGGCAATTTCAGGTGAGCATGGACATTAATTTAGAAGTATCTTTGAATTACTTTTCTTTTTCTAGTCCTATTATTTTCCCATTTATTATATATTCACTCTATAGAATACTTTTATAGATGCTGAAAGTGAATATAGATAGTTTAAAATTTTTATTTCTAAACAATTTCATACTTATAGAAACATAGTCAGCAGAGTACAAACACGTGCTGTATACTCTTCACCTAGATTCTCCAATTAACATTTTGCCACATTTGTGCAAGCATACACTTTGTACACACACATGCACGTGTGTGCGCACATACAAACAGTTAACATTGTGATTGTTAGTGCTGAACCATTTGAAGTTTATGTTTATCCTTAAATATGTCAGTGCTTATCTCATGAAAATGAAGACATTCCCTTACATAAGCAGAGATCAAAATCAGCAACTTCAGCACTGATATCTTTTTAGCTAACATTTAATTTATATTCAGATTTCGCCATTTGTCTGATCCAAATCCTTCACAGCATTTTCTTTCCAGTATTAAGTCCAGCATCATGAAATGCATTTAGTTAGCATGTCGCTTAAGTCCTTTAATCAGTAGTCCCTTAGCTTTTCTTCGGTCATTGATGGCAACAACCAGAGATGATGATTTTCCTTCTATGCTGTCTTCTAAATATTTGTCGGGGGTTTGTGGGGTTTGGGTTTTTTGGATTTTTATTTTTTTACTTATTTTTAAAAACTTCTATTTTACTTTTTTTAAGTTTATTGGGCTGACATTGGTAAATAAAATTATACAGGCTTCATATGTACAGTTCTATAATACATCATCTCTTGTATTGTATGTTCACTACCCCAGTTAAAAGTTTGTTTTCCATTTAAATTAAAATTTCATTCTTCCTGGAGTGATCTCCTGTGAATGTTGTGAGATTTTTTTTTCCATTTGGGTACCATTTTTTAATAATTAATTTTTTTACCCACCAATCTAGAATGCCAGTCCTGTTATATCAATTGTTTATATATGTGTGGATCAATTTGGGGCGTTCTTTTCTGCTCCAGTTTTTTTTTTTCCCCTTCTAGGCAAACACCACATTGTTGATTTCTGTAGCTTTAAAAGAAGTCATGCCATGTGTAGGGCAAGGTCTCCCTCTGTGCTGTTATTCTTCAGGAGCATTGTCCTTGTCCCTGCTCTTTATGCTTCTGTGAGCATTTCTAGAATCAGCTTGTCAGTGTTCTCTCCCATGCTTAGTGGGGTTTTTAACCTACATATGAAAATGATATATATTTTCATTTTTTAGTGTTTCTTTAACATTTTATGGAAAAGTTTTGAATAGTCTCAAGAAAAGAACTTTCAGATGTTCTGAGGAAAAGCCTGAACTGAGATTCTAATAGTTATTCCCAGTAGGCAAAATTATGATGCATTACCCATCAACCCCAAACTCTCCACCAGTTTTTAAATGTAACTAAAACATAATAAAATGTCAAAATGTAAGATAGAAATCATTATGTTTAGATGTAGAACACTTAAAACATATCTTCTTGATTATCAAGCAATTAACTATGTTATTAATGAATAGTTGCTCCACGTGTAGTTATATGGCTTATGTTGGTATTGAGTGAGAAAATGTTGTAACTCACTGTATTGTGCTAGAACCTTTACTTATCTTACAATTCTAATTTGTAGACGAGGTCAGAGAGATGAAAATAACTTGTCCAGGATTATTCAAACAAAGCTGGAATTCAAAGCCATATACAAATTATATTGTTTTTATTATCATTTCTCCATCTTGAAACCTCCATAGCATAAACATTCCTATTTTGTTAGTTACCTTTTTAAGAGATTGGTGATAAAGAAAAAAATTTTTTTATATTTAAAAAATTGTTTTTCCAGTTTCAGTTTATATTCAATATTACTTTTTATTAGTCCCAGATGTACAGCATAGTGGTTAGACAATCATATACTTTACAAAGTGGTACCCCCATGATAGAAACTTTTTTATTATTTTCTTTTCTAGGAGGAAAAAAGTAAACCAGATATGAATTTGAAAGATCTTCAGAATGAAGAAGAGATTGATGATCCACTAATGATTATAAAAGCAATCTTATCACAGGTAGAAAATGTGCTTATATTTGTGTGTGTGTATACTAGGTGTACTGGTTAATAATGGCAGATTTTGTAATCAAAGAAAACACAATTTCAAGAGAAACATCAAAAGTGATTTATTCAAATTAATGTCCATCGTTAGCTACACATTTCCCCCATCTTTAGGTAATTTGTGGTTACCGTCCCAATAGAACTTTTCTTGTTTTGAGGCATACCATTCAGAGACCAAATTTTCCACTTCTTTCTATGTTTTGAAGTGCTGCTCAGAAAGTGCATGTACCATCGATCTGAACAATTGGTAATCTGAAGGGGCAAGATCTGGAGAATATTGCGTGTGGGTTAATACTTCCCAGGCAAGATCTTTTAACACAGTGCTTCTCAACCTTCCTAATGCAATTCCTTATGTTGTGGTAACCCCCAACAATAAAATTATTTTCGTTGCTACTTCATAACTGTAATTTTGCTACTGTTAATGAATCATAATGTAAATATTTGTGTTTTCTGATCATCTGCTGCTGATCCTTTTCGAAGTGATTTGGCCTTGTAGTCAATGTTGATGTTGACCTGGATCAACCCATGATTTTGTGCATTTTGGGTTCTCAAAATAGATCCACTTTTCATCGTCAGTCACAATTCAATGCTAAAAAGACTTTCATGCTATAGAAGCAAGATTTTACTGATGACTTTTCGGTTTTCCATTTGTCTTTCATTCAGTTTTCCTTCCTTTAAAATATTTCCCGTTGCTTGTAAACGATTGGAAATTATTTGCTGAGCAATGTTTAATCTTATTGCAAGTTGTTTTTGAGTTTGACACACATCTTCATCCAATAATGCTTGTAATTGTTGGTCTTCAAACTTTTTCGGTTGATCTGGGCTTTCTTTGTCTTTCACATAGAAATTATCACTTTTAAAGCATTTAAACCAGCGTTCACAAGTATCTTGAGATGGAGCATGTTCACCATAAGCTTCCCAAAGTATACAATAACTTTTTCTTCAAAACAAAGTAATGAATTAAAACTTCCCACAAATGCTTTTTTTTGGCATGAAATTCAACATTTTTAAGCATAAAAATGTCTATGATGTTAACACCTTCAGCAAATTTGACATATGAAGTTTTGAAGCTTCCTGTCAATACAACAAAATAGCATATATATCAAATCACATATATATCAACGTGTAACTCCATCTATTGAGAAAAAAACCACATTATTAACTGGTACACCTAGTATATCAAATATATGGGAATGAGATTGATTTGGTAGATCTGACACTATCTTTTTCCTTTGTACATTATGTCTCTTTTTAAAGTTTTTGGAAACTTTCTGGTTCTAAAAGAAATACATATTCATAGTAGAAAACTTGAGAGAGGAAAAAAACCTAGAAAATATATTAAAAAAATAAGAAATGTAAACCAAATGCTCATTGTTAACATTTTGTCTATATTTTTTGCATTCTGTTTTCTTTGTGTTTACACACTTACATTGGGACTAGAGGCCCAGTGCACAAAAAATGTGTGCACTCCAGGAGGTCCCTCAGCCCAGCCTGCACCCTCTCGCAGTCTGGGACCTCTCGCGATGTGCACCTGCCGTTTTAGGCCTGCTCCCCGGGGGATTGGACCTACGCTGGCAGTCAGACATCCCTCTGGCAGCTCTGGAGCCCTTGGGGGATGTCTGACTGCGGCTCCCCGGGGAAAGTGGGCTAAGCCACAGTTGGACATCCTTAGGGCTGCCAAGGAGGTAGGAGAGGCTCCCACTTCCACTGCTGCACTTGCAGTCATCAGCCTGGCTTGTGGCTGAGCGGAGCTCTCCCTGTGGGAGCACACTGACCAGCAGGGGGCAGCTCCTGTGCTGAGCGTTTGCCCTCTGGTGGTCACTGCACATAGTGACTGGTTATTCCCTCATTAAGGTCAATTTGCATTACCCTTTTATTATATAGGATTGAGTTATAGGTTTCTTTGGTGTTACTATTGTCATTTTAAATAGAATTGGGATTCACTTTACATACTGTTTTAGAATTTACTGTTTCCTATATTGTCCTTTAATATTTGTAGAACCTGAAGTTACGTCTTCTTTTTTTTTCTTTCTAATATTGGTAATCTAATAAAGATGACCTTTAATGTTTGCTTAGCACCCTGTTGTAATAAATGGTAGGTCTCCTTTCATTCATTCATCAGTAAACAGTTTTTTATAATTGTTTACTGGGGACTTAGGCTTAGCCCTTTATATTGGTCCATGGTCACCATATTAGTCTACTAGGGTTATCATAACAAAATACACAGACTGGATGGCTTAAATCAATAGAAATTTATTTTCTCACAGTTCTGGAAGCTGCAAGTCCAAGATCAATTAAGGTTTGGTTTCTCTTGGAGCCTCTCTTTTTGTCTTCTAGATTATGCCTCTTCTCTATGTCCTATAGACCTTTCCTGTGCGTGTGCATCCCTGGTGTCTCTGTGTGTGTCCAGATTTCCACGTAGGGACACCAGTCATATCGCAGTAGGACCCACCCTAATGGCCTTGTTTTAACTTCTTTAAAGGTCATATCCAAAAATAGCCACAGTTGACATTTTGAGGGTTAGGGATTCAACATGGAATTTTTATATAGGTGCAGGTCACATTTCATCCTGTAATGGTCACTTCTTACCAATGGAGGGTAATTGGAACAGATTTTCTTAAATGACTTTGTGTTTCTTTCATAAGGAGGAGAGTAATCTGATTCTTGTTGATCTGCTGGGCCAGAAACTTTTGAAAAAAATAGGAATATCTTGGAACAAGAAGTACAGAAAACAGTATGGACCACTGCGAAAGGTAATACATGACATTCTTATAGAAAGTCCTTTTCTCATGAAATCCTATTATGATTCCAGCAACGAGAATTCTTTGAAAAAAATTTAAATTAGTATTTTTGTTTAATGGTTAGAATTCCATTAAGTTAACTTATTACTAAGTTAAATAATGTATCATAGAATCAAGAAGTAAGTAAAAGAAAAGTGGAGGGGCTTTTAATCAAAACAGCCAAATAATGTTACAAAGTTCATACCCTAACAGTTATCATTTTACTTATAGAAATGTCTTCAGGTATTCACCCAAACTTCGCTCTTTCTTTTGCACACACTTCAAATAAACTTGGTGATCAGGTTTCCTGGGCTGTACAGTCAGATGTAGAAACTGGTACTGCCATAAATGAGATAACTCAACTGAAAACAAGCAGAACACATAGTAAATATTTGGGAGCTATTTCTTACATAAGCAAAGAGCTTACTTCAATAAGTGTTTAAGTACATCTTTTAATGAGATCACAGTTGATAAATGTTTAATGACCCTGAGTTCATAGAAGGTTTGAAAGTTTTCATTTAAAATGGTTGAATCAATGTTTCAGTATGTCATTTTTAAGTATATTAGCTATACAGGTTTTAAAAATACATATATAAACTAGAAGCCCGATGCATGAAGATTCATGCAAGAATGGGCCTTCCTTTCTTTCCGCCTTTCTGCCTTCCCACGCTGCCCAGAGGCCCAGAGCACTGCTGCTCATCTATTCTGTTTCATTGATTTCTGCTCTTTAATTATTTCCTCCCATTTAACTTGGGATTTAACTTGATCATCTTTTTTCTAGTTTCTTGAGTTGGTATCTCAGTTGTTTTTAATCTTTTAATATACTTTTAATATATGCTTGTGTGTGTGTGTATGTGTGTGAAGAAATGTTTATTGACTTAATATAATACATTATATAGAATGTTCAAAATACAATGTGATATAAATGTCACCACTGCAGTTATCACAGTAATTCTTATTTTCATTAAAGTTTGTTGGTAAAATTTTTGTGAAATCTATATTCTTGATCAGTGCTTAGGAAGAGTAGGTGATACTAAGTGGGGGTGGATGGAGATAATGCTGTGATAACCTAGTAAGGTGGGTCTACATATCTGACACTTAGTTATTTTCCTTACATAACTCAATATATTATACTCTGTTTAGATACTGAGAAAGCTAAATGAATGTACAGACTCCCTAGTCATCCATCAAGGGCAGTAAGCTAAAGCCCATCTTCATTTCTGGGTTTTATTCATAAAGTAAATTGAGGTCTTTGGTGTCAGGGAATTCGCCTTCCTTAAGGAACAAAGTGTTAAGTTCTTAGGGAAAGTAGGCTCCACTTGCAGTCCCATCAGAGTTTAGAACAATGGGTTTTTGTGGTTCAACACATGCTTTTAAAGCTATAAATTTCCTTCTAATCACTAATTTAACTGTAGCTAAATGTGATGTTTCCACTATAATTTAGTTAACAATATTTTTTAATTTTTTTTTGATTCTTTCCTTGACTCATGAGTATTATTTTCCAAATATTTGGGGGATGTCTGAATTATCTTTTTGTTATATCTAGAAATTTATTTCTAATTAATTCCCTTGTGATTTAAGAACATGCTATGATTTTAGTTCTTTTAAATTTATTGAGACTTTGTGTGAACTCTCCTCTACCATGCACTGATACAAACCAAAAAGTGGTTTATTAATGTAAAACTCATCTAGTTTTGGTCTTGTTATTTGAAGGATTATGTTCCTTCCACTTTGTGCCTGCTTTTGGTTACTCTGCAAATAGTTTTCATTATTTTATCTAGAGTTTGTCATTTTTATTAGAAGGGTTAGTTCAGTAAAAGTTCTCTACTGCTACCGGGAGCCAACTGCGTTGAAGTTTGAATTTAAAAGAGTTAATCTCAACTATCAAGCAAAGAAAAGAATTAACTCTTCAGAAAGTTCATTACTCATATATTTTAAATGTTTGATATTTTATTGTACCTAAAACAAATTAGCTACAAACCTATTTTATCAACTGTTACACAGTGTTAACAGTCTTTTGTGTCATATACCCTATGCCCTTCTATCTATACTAATAAAAGCCTAGGTGGTCCTCACGCCCTCACATCATCACAGGATGGCCATCACAAGATGGCCACCACAAGATTGCCAGCAGGGGAGGACAGTTGGGGGTGATCAGTCTAGCAGGGGAGGGCAGTTTGGGGCAATCAGGCTCACAGGGGAGCAGTTAGATGTCAATCAGGCCAGCAGGGTAGTGGTTAGGAGGTGATCAGGCTGGCAGACAGAAGCGGTTAGGAGCCACCAGTCCTGGATTGTGAGAGGAATGTCCAAAGGGTCCCTGATTGGAGAGGGTGAGGCCGGGCTGAGGGACCCTCCCCCCCTCCCATGCACGAATTTCATTCACCAGGCCTCTAGTTTGTAATTAAATAATATTTCAGATTTGAGAGTTGGCATTATCAGTGAATGTTATGTACCTGCCAAGCAATTTCTTATATAAGGTAACTTTGTGCTGAGAGAAAAGGAGATGCAAAGCTGAACAGGGATTAGGGAATTAGAGAAGAGGGAGCGGTGGGATAGGCAGTGGAGAGAGAACAGTGTTCTTCCTAATCCTTTAGCTAGAAGAACCTGAGAAATGTTCTTTGGGATTATGGCAAGCCTTTTTATGCTTTGATTTCTGAGCTAGTCTTACGTGTCAGCTTCCAGGACAGAAAACATTCAATTTAGTTAATGTTAAGCAATAATTTAGGTTTATAATTTCCACCTTATTCCAGCAGAGTTAGTCTGAGTTACTAATCTTGAAATTATCTTCTCTGAGGCTTTACCATGTGATTGCCTTTGTTTTGTGCTTTGTTTCTGTTTCTCTAAATACTTTAAAACTGCTTGTTCTTCCTAATATGTTTCTATAAAGTACTTTTCCAAATAGCATTATTGAGGTATAATGAAAATATTTTTTAGATTGTAGCATGACAACTTTCTTGATATTATACAACTATTAGACTAATAGAGAGAACTTTGATTTTTATTAAATGTTTTATTATGGCTGTTTTTTCCTTCATAGCTTGTCAGGCTAAAAATAAAAGGGAAGCTAAAATATCTAATATCAGAAAGGAAGATGAAGTTTTTTTTAAAAATCATTTTTAAAAAAAAAATATATATTTTTATTGATTTTGTACAGAGAGGAAGGGAGAGAGAGAGTTAGAAACATCGATGAGAGAGAGTCATCGATCAGCTGCCTCTTGCACACTCTCTACTGGGGATATGCCCGCAACCAAGGTACATGCCCTTGACCAGAATTGAACCCGGGACCTTTCAGTCCCCAAGCCGATGCTCTATCCATTGAGCCAAACCGGTTTCGGCTAAAAATCACTTTTAATCTTAAAAAAAAATTTTTGTTAATCTAGTATTTTTGTTTGTTTCTGTCTAGTTCTTACAGCTTCATTCTCAGATCTTCCTACTAAGTTCAGATGAAAGTACAGTTAGTCTATTGAAGAACTCTTCTCTGCAGCCTGAGTCTGATTTCCAAAGGAAGGATCAACAAATTTTCAAGACACTTACTTCAGAATCCCCAGGATTAAATGATAGAATCTCCTGTTCCCACTGGTTTGATATAAATGATTCCAAGGTCCAACCCATTGAGGAAAAGGATATTGAACAGCAATTTCAGGGCAAAGAGAGTGCCTATATGTTGTTTTACCGGAAATCCCAGTTGCAGAGACCATCTGAAGGTATGGAAAGAAAAATTTTCCTAATTGTTTTAAGTTGATGAGTATAAAAAAATAAATATTAAATGCTATTTGTATTATTACCCTTTTAAAAGGAGGTTTACTCTTGAAACACTTAAAAATGTTTTTAAGCTAAAATTAAGAAATATATGTTGCTGAATGAAATCCAACAATCTGTCACTTTTTAAGATCTTATATTTCTAACTATTTTTTAATCTAATATGAGACCATAGTCAGATTTTCAGAATTGGGTTTTCTTGGATCACACACTGTCAGCAGATCTGTGTTGTTGCTCTGTCTTCTGTCATCTGGCCATGTGCTGCCTTTTAGTTCCCCTCAAGGTAATGTGTTTTCTGAGCATTTAAAGTATCTTTGATGTACTCTTTGTTGAACCTTCTAAGAGAGCTTGTATCAAAAGGTTAAACATTGAGACATTTTTAAAATTTAAGCCACTAACATAAATCAATGTCTAAGACTTGATCACTTCCTAAGGTCTATTCAAAAGTAAAACATCCTTCTGGGGGAGATAATAGATCAACCCAAGGACGTGTATACATGCATATAAGTACAACCAATGGACATAAAACTCTGGGGAGGGAGGGGATATCTGGGAGGGAGGGAGGGGGGCAAAAAAAAAATCAATAAAATATGTAAAAATACATAAAATAAAATAAAAAAAAATAAATAAATAAAAAGTAAAACATCCTAATCAGGAAGCTCTTTAGATTAAAGATGTGATTAGAGATGAAGATACTGTTGTTAGAAAATGAGAAAGGTGATCATTTTTTTAAATAAAGAATAAGAACATAGCATTAATAATTTGCATGTCAGTAAAAATTAACTTTCTGGATCTGAAACAGTTACATAACTATTCTGTTGACCAGAAAGGGCTTTGTACTTTTCTAAGGGGAAAAAAGATAATGATAATGGTTCTGATAAATATATTGTGGAGCAGAAGTCACAGTTATAATAACATATATTAATAGAAAAATATTATCTTTAGATGGAGTATTGTCTTTTTCACTAAAATGAAGTTTAGTATGTACATAATTGAAATATGTACTAAATGACAGTTTTCTACTTAGCTTGGGAATTAAATAAAGGTCCTGCCAAAATTTTGATGGACTTTTTTTGGGAATGAAGGAATAGAACTTGGCAAAGTGATTCTAAAGTTTACATAGATAGCCCTAACTTGTTTGGCTCAGTGGGTAGAGCGTCAGCCTGCAGATTCAAGAGTCCCAGGTTCGATTCTGGTCAAGGGCATGTACCTTGGTTGTGGTCACATACCCAGTAGGGAGTGTGCAGGAGGCAGCTGATCGATGTTTCTAACTCTCTATCCCTCTCCCTTCCTCTCTGTAAAAAATCAATAAAATATATTTAAAAATATTTACATAGATAAATCTATGAAAATTGAAGAAGGGATTACTGAAGGAAAATTTGCTCTCAGTAAAAACGTACTTATAAAGCTGTGATTAATCATTTGAATGAAATTATAGTTCTTTTAATCGTTATGCAAAAAAGTAACTTAAGATGTATAAATAGCCCTAGTTGGCTTGGCTCTGTGGATAGAGCATCGACCAGAGGATTGAAAGGTTCCAGTTCGATTCCCGGTCAAGAGCACATGCCTGGGTTGTGGGCTTGATCCCAGTGTGGGGCATGCAGAAGGCAGCCAATCAATGATCCTCTCTCATCATTGATGTTTCTGTCTCTCTTCCTCTCTGAAATCAATAAAAATATATTTAAAAAAATAAAAAGATGTATAAATAGAAATATTTTTCTAATCTTAAGGTAAAGACCTTTCTAAGCTTAAAAGCAAAGAAAGAAAATTAAAGGAAAAGTGATATAAACCTTAAACAATATTAAGCTATGGAAAATAGCAAAATATATAACAACTATATTTCCTCTATCTGTAGAGTGCTTTTTCTATACATTCCATTGTCCTTAGTAGTAAATTAGAGAAAGTATATTTATAAATAAGCAATATGCAAAAAAAAAAAAAAAAGTAGGGACAACCAATAAATTGCAAATATAAAAATTAAAGAACAACAAGAAAGCTCACTGCATGGGAGAAGATATTTGCCAATGTTATCTCTGTAAGGTTTTAATCTCTAAAATTGACAAGGAACTCAGAAATTAACAAAAGGATGATAAACAATCCAATAAAAAAATGGACAAAGTATGGGAGGGGAGGGGCAATGGTAAAATATGTACACAGATAATAATTTAATAAAAAAAATTTTTTTTAAATGGGCAAAGGTACTAAATAGACACTTTTCAGAAGAGGACATACAGAAGGCCAAGAGACACATGAAAATATCCTCAAAGTCACTAATCATCCGAGAGATGCAAATCAAAACAATGAGGTAACATCTCACACCCTGTCAGAATGGCTGTCATCAACAAATGACAAGTGCTGGCAAGGATATGGAGAAAAAGTTACCCTTATGTACTGCTGGTGGGAATGCAGACTGGTGCAACCACTTAATTTTAAAAATTATTTGTCTTGTATACACACACACATACACACACACACACACAATATGGAGTTTTCTCAAAACCTTAAAAATGGAACTGCCAGTCGACTGAGTAATCTCACTTCTAGGAATATGACCCAAGAAATCAGAAACACCAATCAGAAAGGACATCTGCACCCCTGTGTTCATAGCAGCACAATTTACAATAGCTAAGATTTGGAAACAGCCTAAATGTTCATCAGCAAATGATGGATTAAAAAACAGTGGTATATCTATACAAAGGGATATTCCACTGCTATAAAAAAGGAGGAACTTCTATCATTTGCAACAGCATAGATGGACCTGGAGAGCATTATGCTAAGTGAAATAAGTCAGTCAAGAAAGATAAATAACACATGATCTCATTTGTGAAATATAATGAACATAGACTGATGACCAAAAATGGATCCAGGGACAGAGAAGCACCAAACAGACTATCAAACCTCGGGAGGAAGGCAGGGAAGGAATTTGGGAATAGAAGAGATCAACCAAAGTACTTGTATGCCTGCATATTAGCATAACCAATGGACAGGGCCACTGAGGCAGTATGGGCTTGTCCTGGGGGGTGAGGGTGGCTAGGGAGGGGTTGGTGGGGGAAAAGGAGACATATGTAATACTTTAAGCAATAAAAAAAATTAATAGAAAGAAAGAAAAAAAAATTCAACCTAAGTCATAATAAAAAATGTGAATCAAAATAGCATTGAGTCCTGGCTGGTTTTTGCCCTATGGTTAGAGCATCAGCCTGGGAACCAAAGGGTCTCAGGTTCAATTCCTGTTCGAGGGCATGTACCTCAGTTGCAGGTTCCCCAGTACTAGTAGGGATGTATGTGCATGGGAGGCAACCAATCAATGTGTCTCTCACATAGATGTTCCTCATGATGTCTGTCTTTCTCCTCCCCCCTTCCCTTACCACTGATTTCTCTTTAGAAGGGGGGTTGAAAAATATCCACAGGTGAGGTTTAAAAACAACAACACCGCATTGAAATGACATTCTTTTCCTACCAAGTCAAATATTTCTAAGATTCTGATGCTCAGTAGTTGGCATTTCCTCTATAGCTAGTAGGCATATAAAGTAATATAGCCAATTTGGTTATATGTGTTTAAAACCCTTAAATTAATGTTACTTCTACAAATTTGTCTTGAAATAATCAGAGCTGTGTATAACTGTTTTTGTTTGTTAACCCCATTGTTTTGTAATAATGACTTATGGAAATCACCTTAATGTCTAACAGAAAGATTGGTTAGATTAATTTTGCTATTTAAAGAATGGACAACTCTGCTGTCATTTAAAGCTTTGGAAAAATACTGAACGGTATATGCAATGAAAAAGCAAGTTACAAATGTGTTGAATATAATTCCATTTTATAACAAATTTAATTGCTTTAAATAAGTGTGTGTGTGTGTGTGTGTGTGTGTGTGTGTGTATAAGACACATTGTGTAGTATAGAAAAAAGACCAGAAGTATATATACCAAATTTTAGCAGTGTCTTTTGGAAATGGGATTATAGGGAATATCAATTTTAAAATTATTTTCACAATTTTTGTAGTGACAGATTATTAGAGTTGTTATCAAGAAGAAAATGGTGTTTTTAAAAGGTATATTAAGAGAGACTTGAAGGAACTGTGTGTACCTGCCATTTGTTCTAATGTTTTCATTTTTCAGATGGAAAACTGAGATCCTGAAAAAATGGTTGTTCACACAGATAGAGCTTGCTAGCTCCGAGCACAGTCCTTTCTAGTTTTCCTTGCTAATTTTCAGCAACCAGATTTCAGCACAAGTTAATGAAAAATTTTGTTCACAGCTCGAGCTAATCCAAGATACAAGGTTCCATGTCATTTACTGAATGAAATGGATGCAGCTAACATTGAACTGCAAACAAAAAGGTAACTAACTTACTTTTAGAGATTGAATGGTTTTTCTAGAGGATTAATCTAAATTAGGTCTTAAGTATTCTATATAATAGAGGTAATATGCAAATTGACCCTCACGCCATCACAAGTTGGCGACATATACAGTGGAGGGTAGGTTCCAGTAACACAAGATGGCTGCACCCACAGCAGAGGCAGGATTCCCGTAATGAGCAATCAGCAGGGACCTGAGACTGTGTGGTGCTGGGTCGGAGCAGGGGACCTGAGGCTGTGGCCCCTGCCACACCTCCCTCCCCCCCCACCAGCCTAGCAGGGCTTGATGGGGATACCTCAGACTGCGCCCCTCCCCCTATCGTGCACCGGAGGACTTGAGGCTTTGCCCCCTGCCCGGCAGGGCTTGATGGGTTGGGACTGGCCAGATCTGAATCTTGTCCAACGGGGGTGGGGCCAGCCAGGTCCTGATATAGGATCTCTCATGATTTTGAGGTGCACGAGGGTGGGTGGAGACTTGACTCTGGGTCCCACAGTGTGCCCCAGACTCTAACAGAGGAAAATTTTCACATACATTTTACTAATTTTCTTTTATCTCTGACACTTCTATTATAGAGAAAGGGCAAATAGCAATATTAAAATATTTCCTCTAATTCCCTTTTTATGTGCATGAATTTTGTGCACTGGGCCACTAGTTAAATAATGAAAATTAAAAAGAAAAAAATTCATCTAGTTAATGCCAATATCTGTTTTCAGCTGATTTTTTTATAGTGAGATTATCTTTGACTTTGAAATTATCCTTATCGTGTGAGAGTGAACAAAATAATGACATGTCAATGGCCATTGCTAAGTAGGAATTGAAGCCTAAGAAGACTTAGAGAAATCTGTGAGCACATAGTTAGCTAAATGAATTGTATCACAGCCTGTCAGATTATTCCCTTGGTATAAAGAGAGCCTGCTGTGAAAATCACCCCTCATATTTAAGTAGTTGTGGAGAACTGGCATGTAGTGACAGAAAAACAGAGGTGGGCAAAGGAAGGAAATGTAGATTCTACAAAATATGGGACTTACTGTCAGCCGTTGTCATAAACTTTTAATAGATTATTAAAGAGATGTTTTGTGAAAATTTGATGGTCTAAGCATTATTTTCTTTGGATGTCTAACCTTGGCCCCTGAAGAATTGGTTCTTTATTTGCTCTCTGACATGGTCTGTGGGGTGTTGGGTTAGAGAAAAGGAAATCCCATGGTCTTCATGGACCGAGGTGGCTGCTTATTTAGCAAAGGTTTGTTCAACATTTTTATCATTGGCTTGAACCCGAGGAGAAAGTAGCAGGTAGATTGAATGTCAAGCCAAGATTAAAGGAAATCTCAAAAATCAAGACAATAAAAATTAAAAACTTAAAAGAGAAAGATATCTTAAGGGTGAAAAACAGCCGGCATGAGTGGTGTGGCTCAGTGGTTGATATTAAAAACAAACAAACAACAACAAAAACACATCAAGAGATTCTCGTCATGTGGTCATCAAAAAAGCTGATTCTGTCTTTGACCACATTAATAGACTGTCAGAAGTACCTGGACAGTGGCAAAAGTCTCCTCCACTCCATTGGCCCAACTGCCTGGAGTAAATAGAGTGTGTGGCTGCTGCTGAGGACATTGAGCCTGGGGGGAGCAGTCTCAGGGGGATTATTGGATCAACCTCAGATATTTTAAAGAAGAATCTATGGAGTTAGTGAAAATCAGGATAAATTAAAAGTTTGTAAATCTGACACTTCATGGTTATTAGGAGCAGGTTTTTAGCATTTTGTTTATAACTATAATCTCAGGATTGGAAGAGTTCGAGTGTCAGTATACAGAGCAACATTGCACAATGTACATTAAAATTGATTTTCCTTGAAATGCATGATGGCAGAGCTGAAATTTTGCTATTTATTGAGAAGCTGAAAGGAGTCATTTTGGAGCATGGAAGAAAATGATGTTAATTATAATTATTTAGGTGGAATGGAGAACTTAATTCATATTGTAAAGCAAATGTTTTTGGTTTGAAATGAAATTTGTGTTTGTAAGAACATAGCATTTATGTACTTTTTTTTTTTTTTGCCTCTTTAAAGGGCAGAATATGATTCTACAAACAATAACTTTGAATTGCATCTCCACCTGGGCCCTCATTATCATTTCTTCAATGGGGCCCTGCACCCAGTAGTCTCTCAAACAGAAAGCGTGTGGGATTTAACCTTTGATAAAAGAAAAACTTTGGGAGATCTTCGACAATCAATATTCCAGGTATTTTAGCTGCACTTCCTCTTAATTTATACATTACAGTCCATCTTAAGCCGCATTTCTTTTCAAAAATCCTATTAAAGATCTGACTAGTTATTTTTCAGAGCTGCTTAGGAAAATCGGCCAGTTCCTTGAGGGGTGGCTCAGATAGTCTCCCCTCACTGGTCAGTCTTTTAGAGAGAGGCTTCCCTGGCAGGCAAGGCACTGTCCTGCAGAAGCTTTGCAGGGGCAGAATCAAACTGGCATGTTTTAATTTGGGGAAAGAGAGAGTACCAAGTTGTCTCTTTAAAAAAAAAATAAATGTAAAAAGTGTTTTTAAAGGTAATGAAGAGATAAAGATAAGCATGTTGTCTAAAACTAAGAACTACTGAACAAACAAAAGCAGCTCACTTGTACCTTTCAGTACAGAATAGCATCCTATATAATAATCCTATATAATAAAAGGCTAATATGCAAATTGCCCCCTCGGGAGTTTGACTGCCCACTATGACATCTGCTGACCACCAGGGGGCTGTGAGGGATGAAGGAAGGCCCTGGTCAGCCCTGATCGCTGGCCAGGCCTAGGGACCCTACCCGTGCACGAATTTTGTGCACTGGGCCTCTGGTTTATTAATAAGATTGTTAAGTGAAGGAAAATACCTACTGGTTTATGGTAAAACAAACATTGTTGTAATCATTGTTTCCAAATAATTTATCCAGTCGTATTTTAATGACAATAATAATATTGCTCTTTATTTTACTCCCAGAGCTTTGATATTAATTATGTCATTTGGTTCTTTAACCTCCTGGGGTCAAGTTAACCCTAAGATGATGAGATTGTGATTTATATGTGATTTGCCTGTGGTCAGACACCTAGTTAGTGGTGGAACAAGGATTCCTGTCTTGGTCTCCCTACTCTTTCTTCACCCCACACTACTTCCTGATATAGGAAAAGGGAAACAGAACATGTAAGCTTTTTTTTTTTCTTTTCCAGAAATAATTGAATTTTCTGAAAAACTATTAATTACTAAAATTGTTAGTTTTCTTTTGACTTCTCTTTTTGTACAAAGAGAAGCAAGCCAGTTTTGTGTGTGTGTTTTTTTTTTTAACTTCAGTTTATTTGAATTATATTTAAATGTTGGATCAGCATCAGGATTTCTAAAATTGTCTAATATCTCTGAACTTTTGCATTAAAAGTTCATTTCGGAGCCAGTCCTGGCAGTTGGGGATCTTACCCTAAGATGACATTAGGTGATAAATAAAAAGGACCTTTTACTGAAGGTCTGTTATTTTAGAAGCCAGCCACTGGCAAGAGGCTGTGAGATTGAAGTTAACTAATTGCTTATAAATATGAAATTTCTTCTTAAGAGTACTGTCTTGTGGTATTGTGGAGAGAAACTAAATAGAATTAATCTTTATGGGTGATGCTATTTCGTAGAGGTTACCATAGTCCCCAGAGTCTTGGATCTACAAACTTATAAAACAAACCCCTGGTAATCTATTACACTGTTTAAATTTACAGTGGGAAGCATTCCTTTCAGGTGTTAGAGTCAATGCTGCTTTTTCTGAACAGCACTGATTAAATCTTTTCGCTCTTTTGGACATTTTCCTGGGCTGGTATGTTGGTCAGTTTGCCTCTGATAAAAGTGGTCTTCCCATAAGTTACATAGAATTGTTTAGATAGTAATTGTGCTCTTTGTGTCTGCCAAGATTTTCCCATCACTAATGGGGAAGATTAACCAACTTTGATGTAACTGATTTAATAATGAGTGATATCTTCTTTTCTTACTTTCCCTGTTGGGCGGGATGGGATGGGAGTATTCATTTGTTTGCTCTCCGTATCTTCCACATATGTACTGGCACATTACATGTCTTATTTAACCTGGGAATGTGATTATTTTTCTTGTGCTCTTTTCTTTTACAAATATTCTGTAGCTGTTAGAATTTTGGGAAGGAGACATGGTCCTTAGTGTTGCAAAGTTTGTACCAGCAGGACTTCACGTCTATCAGACACTTGATGGTAAGATAAATATTAAAACACAGCGGTTCATTTTATATATTTATACTTTTGTGGGCTCATCTGGGATTTTCTACTCCCAGCCAGTCTTCCCCCCTACCTACTACTTTTTAAAAAATAAATTTATTGTTGATAGTATTACCAATATCTCCCATTTCCTCCCCTTTTCCTCCCCATCTTCTCAGCCCATATCCCCTTTCCCCCTATTACCCGTGTCAATGGGCTATGCATATAAGTATGTAAGTTCTTTGGTTTATCTCTTCTCGTCCCTCCACCCCCACATCGAGGTTAACTATGTGATTTATCTAATTTATAATGTCTCCAATTTATATAACATGTAAAATTTTGCTAACTTGGAAACATTTTATAATTTCTGAAATTAAGGCTGTCTCTGTACCAAATTAATTTGTTAAAAGGCCTTGCAATTTTTTTTAATTGTTACCAGAGGTTATGTTTTTATTGATGAGAGAGAGAGAGAAACATCAATCAGTTGGCCTCCTATGAGCACCTTAAATGGGGATTGAACCCACCACTTGAGTACATGCCCTGACCGGGAATTGAACCTGTAAACTTTGGTGTACAGGACAGTGCTCCATTCAACTGAACCACTGGCCAGGGCTATATAGCATGATTTTTTTTTACCCAACTCTTAGTTTCATATTTTGTAGCAAAAGTAACAAGTGTGCTTTGAAAGCTGAAAAGTATTTACTTCCTTTAAATAACAACAAAACGGTAATAATAGCAGTCACAGTGGTAACAGTTACTTTGGGCTTCACTCTGCCAAATACTAAGATAAGTGTTTTATATAAATTATCTCATTTGATTGTTACAAAATTCCTTTTTCCCCACTTTATTCATGAGAAAATTGAAGTGTAGAGACGTGAAGTATACAAGGACATAACAGCTAATTAGTGGTGGAGCTGGGACCATTTGATGCCAAATTCTTATTCCTGTTCACAGGGCCAAGCACAGTTGACTTCATATTCAACTCTTGTTTCCCACTGTCATGCTCACAAAACTTATGCAGCAACAAGGGGAAATGCTTACATAAAGAAAAAACTAAACAGTGAGATGGGTGGAATAAAGATAAAATTGATATAATAAACATAATTACTACCTTCTTAATTTTTCTTAATGGGAACGATTTAAAAAAAATAAAATGTAAGTGTCTCAGCTCTTTCTTTAGATGAATGGTCTCACTGACTGTCTCCTAATCCTAGGAGATGACCTGACACTGTGTGACCTTGAAATTGCTGATGAGGAAGACATCTTTGTATGGAATGGAGTGGAGGTAAGAAAGTATTTAAGAAATATTCATGATAGTTTTGGATTTTTCAAGTCATTGTAATGAAATTTTATTCAGCATATGTGAAGGCAATTAGGTATTAGAAAACTACTGAAATACTTAATAAATTTTAGGTACAGTAAATAGTAGTTATGTGTTAAAGAGATATTTATTGAGCCCCTCCACTCTGCCAGGCTAGGTGTCAGAAGCTAAGTTCAGAGATTCAGATTTCATGGTGTAACTGCACTAAGTGCTGGGGGCGGGAGGCGGGGAGTGTGGGGGGACGGTGTCTGTGCATATTCCCAGTCGGAATTTAGAAGAGGGCAAATAGCTCTATTGAATTAGGGAGTAAGAGTAGAGTGAATTTTCTAAGTCAGGAAAAGGGTGAGGAACATCTCAGCCACTCAGTGAACTCTCCCAGGCACTTATTCCCAAGGCTTCATTACCACCTCCGAGGACTCGTATATCTCTGTCCCCACTCCAGGTTTCTCCTAAAAAATACAAGATGGCTAAGAGAAAGTTTCAAACGAAATATATAAGGTTATTTTCTGATACTTAAAAGACATTTGTCAAAACTTCACTTGGAAAAATGAGAATTATTCTGCAAGAGGAGTCTTCTGTTACTGTGTTGACTTAATGTTGGCAAATGTAAACTATACTAATGGTTGTCTTGACATTATTGTAGGTTGGTGGAATCCAGATTCCCACTGGTAGTGACTGTGAACCTCTGCTTTTAAATGTTCTTCATCTGGCAACAGGCAGTGAAGAGTGCCGGCAGTTGGTAGAATCTCCACAGGTCTTCCCAGCTAATGCAGAAGTGGGCACAGTATTCACAGCCTTAGCAATGCCAGGAGGTGTCATCTTTACCAGCAATACTGAGTCTGTAGGTGGGGAGAGCTGGACTGCCATTCCCAAGGAGGACTTGAAGAAGACCTTCAGAGAACAAGGCCTCAGAAATGGAAGCTCAATTCTGATTCAGGATTCCAGTAATGATAATAACAGGTAACTCGATGAAAAAAAATTTTTTAAGTTATTTAAATTAGAGAACTATCTCTTAAAACTCTAAAGCTTTCTTTTACTAAGAGTTAAATGTTTCCTTTCATTTCTAGACATTATGTACTGTGTTTTGTAAATAGGAATGCTCTAGATTAGGCAAATTGGAGAAAAATGATATTATAATGCAATAACGAAGTAATATAGATGTAAACAAGATATAGTCAAAATTAGTTGGCTATAAAACAGAATCCTATCTGAGTAACTCTTATTAGTGTTCCTTATAAAATTGAAGACATATTCTCACAAAGTTGGTTCCTGAAATTTTTTATGAGAATTATATGAAGATTATAGCTAAATTTACCTATTTTGTCACAAAAATCCCACACGCAATTCAGCTTTTCATCACAGTCCTTTATTATTCTTGAGCTCCTCTCAACTGCCCACGTAGGGCAGTTATAGGGGGAACTATGCCCGTGATTCCATAAGTAGCGTTTGGAACCCAGAAACACTGCCTCTCTTCATTTTTGTTATCCATGTCTTGATACTGTAGTGTCAGTTTCTGTAGTCATTGGGTCCCCTACGGTAACTCCCCGCTACCCCCCCAGCACCCAAATTCCACATGTAGGAGACTTTAGGTTATAAACCTAGTCGGTTTCCTGCTTCATCAGTGCTGTGAATATGCTTAGATTACAGAGCTCTGTATTTAGTGGCTGCGACACAGAGGAGCATTTGTGATTATGCTTATTTTATGTAACATTTATCATTGTTATTCTTTTGGGTGTTTTTCAGACGTTTACTTCCCCACCATGTGTATCTAATTAAAAAGTTTATTATGTATTTCTTTTTTTTCTTTTTTAAAATATATTTTATTGATTTTTTACAGAGAGGAAGGGAGAGAGAGCTAGAAATGTCGATGAGAAACATCGACCAGCTGCCTCCTGCACACCCCCCATCGGGGATGTGCCCACAACCAATGTACATGCCCTTGACTGGAATCGAACCTGGGACCTTTCAGTCTGCAGACCGATGCTCTACCGCTGAGCCAAACCGGCTTTGGCTGTATTTCTTTTTTTAAAGTACCATTTATTAGGACTTGGGAAATTCAGATCTGAAGCTTGGAGACTGGCAACAGTGTCACTGCACCTCCCAAGCATGTCAGTCATTGTTAGCTTTCCTGTTTGAGCTCAGATCGTTGATTTTTTTGTTTTGAAGGCTTTTTTCTTTTTGAACATGCCAATTATTCTTTAGATAGCTACATCCTGTTTTCCCCATGTTGGTAGACTCTTCATAAAACTCATTCTACATGAGAATCAGTGTTGATGTTATAGCATACCCAGCTGCTCCTGTGGGAGGCAGTGCAGGTAGTGGGAAAGGACAAGGGCTCTGGGACCAGCTGCTTGGATCTATTTCCAGCTTTTTCAACTCCTAACTGTGTGACCATGGGCAAGTTACTTCATCTCTCTCTGCTCAATTTCTTCTTCTGTAAAGAGGGGATAATAATTAGTACCAACTTCATAGAGGTGTAAGGATCAAGTGCTTTACAAAATGTGCACATAGTGGGTGCTGAATATTTTAACTAGCATCATCATTGTCATTGTCATTATTAGCTTTTCACTATTTTAAGGGTTTCTTTGTGCTTAAAACTTTGCTGTATTTAGGATTGCTAACTTCAGGTGGGGTCCAAATAGGAATAACTGAAATAAAGAGTAGGATTGTGTGTCAGGGCTCTGATATGCACTCCCAGAGAGGACTTCCACTAGCCATTCAGTGCCTCCATGTGAGTTAGGAAGAAGTCCCTTTTTAAGATTCTTTACCTACTACCTGTAGTAAAGGCTTGTTAGAACAAGTTACTCTACTGCCATCTGCTATCATAAAATAGCACTTCTATAATAAAAAACAAATATTCAGTGTGTGATGTAAGCGACACCCCTTAGCTGTGGCACTTTGATGCAGTGTCGGTCTGCACAACTGTACATGGCTGTCTTGTTATTAAATCGAAATCTAGTGGGTGGGTCTTACGTATAGCTGCTCTTAAAGCCCTTCTGCTGATAAAAGTGTGCAGGCAGAAGTCAACAGCTGATTGTTCAGTTACAACAGTTCTTTTTGAAAAGTGTGGCAACAAATTATTTGTCTTAAGTCAAAGAATATCTGAGTCATTAATATAGATTCCATAGAATATAGACTCCATAGAGTACTGCCTGATACTGTCCTAAAAAGATAGTCAACTTTAATAAAACCAGCTCAGTAGAAGTTGGTCACCTTTAATGAGTCACATTAAGAGACAGAGGCAGAATTTTAGAAGTGGTGCCTAAGGAACAATATTGATATTCTGATTCTTCCTGATCTATACAAGTGCTGTGTAAAGACACTTTTTAAAAAAACATCTTTTACCTACAGTTTGTTGACCAAACAAGGGAAATGGATCACTAGTATGAATGAGGTCGACTGGGTCCAAGTTAATAATTTATGTCAATTGGAATCTGAAGAGGAGAAAGTTAAAATATCAGCAACTGTTAACACAGTGAGTAGATTATAATTAAAGTTTAGTTGATAGTGTTTTAGTTAACAATTTTATTTAGAAAGCAATACCTTACTCTTCCAGAAAAGTTTCAGATTTCTAAATCCTAAGAAATCAATATTTTATTTTTACTATCTAATTATTGCTTATTTACTTATTATTAGTTCTTGACATAGTTCAAGAAAATATGTGCTTCCCCCCCCCACCCCCCATCCAAAGCCTAGAATTAGAAAGTGGGCGTTAGGTATTTAACTGGAATGGAATCCTCTGGTTTTGTTGTCAAATATATAATGCTATATCAAAATATGAATATTTATTTTTATTAAAATGTGAAATGCTGTTTTCAAGGGTCATTTTTGTAATTTTTAAAACAGGTATATATATTTTATGTTGTTTTTTTTTTAAGTTTAACTGAAATTGCTCTACATTATACTCTGTGCTCTATATCATTAGTCGCCAACCGATGGCCATGAGGTCTGAAAGGTTGGCGACTGCTGGTTTTAGGAAACGTTTGGAGCAGCAGTCACCAACTGGTGGTCTGTGAGGTCTGAAAGGTTGGCGACCACTGCTCTATATAAAGCCCCCTCTCTTTAAAAGGGCGTCCTCCAGTCTTTCATTTGAAGATACTAGTTTCCTTAAACATTATTTCAGAAAACATCTTTTTTTATTTATATAGTTTCAATTCATTGCTTTTTTTCTATAACATTAAAAGAACCATTAGAATGATTTTTTTCTATGAGTATTATGATTTCTTAAGGTGCATTCATATTTGTTGGTATAATAAAGGGGCAGTTTAAACCTACCTAAGAGGAGACTTTAGTGAAGTCCCTGAGTCGTCTTAGCACAGTGTGGGGCACCGGTGGGAGGGTAGAGTGGATCTCTGACACCAGTTTAACCCCTAAATTTCCACAATTTTATGCCTTAGAGCAGCAGTTGCCAAACAGTGGTCCGCCAACCACTGGTGGTCCATGAGGTCCAAAAAGTTGATGATCGCTGGGTTAAGGAAACCTTTGGAGCAGCAATCGCCAGCTGGTGGTCCGTGGACCTCTGGTGGTCTGTGAGGTCCGAAAGGTTGGCGACCGCTGTCCTAGAGGCAGTTAGCCTAAACTAAAAGGAAAACAGGTCTAATAAAGTAATGTAAACATTTTAAATAGTGCCCTTGGGTTAGTATTATATATTTGTATATAAGTTATGCTTATTGGCACTGAATATATCACTCTTAACATAAAGAAAAGTGATGACCTGAAATTTTGTTTCCTCTCATCAAAAAGGTTAGTGGTTTGTCAGTTTTTTGTTTTGTTTTTTCTAGCTAGAATTGTTTTTCTGATTCTCTATAATAGTCATTTCTGTTCCAGTTAACATCAGGTTGGTAAAAACTTGACTATTAAAATCTAAGTTTTTTATTTTGACTTTGTAGAAGAGAGAAAATGAATTTCAGGGATGAAAAAAAAAATTTTAAGTAGGTAAAAACTACCAAATATCAGGTAATTAATAATTCAATCTGTACATGCACACATTGACAATCTCCACTTTCTTATTCTCCCATTGTTTTCAACTTATACACAGTCATTAGTTTATTTCTCTATTTTAGGTGGTGTTTGATATTCGAATTAAAGCCATAAAGGAATTAAAATTAATGAAGGAACTAGGTAATTATTTATGTTTGGTTTGGGGGTTCAGTTTAGTTTTTATTTTTAATTGAAAAAATTATGGGAGAGTACAAAAGTAATTTAGGGAAAACTCATGTACCTACCACCCAAAATGGACAGATGTTAACATTTTGTCATGTGTTTGTTTTTGTTTGAAACATTACTAAGTCCTCTGTGTCCTCCTCAGACCTACTCTCTCTCCCTCCCCAGTTGCAGCCTCTATATCTGTTTTGGGTATGTGTCTAGTCTATGGACTTATTTGTATATATTATGTTCCCTTATATATGTTTATGTGTATATTACACTTAAATAAATTATGATACTGAGTATAGCATTATATAAATTCACTATTCACTCAGCATTGGGTTTTCTTTAACAGTCTTTTATTGAGGTATAGTGTACATACCATCAAATACCCTTTTGAAGCATAATTCAGTGATTATTAGTTAAGGTATAGAGTTGTACCACCAACACTGTAATTGAGTGTTAGAACATTTCCATCACTCCAAAACAATCCCTCATTCCTATTCACATTCTGAGCCCCTGATAACCACTCACCTACTTTCTGTCTGTCTAGATTTGCTTTTCTGGACATTTCGTATAAATGGAACCATATAATAAGTTTTTTTTTATGCCTGGCTTCTTTCACTTAGCAATCCAGTTTTTTATTCATCCATGATTTACCATGTATCAGTAATTTGTTCCTTTTCCTAGTATTCCATTCTATGATAGGTTACATTTGGTTTATTCATTTACTAGCTGATTGATTCATTAACTTTTTGGCTTTTATGAAGAGTGTGCTATAAACCAGCAGTCGCCAACCTTTTGGACCTCGTGGACCACCAGTGGTTTGTGGAACACTGGTTGGCGACCGATGCTGTAAACACCGTCTTTGTGTGGACATGTGTTTTTGTTCTTTTCGGTAGATATGCAGGGTTAGAATTACTGGGTCAAATGGCAAATTTATGTTTAGCTTTATAAGAAGCTGCCATACTATGTTCCAAAGTGGCTGAACCAGTAATATGTCAGGTTAGTAACTGGCACTAGTTGTAATTATATTTTTTATTATAGCCATTCTAGTGAATATGAATTGGTATATCATGGTGTGTTCAATTGTATTTTCCTTTTGCAATGATAGTGAGCATTGTTGATGTGCTATTGTCCATTTGTATATCCTAAGAATTCTACTAAAAAGCTATTAGAAATAATAAGTTTGATAGGAATTCAAATCATATACAAAAGTCCATTGTATGTTTACCTACTAGTAACAAAAACAAATGGAAGATGAAATTAAGAAAACACTTAGAATAAAATATCATAAAATACTTGGGGATAAAATTAACAAAATGTGTGCAAGACCTGTACACTGAAATCTAGGGAACATTGCTGTGAAAAATAAAAATGACCTGAATAAATGGAGCGATGTTCCATGTTCTTGAGTCAGAAGACACAATATTGCTAAGAGGCTAATTCTCTCAAAATTAATTTGTGATTTCATGCAGTCTCACTCATAATCCTAGAAGATATTTTTGTTGTTGTTGTTTTTTTGGGAGGGGGGAGAGAATTAATGGAAAATTATTAACAATTAAAAAATTATATTAGCCAAAACCAGTTTGGCTCAGTGGTAGAGCGTCTGTCTGCGGACTGAAAGGTCCCAGGTTCGATTCCGGTCAAGGGCATGTACAGTGGTTGCGGGCACATCTCTGGGAAGGGGTGTGCAGGATGCAGCTGGTCGATGTTTCTCTCTCATCGATGTTTCCAGCTCTCTCTCTCTCTCCCTTTCTCTCTGCAAAAAATCAATAAAATATATTTAAAAATTGTATTAGAATTATATGCTAGTTTCATATGATTATAGTATAGTATAGGATATAGAACTCAGGAATCTCAGAAAGAGATTCTGCCAAGGTCTAATAAAATTAGAACTTCTAAAATCCATGCCATTCTTTCTCTCTCTGAAGACTTCATTCTCCCAACCTCCCCACTTCATGTCCAACTTGATAAGAATTCTGATTGGACCAAACCTGGTGTGCTCCTTCCCACAAAACAGACAGAGGGACCACACAGAGCGCACATGGACTGGCCCTGGCCCTCCTCGCCGCTGCCTCTCCTGCGCCACCAGCCCTTGGCCCTTACAGCTGCTGCGGCTTTGTCCAGAAGGACTTCCAGAAGACATTAGCATATTACCCTTTTATTAGTATAGGTTAGTTACCCAGAAACACAGTTCAAATTCCAGCTATCACTGGATTTAACTGCATAATTGCGCAAAGCACAAACTTGGCTCCCAGCTTCAGTCTGCAGATCACTACAGAAATAACAAACATACATTACTGCATGTCTGATCATTAATTTCACCACACAGGCAGCAGAGTGTGTGTAGTTCATTGCCTCCTTCTCCCAGTGGTAAACCCATGTGACGTTTTATAAGGACAAGTCTTCAAACTGGCCAGCCAAGAGGAAAGTGCAGCAAAGAAACAAAGCATGTGGAGTGATAGAAGAAATAGCTGACATGGGGGTGTTGACATGCCGTCATTCAAGAGACTAGCCACGCAGGTGGAGGAACTTAATGAGCGGGCACATCTGCAGAAGTGAGGACCATGATTGTGACAGAAAGAATGAAGCTGTCCTAGGAGAGGTGATGCTGACAAAAAAAAAAAGGTTCATATTAAAGGAGCTCTTGGGCATATTTCATGAGGTTGAAAGCACAAAGTGTAAAATATTGGAAGCTGATCCAAACTTAGACATCTGAGTATGATAGTTCACTGTGAAAAGAAAAGATGCTCACTGTGTAGCATAAGTCACAGGAGTAGCTGAAGAAAGCAAGACCTGTTTACACTATTGACATATTTTGTACAAGGAAATAAGACATCTTTTAAAGGGCAAGAAAATTGTAATTTTTCTCACTGTTAAAATTGCTTTGCATAGTTTCAGCTTGCAAAGCATTGTTACAGTCCTGTGCTACTGCAGTACAAAGTGAAGACGGTAATACTTGTTTTCTGGTTGTTGGGGGACGGAGGGGTTGTTTTCATTTTAGCTTATCGTAGCCCCTGCTAATTAACACAGTAGAGGCTCTTTCATTTTCTTTCTTTGGTGCACTGACCAGCTTCTTCTTACTTGTAGCTGAAAACAGCTGTTTGAGACCTATTGATAGAAATGGGAAGCTTCTTTGTCCAGGTAAATCTTTGTGGTAGCTTCCAAAAGCTGACACATATTCATGCTATCTAACTTTCTTAACACTTTTACCTTAAATGACAGATTCCAATATCTAAAATTCTTTAATTACCTTTTAGAAATTAATTTATAGGACATAATTTTATCCAGGTATCTTACTCATGTGTTACAGAATATCTTAACCAAAATTCAAACAGTTCTGTTTTAAAACAGCTGCCTTTCTGATTAGCTGATCCTCATTTTAGTCATGGTTTTAATCTACTTGTATCCTTATAGATTTATTGTCAATTTTTTAATTTGCTAACTTTATTGAGATATCTATTATTGAATAGAGCCTTCTAACCTCTAACACTTGTTGTCATTAGATGTAATTGAGACTAATTATTAATAGTAGACTCTAGAATATTCCTAGTCACCTTTTATGTCTTAGCATTGTTGTACAGATAACAGGAAAAATATATTCTAGCATTTGGAAATAGAAAATCAAACATAAAGATAATATATATAACTCTTTTGCATAGAGTGCAACTTTTTCTTTCTTAACATTCTTGATTTTCAAAAGAAAAATTGCAATATAGTATTTTGCCCAGAAAGGTAGGGATGAATAATATTCATTCTGTTTTTAAAAAATTTTGTAGTGCCAGACAGTTACACATTGAAAGAAGCAGAATTGAAGATGGGGAGTTCACTGGGACTCTGTCCTGGAAGAGCACCAACTTCCTCTCAGGTAATATGAGATCACCTGGCCACCACACCCACCTTCCCGCAGTCAGTTCTTCACTTCGTAATTCACTAGAGGCCCAGTGTATGAATTCATGCACCAATGGGGTCCCTCATCCTGGCCTGCAGGATCAGGCCGAAACCAGCCCTCCCACATCCCCCCAGGGGTCCTGGATTGTGAGAGGGCACGGGCCAGGACAAGGGACCCCATCGGTGCACGGTCAGGGGTGGAGAGGGACGAAGGAGGTTTGCCAGCTAGGAAGAGACCATGGGACGGCTCCATGGCATGTCTGTCAGTCTTGGTTGGCTGGACCTCAGCTAATCTACTGTTTGGAACATCTGCCTCCTGTCAGTGCAAATCATAGCAATTGGTTGACTGGTCAACTATCTGCCCCCTGGTGGTCAATGCACGTCATAGAGAGTGGTTGCGTGGCCTTAGCATATCATTAGCATATTACACTTGATGGGTTGAAGGAACGACCAGACACTTAGCATATTAGGCTTTTTATTATATAGGATACCTTAACTATTGCAGTAAAACTATAATTCTTAAACTTTTTATTTTCGTTAAATGATACCTTTTATTTTAGGAATATATCCTTATAGTTCTCTGTGTTTATTTTTTAATCTTTTAAAAATATTTTTTATTGATTTTTTTTACAGATAGGAAGGGAGAGGGATAGAGAGATAGAAACAATGATGAAAGAGAAACACCGATAGCTGCCTCCTGCACACCCCCCAACTGGGAATGTGCCCGCAACCAAGGTACATGCCCTTGAATGGAATTGAACACGGGACCCTTCAGTCCGCAGGCTGATGCTTTATCTACTGAGCCAAACCGGTCAAGGCTAGTTCTCTGTATTTAAATAAAAAATACTAGGCTGGCCAGTGTTGCTCAGTTGGTTCAGTAACATCCAGTGCACCAAAAGGTCGCCAGTTAGATTCCCTGTGAGAGCACATGGCTGGGTTGCAGGTTGATTTCCAGGTTAGGGCACTTGCAGAAGGCAACTGATCAATGTTTCTCTCACACATCCATGTTTCTCTCTCTTCCTTCCTCTCTCTAAGCATGTCCTTGGGTGAGAACTTAAAAAAAAAAAAATTGTAGCTGAAACCGGTTTGGCTCAGTGAAGAGAGTGTCAGCCTACGGACTAAAAGGTCCCGGGTTCGATTCCGGTCAAGGGCATGTACCTTGGTTGCGGGCATATCCCCAGTGGGGGGAGTGCAGGAGACAGCTGATTGATGTTTCTCTCTCATCAATATTTCTAACTCTCTATCTCTCTCTCTTCCTCTCTTTAAAAAAATCAATGAAATATTTAAAAAAAAAAATTTAAAATTGTAAATAAAAAATACTGTCAAAGCATAGTTCTGTGAAAACTGGTTAAGGGGACTCTTATGGCTACTAGTTTCAACCATATTTCAGAAATTCTGAAATGTGCCCTTTCCCCCCCAGCTTTTAACATCTGTGAGATTAGGCTGCATCTTTTATCCGTGGCATGCTCCAGTGGTAGCCAGCACTGTGTTTTCTTTTTTCATGGTACATAAAGCAATGAGTAATAGCTAATTAAATTTTAGATTTAATGAAATACAGAATATTAATTCTGGATGTAATTTCTCTACAATAATATAATTCACAACAGCTTGGTCTTTATCAGTATTCATTTCCTGTATAAATACCATTTGTTTGACTTTGCCAGAAGCCCTACCTATGTAGTAAACTTTCATTACAGTCCCAAAGTCATATTTATGTACTTACTGTTAAGACTGTGCCAAGGTTAGCTTGTTCATATCAAGAACCCTCTGTCTGGATCCGCTTAATTCATTTTCCAACAACCTCTCTTTCATTTCTTCTTCCCTGAACCTGAGCACAAGCTGGAAAAGGAAAACGTGACATGTGAAGTTGAGTTACAAAGGAAAATAGGCCCAGCCACTGTTGCTCAGTGGTTGAGCATCCATCTGTAAATCAGGAGGTCATAGTTCGATTCCCTGTCAGGACACATGCCCAGGTTGCAGGCCCAATCCAATGTAGGGGACATGCAGGAGATAGCCAATCGATGGTTCTATCATCATTGACATTTCTCCCTCCTTTCTGAAATCAATAAAAACATTTTTTTTTAATGGAAGGAAAATAGGGCTCTAAGCAGCTGAATTGACAAGAGATCAGACTCACATTTTTCCTGTAGAGTCTTAGGAATCATAGTATATGGACAGAAAATAAGGTCACAACCAAATGATTCAGAGAAAAACACAGTTATGCTTATAGTGTATAGTAATTACAAGTCCCTTTGAGGAATGACCAAGAAAGATGGAGCTCATGGAAGAATAAATAATATCAGTGAGAGATTTTAGGAGTAAAAACATTGGTGATGAAGCATCTTACATTTCTAGATAGTTGAGATTATTATTTAAATTGTAACATTAAATTACCTAACATAGCCTTGTTTTTACATAATTTGAGATTTTTATTACAGTTTCATGGACTTCATGAAACTTTTCTTTTTTTGGAAGTAAATAATGCATTTGTAGGATTTTAAAATTTAGATTGAGTTGCATTCACACTCTGTCTTGATCTTAGCTGTTCCTGTTTTTCGCTATGGGGAGTGATATCCAGCCCGGGTCTGAGATGGAAATCATAGTAGAAGAAACAATCTCTGTGAAAGAAGTAAGTTATTTTACTTGGGGGAGGAAGGGGAGTCTGTGGATGTCTGATATGGGGAACAGGAATAACCTGTATTAGGATTTCGAGGTCCTAAGGCTAGAAGTTTATATAATATACTTTAAATAATTATATGTACCCACTAAAGGAATAGTTTTGGGAGCTTGAAAATTGGTGAGCCAACTGGAATTTTACATTAAGTTATTTTTATTATTATCAATAATCCTGTTGATTGTAGAAATAGATTTTTTAAAAACATTAAAACCCCTTATCATCCTTATCCCAATAATATGACTATTGTGGCTTATTTCCTTTGTTTTCACTTTATCTACTCACACACATAAACAGAGGTAGAAATGTGAGTGTGTGTGTGTGTGTGTGTGTGTGTGTGTGTGTGTGTGTGTGAGATAAAGCAAACACATGACTGGGTGTCCTGAGAACTGGGACTTTCATTGTGGGAAATGGACAGAATGACAGCTTTGTGGATAAGTGAAACCTGTACTTCGAATTTGAATTAGAAGAATCAAAGTTGCTGTATTTTTTCTTTGAACAAATATTTTTCTACTTCCTCCTCCTGAAACAGCCTAGAAACAGTGACTAGCCTAGCCATTGCGAGCACCCAGATTGTGGTTGCTAGCTACTATTTTCTACAAGGAGGAGCCAGGGCTCTGTGTCTAGGTCAGGAGAGTGTAAGATGAGCCTGCAGCACCTTGTCAGGACAGAAAGAAGGGAAGCCAGCAAGGATGACTGGTGTCAGCAGAGAAACACAGAAGTCTCTCATCTTTGAAGAGGCTGCCTCTGGTCAAAATAAGACAGCTTAGATCTCAATGGGAATGGCGATAAAAGTTGACTGGTATATCAAGTCAATGAGTTCATGTGACCCTAAAAATGCTATCTTCGTTAGGAACCTATGGGTAACCAAGTGGGTGTTTGGGAACCATAAAGAGTCAAACATTTGTCCTGTTTTTTGTTTTACAGACTATACTGCAGGGCAACTAGACAGATAACAGGTTTTTAAATAAACAATCCCAGTTATTAAAAGGAGAAAGAATTTTAAACTATCAGTTTTTCAGCCCTGAATGAGGTCTAAAGGCAATGATCCTAAAAGCCTGCTCACAACCCAAAAAGGACAACACTCAGGCATTGTAGAAGTTTAACACTACCTGTGCTTTTCATGCCCCCTGTCCCCCAACCCCCAAGCATCCTGATTCTGACCAAACCTAAAGTACAGTCAGCACAGTCCAAAAGTGGAAAACTCTTCAAGAAACCAGCTATGGGGAGAGGGCCTGTAGGTCAAAAGATCTTATCTCAGGAGAAACAGCAAGCAGGGCAAGGTGTGGACTTCATTTGACCCTTGATTCAAATCAAAAGAACTCTAATGGTTTGGAAGAAAGTTGGGAAATTTGAACACTGATTAGATAATTGTTATTAAAGAATTCTTAATTTTTTAAAATGCCATCATTATTTTAGGGTTTTTTTTCAAAAAAAATGTTTATCTTTCCATAAATATTAATAAATACTATATGATACCTGATATTTGCTTCAAAAGAATCTGGGTTAGGGTACTGACAAGCACAATTGGCTGCCCCAGTGATTGAGATTGAGGGTCCTCATGTGGCTACAGAGTTCGATGTGAAAACACGTTTTTAGTAAGTTTCTTTACTCTTGTTACATGCTGAAAATATTTTTGGAGTTTTTCATTTGCCTTTGAATTTTAGTGTTGTGTTTGTTTTTAATTTCAAAGAAAGGAAATCACAAATCTGTACAAAGGGAGCGATGTGTGTGTCTTTCTGTTCTCATGGCAGGTAAACTTGTTCCCACCATACCGCCGAAACAGCTCTTACCAAGTACAGCAAGCAGTCTTCATCTCGCTCTCCCTCTCTCTCAGCAGCATGGCACATACGTGATGACTGTTCCTTGCAGCTCTTCAGATTTCCCTTCTTACCCCTTCTCAGTTTGCTACTACCTTAGGGCTCAATTCTTAGACTGGATCTCGCCTCAAAATTCCAGGCTTACATACCCAGTTGCTACGTGTTTGATTGTCATCCCAAATTACAACACACCCACAACAGCATTCCTGGTCTTCTCTCAACATAATGGGTTTTTCCCCTTTGGCTCTTAGGAAGGAGAGCTTATTCAGTCATCTTCTTAACTATGTGTATACTTATCTATTTGATCAGACTTAAATAGGCCCCAAGATCCAAAGAGGTTGTTTCTTTCAATACTGTAACTCAGAAACAGGAAACTAATGAACATACTTTTTTTTTTTTTTTTTTTTTTTAACAGTGTTTGAAGACAATGCTGGAGAAATTTGGCCTATCAGGTAAGTTACAGGCCATGGTGATGTATCCACATCATTGATTTACAAGAAAGTACTTGTAAGCCAAATGAAAACATTTCAACCCTTTTTTTCTCAGGGTTATCTGTTACACTTAATAACTGTGTGTACATAATAAGTTCTGATTCTGTTTGCAAGCTGAAAGAACTCTAGTTGTAAGTTAGCTGACCACTGAGGATCCAACAAAGACACAGAAGAGATGAAGTTAAGACTACCTTGTTTAAACGTTATTGATTCAGAAATTTTGGTGATTGTGCTTCATACCTGTGTGTTTTAGTGTAGATTAGAGAGTGTCATATAAATGAAAACACAAATGCAGGATGTCTGAAGTAGTTACTGGGGGACCCAGGCAGCATCACACTGCGTTCACTGGAGTGCTTTGCCTCTCTGACAGCATTCGTTGTCTGGAAGGGAAGGGAAGGGAAGGGAACGTGCTCTGGAGCTTCTATGCATTGTCCCATTTCATCTCGATAGCAGTGTTCCCATGCGGGGATCATCCCATTCCCATTTTACGGAGGACGGGACAGAGGCTCAGAATAGTTAAATGTTACACAGCAAGTGTGATTTACACAGTCTCTCTGATTTCAGAATCCGAGTTCTTTACATCTTGCTGTGCTATGAAGTAATGGTGTTCACTTTGTGAGTGTGTGTGTGTGTGTGTGTGTGTGTGTGTGTGTTCACTTTTAACTACTGATGTGTTTTCAAAAAATATATACTTAGATTAAGTTAAATATTCATGTAAATCTTATTGTATTTAAAACTGGAATTAATTGCAAAAAGGGTTTGCAAAGAAGAGTATTGGGATTCAAAACCTGTGGCCTATGCAGGATGACTATTGCTCTGGCTGTAGTTTCTTTTAGTGGGTGGGAGAGTTGACTATTTATAAGACGTTGCTGTTTTTCTTAATAACCAGGATTTCCAGTTTCCGCTCGACTTGGCTCCCTTCAAAAAATTTTTTTTCCCATTTCCTCAGTGCAGCAAGCATGTAAAAAACAGAAATCTAATTAAAGACTGTTTACCATCTATAAGTGTTGTTATACCAACTTTATTAAGTGCTATTCCAAAAGCACTATTTTTTGTTAGATTAACCACTAATTGGATATCACCAGCTTTGCTGAACACATTATCAGTTGCTGAGCAATGTTAGCATATACTGTTAGCCAAGACAGTGAAATGAAACTTAGCTTCTGTACTTATATGTATATATACATATATTTATACTCATGTGTGTATACATGTAAACAATAAAGGCATAATGTAGTTATCATGTAATGTAGCAAGTGTTATTTCATTTGCAAGTATATAAATATACACAATTATATAATACATCTATTCTTGGTGGAATAGAAGATTAACCAAATTGGGGGAAGAACTTATTTTTCATGCTCTGGAAGAGAGAATTTTATTTTAAATATATATAATTTTATTTTTTATTTTTAAAAATATATTTTTATTGATTTCAGAGAGGAAGGGAGAGGGAGAGAAAAAAACATGATGAGAGAGAATCATTGACCGGCTGCTTCCCTCTGGGGATCGAGCCCACAATCCAGGCATGTGCCTTGACTGGGAATCAAACTGTGACCTCCTGGTTCATAGGTTGACATTCAACCACTGAGCCACACCAGCCAGGCGAGGGAATATTTAAAAAAAAAAAAAAAAAAAAAAAACACCAAAAAGTTAATAATTATTAGATCAAATCCCATTCAGTTTTCATTTACACAGAGGGGTCATTCCTGACCAACTCTTAAAACACATCCTTGTGAATTTTCTCATTTTGATTCTGCTGCTTTCACAGGTGACACATGGCACTTGAGAAAAATGGATTGGTGCTATGAAGCTGGGGAGCCTTTGTGTGAAGAAGTAAGGTTATTTTTATGTATTTTACTCTTTTAAATGATGGTGTTTATTTGGTACTTTCATACAGGATACTCATCCTACTCATGAATAAATTCTAGAGAAAGATTTGTTTACGATTCAAAAATATATACATGCATCTACCTTACTCCATTCGGAGGGAAGGTCTCAGCTAAGGGGGACTATTTCTGACATCTTTGTTAAGTCCTCTTTTGGGAAGAGAGTGTGTCCCCGAGAATGGTGGTTCTTTATTAGGAAGCAGAGAACTTTAGAGAACAAAGGACATTTGAACTAATGAAAGAATTTGGAGATACACTCTGAATTTTGAAACATGAATATTTTAATCTCAGAGTTGATGGCAGAATTCATCTTACCAACCAATCACTTGGGCTCTGATCTGAACTACATCTCTGGATCCAGCCAAACTCCTAGGGTAGCCTTAGGAACAGTTGTATCATAGGATAGGTGGGGTCTGGTTAATCTTATCCAAATAGCATCCAACCTCGTATCCAACATCATGGCATTAAAAGTAGACCCAAAATGAAGTTTTAGAGAATGTTTAGACTGAAATGTGGTCATCCATCCCTCCCCTATCTGCCTGCTTCTGTTCAGTAATACACAGTGGCAGTGAACATCAACACAGGTTGATTGAAGTATGTGTACTGGAGTCATCCCTCAAAACACTCTTTGCTGTGTTGTGGTCATTAACAGTATAGAAAGAGGACTCTCTTGAATCTTGGCCAGGGATTTGACTGCCCAGAATAAGAAATGGACCTAAAGAATCTGCAGGCCCTAGGCAGTTTGGCTCAGTGGATAGAGCGTCAGCCTGTGGACTGAAAGGTCCCAGGTTCGATTCCGGTCAAGGGCACATGCCTGGGTTGTGGGTTCAATCCCCAGTAGGGAGTGTGCAGGAGGCAGCTGATCAGTTATTCTCTCTCATCATTGATGTTTCTATCTCCCTCTCCTTCCTCTCCTTTCCTCTCTGAAATCAATAAAAATATATTTTTAAAAAAAATCTCCAGGACATATAGTTTGGATGTCAAGAGTAATATATAGTCACATAGTTTCCACATTTTCTTCTCTATTAAGTCCCAAATTGGTATCAAACAATTCTAAAACTGTCTAGAACAACCTCATTACCTTTAAAACTGCTTCCTCTTCCCAGATTTACTGTCTGTCTTTCCCATCCTGATCTTTTCCCATCCTGAAATGTGGGCAGTCCAATTTACCTGCCGCCCTCACGTTTGAGCTCAAAGGCCTGTCAGTTTTTCCACTTCTTCGCAGTCCACTGCTGGCCTCCTGGTTCAAGCCATTCCCCCCCCCCCCCCCCTTTACCTAAATTACTGCAATTGGCCTCCCTGAGCCCAGGTGTTCCCACTTCAGTGTGTTATGCATGTAGCAGCCAGATTGGTTTTTTGAAACACCTTCTCAGAAGTCTTTTGGCTTTTTTTCTATTCCACATCCCTTCGACCACCCTTCCAATCCAGTCCCCGTCCCTGTTCCCCTGCCCCCATTACTCTGATACTGTCCACTATAATCAGTCTAGTCTGAGCTCTTCCCTACCATGTTTCCCCGAAAATAAGACATCCTCTGAAAATAAGACCTAGCGCATGGAAAGATAAGACATCCCCTGAAAATAAGACCTAGCGCAACTTTGGGAGAAAAAATTAATATAAGACACTGTCTTATTTTCGGGGAAACAGTACTTATTGACATGACCTTGACTTTGTTCAATTTTTCATGAGAAATTCCTTCTCTTGTTTCATCCACCTTTCCAAATCCAATGCCTCTTTTTAGATTTGACTAAAATATCATCTTCTGTAAATCAGTCTCATTATTTCTCACCTCTCCCTTTCCTCTAATCTTCTATGATACTTACAGTTCTTACTCATAATCTAATATATAATAAGACTGTTTTATAAGCCTATTTTCCACTCAACATCTGCTTTATCATTTATTTATTTCAAGGGTAATAGAGTCATAGGGTTCACAAACAAAAGTCCAGTGATCTGTTCTTTGCAGAAGTCACAAGTAACAAAAAATTTCCGTATTCCCAGGATGCAACATTGAAAGAGCTTATGATATGTTCGGGAGACACTCTGCTTTTAATTGAAGGGAAACTTCTTCCTCCGGTAAGACTGTGCTTCCAATAGACACTCTGCATAATGGTTATTGTCTCTGTGGGAAAGTGAGGCAATGCAACAGTCAGAAAGAGAACAGAGAACTTACCCAAAGTCTACCAGACACAGCCATCATATTTACATCTTAGGTACTTCCTTCCTATAAAACCAGTTGTATATACCATTTTATTTTCTACCTTTTCTATTTAATTTGTGAACTTGATCATAAAATCCAAAAACAGTTACAATGTATGACTTATCACAGTTTAATTCACTTTTTATCTTCATTGTTGGAAATTTACCTTATTTTAAATTTTTTCTTATAATAATACTTAAAAACTAATCCGTTTTAAGGTAGTTCTAAAGATGAAATTAACAAGTCAAAGGGTATGAACTTTTAAAGACTTGAGGAAGTATGTTGCCAAATTGTTTTTCCAAAGAGTTGTACTAGATTTACAATCCTTCCAGCAGTATTATGAGGGCTCCTTTCCCTCCACGTTCATAAACACTGCACGTTCCCATTTTCTAAAACCATTACTTAATTCGTATTTTTAATATGGACCCATGTAAAAATTTAAAAAAAAAGACCCCCAAACTTCAGTACTCAGCTATCCATTAGCTTATGATTAAAAAATTCACATAGCACAGAAGGTTATATAAAATGAAAAACAAAAGTTCCTCCCAAGAAAGAGCCACAATTACTTGTCCTTTCAAAAAGAAAAGTGATACCTGTTTGTATGCTGAGTGTAAATATATGCAAATGTATTTAAAGTTTCCATTCAGAGGATCATATTCCATACAGTGTTTTATAGTTGGTTTTTTGTTTTTATTCACTTAATATATTTTTAGGATCTCCTTATATCAGCATATACAGACCTACCTATTATTTTCCATGACTTCATGAAATTCTGTGGTATTTTACATACCATGTTCTTTAAAGTTAATTTTTGAATTGGCAATACTCATGATATAAAATTCAAAGTGTATAAAAAGCTGAGCCAGGAAAAATAACTATCCTCCCTTCCCCCCCAGCCACTCAGTGTGTCCCTCCAGAGGTAGCCAGATGCCTCTGTGTCAATACACAAGTAAGTCTGTGTGTGTACATAGCACACATATACATACTGTTATCCATATATAGGAGTGGGGAAAGTAGTTTTACAGTTATGAGTACAGAATGATTCTTGTATTATTATTTACTGTTTGTATTGCAACTGCAAGCCCACCTTTGCCCACCCACCTTGATGTGTAGCAGTACATCAAGTCATCTCATTCTATAGGTGGTACCTATACCTCCCACTGTATGGAGGTGCTATAATTTAATCTCTTTCAAAGAAGAGTTAGGTTGCTTACAGTCTTTTGTTAATATAAATGATACTGCAAAAAAATATTATAAATGTCCATTTATCTACAAAATAAATTCCTAGACCTACCACTGTATTCTGCTGCCATCATAATTGGCAGTGACTGCCTTTGTACCCGTGACTTTGTCTCAGGGCTTGTCCATCAGAAGGCAAATTCTCACCATAGATGGCAGGTCTGGGGCATGGCATTTAAATTATGACAATTTCAAATTACTCTCCAAAAAGTTTGCTGCAAGTTTATACTCCTGCCAATTTATCCATATTTTCAACAACATATAGAATATTATTAAACTTTCTGGCTTTTGACAGTCTGATAAGTGAAAAAATAGAATTTTGTTTTTCTGATTTATACTTACTTCATTGAATGGAGGTTGAGTGTTTTTCAGTCTTCACCTGTTTAATAAAAATTATTTTAATATGGATTTCTTGAAATATATATTTAAAATATTTTACATGGTTTTTTCACATTCTCATCTTCTGTAACATCTTTAATCCCTAATAAAACTATTCAAGTTCTTTACTAACGGACAAAAAAAGTTAGCAAAGAACCAGTTACATTAGTAAAACTAAAACTACAGGACGTGTTTAAGGAAATGTGTTTATTTCCTGTAGTGTATGTGCAGGAATCCAGCTTAGACCAGTAGGCTGTTGATTCTCTCAAGTTCCCCTGGAAACTCAAATGAATGAAAGAACCATATCTGGGGTCTTGTGCTCATGCTGCTCTTATGGGGCCTGAATATCCTATGTAATAATAGAGGTAATATGCAAAGTGACCATCACTCCAATACACAAGATGGCCACCCCCATGTGGTCAAAGATGGCCAGCAGGGAATGGCAGTTAGGAGAGACAAGGCCTGCAGTGGTGGGGGGGAGCCACCTGACTGGGCTGGAAGAGGAGGGCAGTTGGGAGGGACCAAGCCTGCAAAGGAGGGCAGTTAGAGGCAATGAGGCCTTCAGGTGAGGGCAGTTGTGGGGGTCCAAGCTGGCAAGTGAGGGCAGTTAGGGGCAATAGAGAGGGCAGTTGGAAGTGACCAGGCCTGCAGGAGAGGACAGTTAGGGGTGACCAGGCCTGCAGAGGAAGGCAGTTGGGGGGGACCAGGCCTGAAGGGGAGGGCAGTTAGGGGCAATTAGGCTGACGGGTGCAGTTAGGCATCAATCAGGCTGGCAGGCAGAAGCAGATAGGGGCAATCAGCCAGGCAAGCAAGTGGTTGGGTGCCAGCAGTCCTGGATTGTGAGAGGGATGTCCGACTGCCTATGGAATGGGGCCTAAATGGGCAGTCGGACATCCTTCGAGGGGTCCCTGATTGGAGAGGGTGCAGGGCGGGCTGAGGGACACACACCCCCGTGCATGAATTTTGTGCACTGGGCCTCTAGTATTTATATAGTTGGTTATGTCAAACATTTTGCTAATTAGTTTATACTGTTCATGTATCATAACTACTGAGCTACTTCTAAACAAAGAACATTTAGTCTTATTTTTATCACAAACATTTTGATTATAAAAACAAAAGTGTATGCCGGGACCAGTTGGGCTCAGTGGATAGAGCGTCGGCCTGCGGATTGAAAGGTCCCCAATTCGATTCCAGTCAAGGGCATGTACCTTGGTTGTGGGCACATCCCCAGTGGGGAGTGTGCAAGAGGCAGCTGTCGGTATTTCTCTCTCATCGATGTTTCTAACTCTCTGTCCCTCTCAATTCCTCTCTAAGTAAAATCAATAAAATATATATTTTTTTAAAAGTGTAATATATAGCAGTTATACATCTAAAAGGAAAAACAAAAAATTCGGGAACACTTTTTTGTCATCAAGATGTTCCTCTTTATGGAAGTAGCAATGCAAGTTCATTTAATCTGTGTACCTCACATCAGTAAGAAATGCTCCCTTCTCCAGGGTCTCCTGAAGGTGCCCATCTGGTGGTACCAGCCTCCAGGGCCCAAGGGTCAGGGGAAGAGACATCTGGACCAGAGGAATGGTACCCCTTCTCAAGGCGAGGTCTGGAGAGCTACTTCCACCCCAGGTGAGAATACAACAGAATCTCACATGTCATAAGGAAAAGTAAAACAACTGCTTCTGCTCTGAGGGCAAATTACATTTCTTTTTTTAAATGTATGGTTGAAAATCAACCTATTTATTCCACAAGTCATTCCAAAGCAGTAACACAATTCCCCTTTTATGCAATGCTTTAAAACCAACCACTCGCTATAAGGTACATCATGTCAAAGTCTTTATATTGCTATATTTTTTCAAGGAATTTTTATGTCATCTCTCAGGGTCCTCATGGTAGGCTATGATATGGAGGCAGCCGACAGAGGCAGGGCTGGAGTCCGTCCCTGTACCCTACACCGCTCCTGCCCCCCAGGAGCTGCCTCCAGGGCATTCCACCCCTCACCACCTTCTGCTTTACTTCTAAGTGGCTTCTCCACAGACAGAACCCGGCACAGATCACAATCAGCAAGAAATGACAGCAGGGGTTTGGCTTTCCATTGTTTCAACTTCATATAAAGAAAACAGCCATCAGCCTCCTTTGTGACTGTAGATATATTATTAGTTGCATCAACTCTTTATATATTTTTAATCATGCTTTAGCTATTTAGCTTTTTTTTGGGGGGTAGAGTATTATATACTTATATTTCATTTTTACCTTTTAAACCTCAGTGTTGAAACTACTAAAAATGAATCTAGTTCTTCTCTCCTTACTCTTTTAAGTTAAGAATACATGTTTAGACCAATAAAATATTTTCATGTTGAATTAGCTATGAAATTAGCATTAAGTTATTTTTTGGTTGGGTCACATGTGTTAACTAAATCTAAAAATGCTTTGGTAATAGAATAATAGTTACATATAGAGTTTGCTACAAACGTAAAAAATGTGTTTAATCATTGAGTTTTCCCATGAAAGTGAAGAAACAGGATCATTATTTGATAGTCTGTCTTTATATAAAAATACATGAGAAATTTTTAATTCCGAGAGTTTCTAAAAAGTATCTATTAGCATGTGGTGTCCTTGAGGCACAAGAAAAACCATTCATGAAGATTTTTGTTTTAATTTATTTACAGTTTAATTTTTTATATTAGCAGTGTGCACCAGCAATAAACTTAAGATTTAACTAAAGCAAAAAGAGTTAAATTATTCTGAATTTTAAATTTAGTTGCCAACTTTTATACCCAGGATTTTAGATGAGAGAGCGTTTTATTTTCTCCTTTTTATAACAAATGTAGAAGGCTTTCTTAATTTTAAGGACTCTGTCAGTAAACATCAACTATGTAACACCCACTCTGCAACACACTTGACAGATGATGAGAATGCAGGTCTGCCCTCTCCTGACTGTCAGAATCTTTACACACACCCAAGAAAACAGAAACAGGTGGTATAGGTGTGATGTGAGAAACAGAAATGTGACACAAAGAATAAGGGCAAAGTATCCTACCAGCAAAGTCCTCTTTGAGGGAGGAGTATCAAAAAGAACATTCTAGTAGACATGCATGAAATTCCTCCAACCCACACCAGTGAGAAAGCCGTGGTTCTGTGCCAGTAGCTGCCTCCCTCCACAGGTAGGAGTCCTGCGTTGGAGGAACTCAGATGCTGTGTTAAAGGAATGGAATTTTATAAAAGTATTTACGACATCAAAAGTTGACATACCTATATTTTAGAAATACGAAACAAATGCATTTCAAGCTCCTTTCTGACATCTGGCTCTGTCCTCTGCAGGTGCTGCTGGTGATGTGCATGCAGATGTTCCCCTCTGCTATCTGGGAGACGTTGAAATCTCAGAAGATGCCACCTTGGCAGAGCTGAAAGCTCAGGTCAGACTTCTTCCTGCAGCATACCTGAGAGGGCGTCTGGCTGCTTCCAGTGAGATATTAATCTATTCTTCTATCTCCTTTTCCCTCACTTACAGTCTGTTCTGATATGGCATGTGTTACATGCCATGTTCAGTGGTAAGTACCCAGCAGGCGACACGCACACGGCTCAGCTCCCTGGTCTTCTTTTCTGCCGGCTGCCCTTGTGGCTCTCATTCCTCCTGACAGGCATGCTGTGCTTTCATTCAAATATATCCTCAGTGATTTGCAGCTTATGTTTATTTTTACCTTTTAGGTAAACATGATTTATTGAAACATTTGTAAAACGTTCAGTTTAACCTTTACATTGTTTTTGTATCATTGTGATTCATGTGTTATATGTTGTTAAAGAGGCAGTATCGATTTCCCAGGTCAAAATATCAGCTTTATGTCAGATTATAGTGTCTTCTTGTGTGTTAATATTCATAGAGAAAGAGTGTTTTGTCCAAATGGAAACACTGAATTGAATACAACACTAAATGTTCAGAATCATCTTACTACTGTTGGACTGAAGTGAACATCCCTCCTTCCTCTTACAGGGAAAAATGTGGGGGCAAATAATAAGAGTATCAGTCACTAACATTTGACCTGTGTGCCCTCAAAAAAAGCAGAGATGGTTTAATTATCATGAGAACAAGTAGGAAGAGACTTGTTTTCCTCATATTGGATGGAAAGATACAGAGTTGCTATTTTTAGGTTAAAATGGATGGATATTGGCCATTTTATATACTGCAACCTAAATAATATATTATCTACTCCTCTAGAATTAGTGCAGCAGTTTGGGGCTAGCAGTAGGATCCAAAGATCCTGAAATATTTCAGAATCAAAAGTTACTTTCTGGACAGCGCAGACACTGCTGGAGACTTACAGGATGGAGTAGACAAGGCCCTTGCTTCCTCTGTAGTGACCTCTGCTCTTGAGAGTTAGACTCAACTAAAAATTTTAAAGTTTCAACATACTGATCAAAAGGGAGTTTTGGGTTCAGATTTAGAAATCGGAAACTCACTTACCTCTCGGCTTATTAGTTTGAATTCATTCTGGGAATGTTTCAGTAGGTAGTACCATTACTCAAGATACTCTTTCCCTCAGATGTTCTTGTTTCGTGCGTCATTTCTTCCTAAAGCAGTCTCTTTTTAAGAGTGCTTTTCCAAACCCTTGGACAAATTTCTACAAATGCCTGTTTCTTTTCTAGGCTATGACGTTGCCCTCCTTGTTGGAGTTTTTCATCCGGTCCCCTGCCTTCCTCAGAGCCTGGACAGTGGACAGTAAACGCCTTGGGAGGCTTTTACGAAAAAACCAGCAGCAGCTCAGGTGGGTTCCTTGTTGAATTCAGTAACAAAGCCTGACCCTGGCAATTCCACATGTCAACTGGGTGATGCTTCTTACCATAAATCAAACTCTGGAACAGTTTCACTGTCCATATCTATCTAATAAAATCGTAATATGCAAATTGACCATCACACCAAGACACAAGATGACCGCCACAAGATGGCCAGCAGGGAAGGAAGTTAGGGGTGACCAGGCCAGCTGAGGAGGGCAGTTGGGATGTCTAGGACTCCAGGGGAGGGCAGGCCTGCAGGGGGGGAGCAGTTTGGAGGTGGGGAGAACCAGGCTTGCAGGGGAGGGCAGTTGGGAGCCAGCAGTCCTAGATTGTGATAGGCATGTCCCACCGCCCTAAAGGGGTCCCAGATTGAATAGAGTGCAGGCTGGGTTGAGGGATACCCCCCTCCCATGCATAAATTTCATACACCTGGCCTCTGGTTAACTATAAAATGTAGCTTCATGTATGTTTACTATGTTCCAGAGACTGAACAAAGTCCTGAGTTTTTTCTTCTAGCTTTAAGCTGTAACTAATATAACATTGTGTAAGTTAAGGCATACAAAACGTTGACTTGATACACATACATTGCAAAACGATCACAATAGCACTAGCTGACACCTGCATCACATCACATAATTTCTTTTTCGTGGTGAGAATGTTTAATATCTACTCTCTCAGCCCCTGGTAACCACTGTTCTGGTGTCTACTGCTATGAATTTGGCTTTTTCAGATTCTACATATAAATATCATACAGTGTTTGTCTATCTGACTTAATCTTACTTATCATAATGACCTCAAGGTCCATCCATGTTGTTACAAACAACAGAATGTCTTTCTTTCTTGTGGCCGAATAATAGTCACACAAGTGTATGTGTGTGTGTGTGTGTGTGTGCACTTCATCTTTATCCATTCGTTTGTCTGTTGGTGGACACTTAGGTTGCTTCCATCTCTTAGCTGTGAATAATGCTACGGTGAACATGGGAGTGCAGGTATTTCTTTGATTTCATTTCCTTTCTCATTGATGTCCTGAAAAAGTAGAGTTGCTGGATCATCTGGTATGGTAGTTCTATTTATAATTTTTTGAGGAACCTTCATGCTGTTTTTTCACAATGGATGTATCAATTTACATTCCCACCAGTAATACGCAAAGGTTCACTCTTTTCCACATCCTCACCAGTACTTCTCTCTTGGGGTTTTGATTTTTTATTATTATTTGTTTATGATAACCATTCTAATAGGTGAGAGGTGAAAACTAGTTGTTTTGATTTTCATTTTCCTGATGACTAGTGTAGTGATTTTGAGCAACTTTCCATGTACTTATTGGCTATTAGTATATATTCTTTAGGAAAATGTCTATTCGTTTCCTCTATTTTTTAAATCAAATTGGGGTTTTTGCTATTGAGTTGTATGGATTTTTTTTATATATTTTGGGTATTAACCCCTTACCAGGTATATGATTGGCAAATACTTTCTCCCAGTTCATAGATTCTCCCAGTCCTTTTTATTTTGTTGGTTTCCTTTGCTGTGCAGAACGTTTTTAGTTTAATATAGTCCACTTGTTTATTTTCATTTGTGTTGTCTTTGTTCTTAGTGAAATCCAAAGAATCATTGCCAAGATCAATGTCAAGGAACTTAGGAGCCTACCCTGTTATTTTTCTAGGAGTTTTATAGTTTCCAATCTTAGGTTCAAGTCTGTAATCTATTTTGAGTAGATTTTGTGTGTGATGGATTAAGACAGCAGTCCATTTTTCCCAGCACCATTTATAGAAGAGAGTATTCTTTTCCCAGTGTATTTTCGTGGTGCCTTTGTTGTAAGTTAATTGAGCATATATGTGGGTTTATTTCTGGGGTCTCTGTTGTGTTCCATAAATCTGTGTTTTTATGCCAGTACCCGGCTTTTACATAGCTTCCTAATATAATTTCATACAAATTCCATACAAAATTTAGGATTGATTTTTCTATTTCTGTGAAAAATGCCATTGAGATTTTAATAGGGTTTGTATTTCACATGTAGATCATTTTAGGTAGTATGAACATTTTAACAATATTCCTCTAGTGCATGAATATGGAATATCTTTCCATTTGTGTCTTGATCGATTTCCTTCATCAATGTCTTATAGTTTTCAGTGAACAGACCTTTCACCTTGGTTAAATGTATTCCTAAGTATTCCTTTTGATGCTGTTGTAAATGGAACTTTCTCTTTCTGATAGTTGTTAGTGTATAAAATGTAGCTAGCTGATTTTTGTATATTGATTTTTGTATCCTGCAAGTTTATTAGTTTTAATAGGGTTGTTGTTTTTTGTATTAGTGTTTAAGGTTTTCTAACTATAACCATGTCATCTGCAAATAGTTTTACTTCTTCCTCTTACCTAATTGCCCTGACTAGGACTTCTAATAATATATTGATAGAATAAGAGTGGCAAGAGCAAGCATCTTGTCTTGTTCTTGATCATAGAAGAAAAGCTTTTAGCTTTTCGCCACTGAGTATGTTAACTGTGGGCTTGTCATATATGACCTTTCTCATGTACATTTCCTTTATATCCAGTTTGTTGAATTTTTAACATGAAAATATGTTGAGCCCAGTGGATAGAGCATTGGCCTGCAAACTGAAAGGTCCCAGGTTCGATTCCGGTCAACGGCATGTACCGTTGGCTCAGTGGATAGAGCATTGGCCTGCAAACTGAAAGGTCCCAGGTTCGGCTCAGTGGATAGAGCATTGGCCTGCAAACTGAAAGGTCCCAGGTTCGATTCCGGTCAACGGCATGTACCTTGGTTACGGGCACATCCACAGTAGAAGGTGTGCAAGAGGTAGCTGATTAATGTTTCTCTCTCACCGATGTTTCTAGCTTTCTATCCCTCTCTCTTCCTCTCTGTAAAAACTCAGTAAAATATATATATTTTTTAAAAGAAAAGATGTTGAATTTAGTCAGATGTATTTTCCTACATCTATTGAGGTGATCAGATTTTTATCCTTCATTCTGTTAATGTGGTATGTCACACTAGTTGATTTGTAGATATTTGACACAACCTTGTATCTCTAGCATAACTCCCATTTGATCATGGTATATGATCCTTATAATGTATTGTTGAATTCAGTTTGCTAATTTGAGGATTTTTGCATCTATGCTCCTGAGGGATATTAGCCTGTAATTTTCTTAGTGTCCTTGTCTGACTTTATTATCAGTGTAGTGCTGCCCTCATAAAATAAGTTTGAATGAGTTTGAGGAGGATTACTATTTTTCAAATATCTGTTAGAATTCATCAGTGAAAACTATTTGGTCCTAGACTTTTCTTGGTTGAGAGATTTGTGATTTTTTAATTTGATTTCCTTAGTAATAATTTGTATTTTCTTTTCTTTATGATTCATTCTTGTAGGTTACATGTTCCTAGGAATTTACCCATTTCTCCTAAGTTGTCCATTGTGTTGGAGTATAATTGTTCATAATAGTATTTAAAGTAATTTTATATATATATATATATATATATATATATATATATATATGTGTGTGTGTGTGTGTGTGTGTGTGTGTGTGTGTGTGTGTGTCTATGTGTATTGATTTCAGAGGAAGAGAGAAACATCAATGATGAGAATCATTGATCATCTGCCTCTTGCATGCCCCCTTGACTGAATTGAACCCACAACCCTTCAGTCCACAGGCTGACATTCTATCCACTGAGCCAAAGCAGCTAGGGCCATAGTTGTCTTAAATGTATAATATTTTGCGTATTAAGACAAAATTGACCAAAAAAATGTTTTAAAAAATTAAATGATGTCACTCTTGTTTTATTATCAGGGACTATAAGTTGGGGAGGAGAACCGAGATCTGCTTAGAGCCCCTTCAGAAAGAAGAAGACTTAGGGTAAGAATTACCTGTCTTATCACCATGGGTGGCTTCTCAGTAGTATGGCAGATTAAAACAGATTTTGTTCTGTGTCTATAACATGGAACCCATTTTCCATAAAAATGAGACTGTTCAGTAAGTCCAAGTGCACACTAAGCCCACTCGATCTTGAAGGACAAGCTGGATGCTTGTGTTCGCTCTGTTGATGTAGGTGGTGAGTCTGAGGTCAAACTGCCTTATAGCACCTCTCACTCTGGCCCTTCATTCTTTTTTCATCCGAATATCAAGCCATATTATGTCTCCCGCTACTAGGATATAATCTTTGCGAGAGTAAGCACTTTGTTTTTTGGTCATGGCTGTATCCCCAACATCTAGAACAGTGTTTTTGTCAAAGTGAAAGTACTGTGTGAATAAAAAAAGCATTCCAAAGTTTATTTTTTCACTATAGAAGAAACTTTTATATTGTACGCCATAAGCGTCTATAGACACAAGCTGCGGACCTTCCCCACACGTCTATTTAAAAAAAAAAAAAAGTTTTCCCTAAATAATTTTTCATTAGAAATTTCAGCTAAAAATATTCAAGAACACCTGAATTGTAATATATTTGTATTCATTGCAAATTGATTTAATTAAATTCAAAATATCGTGGTGTGGGGATTTCCATTTTGGATGCGTGGCAATTAACTGAACACTAAGTCTTTTGTTAGCATCACTGATTAAGGTTCCTTCACCTGACATCCAGTAACTTTGATTGCACTCTTTCAGCCACTGACCTTTATGTGATGTGACTGTCTTAATACAAATTGTGTTACCAGTAGTTTCTGGGGGGATTTCTGGATCAAATGGTATGGACATTTTAAACCTTTTAAAATAAGTTATTAATTCCTTTCCAGGTAAGTTATACTAGTTTTTGTTCACAGTGTTTTGAGTATTTACTTCACCCTAAAACCAACATTGAATATTGTCATTGTTTAAATGTTTGCTTCATTGCTTTGATTGCTACTGAGATTGGGCATTTTTTTTCCCAAAGGCTTGTAAGACATTTGTGAATTATTTTGCCTATTTTAATGGGGTCTAGTTTGTGTGAGCTCTTTCTGTGATGACATTTATCTGCCACGTCTGTTTTAAGCAGGATCTTTTGTTTTCAATAAGCAATATCCCTTTGAAGTGCTCTGCACTTACTTAGACCCCGAACCAGCCTCTGGTTCCTCATCGTCCTCTTCACCCCAGCCTTCTTGGCAACTCCAGCATCCATGCTGACCTCCTCCCACCTCTGCTCCCTCATGGAGAAGGTTCAGTCTCCTCAATTACTCTTTTCTCCCATTGCATCACTCTTTCTTTTGGTAAAAACACCAATATAACAGAAATAATCTTTAAAACCACTCCTGTCTCACCATCCTAAAAACAAGTGAAACAGTAGTTTCCATTCCCCCCTCCAGTTTCCAGTCTTGCCTGCCGTTTTATTTTACGTGTATAACAGTCTCCATAGGTCTCTTCTACTCCCATCTTTTGGATTAATCTTTCCCTTCTTCCTGGCTACCCCACAGCAAGTCAGATTTTTAGCACCACCCAGGCAGTCACTGTGGCTGGGACCCTCCCCCTTCAGTGTCTTCTGCCAGCTCAGAAGGGGAGCTTCACTCCGTCCTGGGTCAGGAGGAAAGGAAATGAGGGTTTAGTGGCACCTCTTATAAAAATGCTTCACACATCACTCCCCCTCATATCGATCGTGTATTTCTCGATTTAAATCTGATGTTTTACTGTTTCTGGTGCAGCCCTCAGGACATGCTGCTGAGGACACAGATGCGCCTCCCTGGCGAACGGGCATATGCCCTGCCCGTGGACATGGTGTGGGACGCTGCCCGGGCCACGGCCAGCTCCCTGCGGCAACGAGTGGCTGACTTCTATTCCCTTCCTGTAGAGAAGATCGAAATTGCCAAATACTTTCCTGACAAGTTTGAGTGGCTTCCAGTGTCCAGCTGGGTAAAGTGTGGTACTTCCTGCATAGCAACAGCTTAACTGCAAGTTTTCACAGATAGGGAATTTAGTAAGAATTTGAGGTGGTTTTCTTTATTTAAGATGCTTAATTTTTCTATAGAACCAATGCTTAATTTTTCTATAGAACCAGCAAATTACCAAGAGGAAAAAGAAGAAAAAGCAAGATAATTTGCAGGGGGCACCTTATTACTTGAAAGATGGAGATATTATTGGTATTAAGGTAAGTTGTTTGACAAAACACCAGGATTAGATGGTTTCGTAGAAATGATTTATGAAATCTTCATGGCACAGAACATGAAGGGGAGAGCAGGCAGCTCCTCATGCAGTCCAGTGGGGCCTCAGCACCAAAACTGGGGGTCTGATGTGAGTAAATGCTTCTGAAGTTTTATACTAACAGTGTTGCTGCTGTAGGTGTGAGTAGGTACCTGCATTAGGTTAAAACATTTCTTTCCATTTCTAGTTTGCTGTTGTAAATCATTAAAAAGGGTGTTACTAAGAAATATGTCCTTGACATGGGCCATTCTTACATTCCTCCGACAAACTTGGTTTGTTGTCATGTGGTAATATTTTTTAATTAAGTGAACTACTTAATCAGAATAAATTGATTTAATCCCTTAATCACCACTTCTAGTCAATACTATTAGATAATTGACCCTCCTCCCCTAAAAAGTAAATAAAGCTGTTTACCTGCCATGTTTCTGCATAGGACATTAAAGAGACTACAAGATCAACATTCCAAGGTAACTAGGAATACAGCCAACAAAAAGATTTGTAAGACCTCTCTGGAGAATATGACAGAAATTTTGAGTGGTGGTACAGCTTCAGTTTTTACTCCTGAGAGGCTTCCTTTCTAAGAACACGATAAAGTTATCCTAGTGAAAACCCAGACGATTACATTAAAGAGGATAAACATGTGGATTGCCTGATTATTAGTTCTGATGATACCGACCCCCACAGACAGGGAATTGACAGGTATTTCAGATCTACATTAAAAATGGGTTATTCGGTAAGTGGTTCTGGGAAAATTGGTTCCACACAGAAAAAAATGCAGTCATAATTTTGGTTTTCATTAGAGGGTCCCAAGCTTATGTCAGTCCCAGATCCCATAACATCTGTGCACACCTCTGCTCACACCAAGCACAGGTCAGTGTAAAGGCTTATGTGTGAAAAGCAGTGATTTCCAGTCTTTAGAAGAATAGATGTAAGAAACAAAATGCACAACTTCAAAGTAGTGATTAAATTGACTACATCAAAAGAAACCCTCATCAAAAGCCAAGGCACAAATAGGAAAAGATATACGCAACAACAGAATAAGGATCATTATCCAAATGTACTTCTACCAATCAATTTCAAAAAGATAACACAATCGGGGAGAAATGGGCAAAGATGAATAATACCTGGCAATTCTCAGAAAACTAAACAGATGAAAAGGTAGGCATCTTCCCGGCAACCCGGGAACTGCGAACCAGCAGTGATTGTGGCCAGAACCCCAGCACTGCCTCTACGGGTCCAGCCGCGCTGGAAGTGGCGGGCAGCACTCAGCTGGGGGCGAGGAGACACAAAAATGTCCACTGAAGCACTGCATGACAGTGTGAATTGGGAAGAACTTAAAGGACCCTCAAAGGGGATAAAATGGGGGAAACTACTGCAATAGGTATTGAGCATAGCAGTTAAAATTTATAAAGCAGAGCTGTGTACATCCAGGTGAACATAGCTGGTGTAGAAAATGATGTCCCAGGATAGGCTTTCACAGAAAGTCTAAGCTGTGTAAATGCTGGGTCCGCCTCCTGTGCTGCCGTTGAGTGACAGGACACTAGCACCAGCGTGATGGGTGGGCTTACCTGGAGCAGGGGCGGGGCATCAACCGAGTCTATGTCTTTTCCTAAACACTAAAATGAAGCAAATATGGTAAAAGGTTAGCACAAATAATAGCTAACTTTCACTGACAGTTCTGTTGTAGGCTAAGCACCATCCATGTACACTTGAACTCGCGCTTCCTCCTGACAGCCGGGGAGGAGGTAACTGTGGGGCTATGCCCAGGCCTCACACTACCTTGGGGACATAGTGCCTCCCATTATCTCCGTATTTTCTCTCATTTGTCAAGGTCACGATTTTACAAAAGCACATCATGTACAAGTTACTGGACTAGAGATTACCGTATTTGTTGGGATCTTTTCTCCCGAGAGCAGAAGCAGACAGCCTTGCAGTTGTGTAGGTCCCAGCCTAGGTGACCCAGTCAGAATCGCCTTTCTCTGACCTATGCTATCCTCCGGGGTTGTCTTCCTTGAGGTCAGCATTTTGATTGGTTCACACAGGGTGGCCAGTATTTATGGTAAATAAATTCAGAACTAAAGCTGACGCAAGTACTGCGGGCCCTTGGTCCCTCAGGAGACCATACTGCGCGTTCTGCGTCTGTACTGCCCTGCCAGATGCTCCCAGGAAGTAAGCCGGGCGTGCCTTTCAGCAGCTCCAGTGGAGCTGGAGGGGTCGAGTGGACACGGCTGTCCACAGACTATCACGCAGGTGGCTCCACCCTGTTCTGGTGGGGCCTGTGCTGGGCTCACTCCACGGGCAGCGTTTTCAGTCAGAAGCAAAGATTGGGTGGCTGCAAAGTCACTTCTCCCGCTCCGCCTGCCACTCAGTCGGTCATCAGGCACTAGTGTTTACTGTCGGTTATTAATCCAGTTTACGTCAAGGTGGACACAGCCTTATGTTGATTTCAGTAATTTTCACAGAAATGTACATACTTGACTCAAATGCAGGCTAAACGATGTCTGAACACGTGGCTCCTTCCTTATTTTAAAATGCAGAATCTCCTGGTGGAAGATGACGGTGACTTCAGCACAGTCCGAGATGACATTGGGAGGGAGGACCCTGCTCTGGGGAAAAGGAAAAGGTAACGTGAGGTTCTCACTGTCTTGCCAAGGCCTGGACAGCTCGCTCTTCCTCACTGAGAGCTCTGGCCGAAGCCTCAGGTCTCAGTACAGGGCTGAGCGCTTTGGAGAAACTTCGTGTCCTTTAGAACATAACCAAGGCCTGTGAGCCTGGGACAAAGATGCTCTCAGCCTCACCTTGAGGATGCAGCCACTCATTTTTCATTTCCTGCGCCTGCTTCCCCTCCATTTTGGGTCTTCCCTTCAGACACAGGTCTCAGTTACCTGAAAACGGGCATTCCCAATCATAAACCCACCAGCTGTCACCTGCCCCTGGTGGCTGTTCCCGAAGCTGCCTCGCCTCACTGACCTCTTCCTGCCCAGCTCGGGCTCTTCCCACAGTCCCCCTGCTCTGCAGTCTCTCCTCCCACCCCACCCCCAAACTGGTCCCCTGCCCTGTGCACACTTACCCTTTCCTCTTCTGTGTACTGGGCTGCTCCCTTTGAAACCCATATTTCAAATCCCAGTGCTTGGACCAGCTCACCACTGCATTGCCACCTCCATGCAGGCCACACCAGGGGTGCCAGCCCTCCTCACTTGCTCCCACTTTGGTTTCCTGAAGTTATCCCACGCCCTCCGTCAGTGCCTGAGTTGGTGACCTTTGTCTCCCACAGCCAGGAAGCGCTTCGCGTGCAGAGCAGCAGCGTTCTCTCCGGTGCGGGCACACCTGGCCGGCCCCACAGACCAGAAGCTTCCCTGTCCATCCACGTGGGCAGTTTCAGATAGCGCCGGCACCACTCATGTCCCTGTGGGCTCAGGGCCTGGCGAGGAGCGGGCTCTGCCCCTGCCAACTTCGCTCTGTGGTTCCGTGAGAGCAGGCCTGTAGGCTGCTTCCACTTTATTAGAGATGTTTGGTCTCAGGCCAGGCAAGTGCACTTTCTCGCCGGCCTGCACAGCACGGCCACCGAGGGACACATCCGGGCCGTGTCTTACAGGTGCCAGACTGCACTGGGCCCAGCCACCATGGTTACAAGAACATTTCCTAGCTCTGCACTGACTGCAGGCACACATACAAGGGTGGCCAGTGAGGTGCACGCAGTCCACTCTTCCCTTCCCTGTTGGGACAGCGTATTATCTGCACTCAGAACTTCCGAGAGCTCAGCATGCTGATGGGCTGGCCAGGCTGGAGCAGGACACAGGGAGTCTGTCTGTCCTGGTTCAAACTGTCATCTGTGATCAGAACGTTCCCGCGGTTGTGGCCACCCAAAGCCGGTGCGCTGAGCTGATGGTCCTGAGAAACCTCTCCTGGAACAAAGGAACGTGCACCAGCTTCTCCTCGCCCTCAGCACGGCCAGCTGTGGATTTAAAAGGTGTGACTGGCACTTACGACAAATGCTGCATCTGTGTTACGAACCGACTGACACTTAGGGCACAGACTATTCACTTTCTCAAACTCAGTCAAAAGTGGGATTCCTGAAAAGAAAGTAAATTCTTCACTTTTATGCCTCCAACAGGCTCAGTACGGTTATGATGTCACACAAATCTCTCATCAGCCCTTTATCACTGGCATTAAGATAGTACTTCCGTGTTCAGATGGGGGCGAGGTCTCAGCAGTCCCGCTTGCTGCAGGAGGTAATAAGTGGACATTGGCTGGGATGAGCCTACTTTTGCTTCCTGTCCCCCTTCCAGAACCAGCTGGAACCCTCAGTCTCCTCCCTATTTGTCTGAGATTGTTGGGTCTTATACTGTGTGCTAATGTGTAAGAAGTTGGAATTTCACTGGCAGGCTGTGCCCATGTTCTCAAACGCTCGGCCCATCTCGGGATGTGCACATGGGTGGCAGCATGTTTGTGATGATCCCGAACTGTGAGCTCATGTGGCTGGGAGCCCAAACCTCAGTGCAAGCCCGCCTGTTCCTTTACTGTAACTGACAGGTCTTGCTGCACCCTTCATGCCATTATTCAGGTAATGAAATAATGTAATAACTGAAAGCTTTGCTTATGGGAAGCCAGAGGCCTCACTGGATGTGACTCACCAAGACAAGGTGGGGATGGGTAGTTGTGCCTTAGGGTCCGCAGTGAGCCGCTGGGGCTGCAGAGAGAGCTGTACGATTTATTAAAGAACAAATAAAGTGTCTTCACGTCTTGTATCCATTTTAAGCTGAATGCTTCATGTTCCACTTGGACTTTTTCCCCCAAGTGCACTTCAGATGCTAAATAAGCATGGTTTATATTTAGAAATACTATATCAGGACCATAGTAGAAACAACAGAAGCATGTTTTGGTTTTAAGTTCAGATTCCTGGGGAAAACTTGCAGAAACGGGCAGTGGTCTTTTCCTTCTAGGGAATAAAACTGGCCCTGGGGCGCAGGAGACAGGGACTTGCCCTGCCAAACGGGTTCCGGGATTCGTTCCAGTAATCCGTAATTACGGCTTCCCGGCATCGTGTCCCTCAGAACGGGCTTTCTATGCAGTATTACAGGCCGTTCACCCACAGGGAGGGGGCACGGCAGCTCGTCTCATTCTGTTCCTCAGGGCAGCAATGCAAGGCAGCCAAGTACATAACAAACTGTGTCCTGGACTCACGACCTTTCAAAGAGGAGAGTGAAGCAGTGAGATCCATGCAAGTCGGGAGGGAGAAATGTCTACATTCCCTCCAGCGCTCACCCTCCCACCCAGGCACCGTGTGGCACTGACCCAGCCCTCAGCCCAGCTGGCCTGAGCAGCAGCAGGACTCCTGGCTCAGGAACCTCAGAGCTCACAGCAGAGCTGCGGCAGCCATTCCAGGCCCTGGTGCCTTTCTCTGCTAGTTTCCACCTCCCAGGTTTCCCCAGGTGGTGAGATGCCACTAGCATCTCTGGACTGAGATCCTCTCAGGCCTGCCTCATTCCAGGGCCTGTAAAAGTCCTGGGCCTGACATCCATGGGCTCAAAGTGGGTGCCCTGCTCACTGCTGTCACTTCAAATAAACGCAGAGGGAGAGCAAGACAGGGTTGCCCACAAGAGACTCCAATACAAAAACGTCAAATGTGACAGCTTCCACCTTGATGTTAACAGCTAGTCCAGCTACCAGCGGATCACACATGTCCCTCTCCACTGGCAGTGTCTGCTCCCCACCCAGGTCTCGGGGGAGGACAACAAGTCCTCTGGGGTATAACACCTCAAGGTTCAACCTACAGCTAAATGACATGTAAGCCCAGCCTGGAACCAAGTACACGGAGTGGGTACGGCCACAATGAAACCTCTCTCCCGAGAAACGGAAGACGCCCGATGCAGCACTCACGATGGCAGAACTCCCGCCCTCTTGGGAGGCGAGCCCTTGCGCAGCTGTGCTGGCCGCCCTGTCCCGCCCCAGAAAGCCTCGCACATCCACTGCCCCTGTGGGTACTTTACATGGGTGCTGGGAGGGCCTACCTCACACTTGGGACTGCCTTCCAGAGGATGCTCGTCCTGGAGCCCGAGGGACTGAGGTGCCTGGGAACCAAGTGAGCACAGGCTTACATCTGCCAGCTTGGAGTTTGGTTGGCAACACCGCTTCCTTAAAGGCTCAGAGACTTATGGTGGAATCTGCCCCTGTGAACGGGAGCCAGGGAGCCTTTACCTCCCAGCCAGCTGCTCGCCTTCCATGTGTCACAAGGGTCACAGCTTCCATGTGTCTACTACCTATTCATGCTTTTGTGATCAAAACTGAGGAGGCTAGGCACTCGCTCCTGCCTGACACAGGCAGGTTCTAAGGCCAGCACCCTGGTGGGACTGGTGCAGTCAGAGCTGCTGTACCCCCGTACCCCCACCCCCACCCATCCCACCTCCAACCTGTGTGGGCAGCTCCCCTGTGCAGCCCACCTCAGTGCTCTCAGGCCATGCCTCCATTGAGACCTCCACACCACAAACATCTGCCTAGACCTGCCCAGTCTGCCCAGAAGCTTTCTCTGCACCAATTCATACATCTCTTTAGGAGCCCCTGACCCCACACCTGCATAATTATTATAACTCGTATCTATATGCTTTTGCTTTTTTCATACAAAATCATCAACCTCGATACTCGCTTCCATTCTCAAGCCATCCATGGCCAAAGCTAGCTGCTGGAGGACCAGATAAACCTCCAGGCCAGCAGCAGGAGACACATGCTCCCCTGTTTTTAAGGGAACTTTCTGGAAATCCCAGTAAATACTGAATCGTTTTGACCAAAAGTAAGTCACATCAGTCAAGGTGCAGAGGAGATGTGGTCACAGCTGCAGGGCATATCTGAGTACATCCTCCCACCCCACCCCCACGGTGCAGGAGGGAAAGGAGACCTGGTGTTTGCAGGCACAGGCAGTGGCTTCCACAAAAGCTAAGAATCTTAAAAATACTCAAAATTAGACAGCACAGGGCCAGCACTAGGGTACGGTGAGACCTTGGGCACAGAATGTAAAGGCACCCAAAAACTCAGTAGCAAGCGAGGTCCATTTTCAATACAATACTTTTGGAAATCAAAGTCAATGCAAAAAAGCCTACAACAAACAAATTCAACTTATTTTTTAGAGCAGCTGAAAAATGTAATTCTGATGCAGTTTGGAAGGATTTTGGCAACCAACATTCTATGTCAAAGTACAAGAAATGAGGACAAGAAATCAGACAATGAAGAGATCCAAAACAGGCTTGTTTTATTTACACACAGTACCACTTATTTACAACCCCCGACATGGACTATGTACATAGCAACACAGCAGGCATATGCTCCACGGTGAGTGCTGTATAAATTAAGATCATAAATATGAGGGTGAACCCCACTCGAGAACACAGAACCTTTTCTCCCAGACTCTCCGGGGATCTTCCTCCTGCCCCACACTGACAGGCGCCCCACACTGACAGGCACCCCACCTTGGGGCACAGCAGGGTGCTGGAGCGGGCAGAGGCACAGCCCCACGTGCAACAACAACGACACCACAGGAACGGACGCCCGCCCTTCACTGACGCGCCTTCATGCAAAATTCACGTCCTTTCCTTTTGCTTCTAACTGATGAGAATTATAAAAATGGCTTTTATGTAAACAGTGTTGCTTTAGTCACTGACAAATTAATCTTAAATGCCACACATGACCCAAACCTAAGCCTTTCCCACGGGTGGGCACTGAGGGCACGGGGTGGCCCCTGGGCCACTCCCCCTGCACCTCCTCACCGAGCTCCAGCCTGTCCAGGCCCATCCAGACGCCCTCAGAATCCAGGTGCCCATCGCGAACATGGCAGCGCCCTTCTGGGACCCCATGATCTCTCCTTTCAAACAAGTGACCTCCAGGGGCTAGAGTCTCTCTCTTTTCCTTCCCCCACTTAAACAGCTGTTCAGACGGGAAAAAGAATCACAACTGCCTAGTCTCGTGCCCAATAACGGCATGTGCAGAACGCGGGGCTCTCACTCCAACCCCTGCCGAGACGCCACATGTGAGCGCAGGAGTGGGCACCCAGAAGAACCACCAGTGGGAGCACCTTCAAACCAGAGGGGTCGGCAAAGTGAGTGGCAGGTAAATGCTGTTCAGCTGTGAATCTCCAAGGGGCCCCTATGGGTGACTCTGGACAGCGCCCTGAGGCCCCCTGCCCAGGCCCCTCACAAAGTCAGCCCTCCCCTTTGGGATGCAGGACCCTGGCAGGGCCCAGCCTGGAGAGAGCCCTGTAAGGTGTGACTGTCTCTGAGGGGCATCAAAGGCGGTGATGACTTGCAGGGAGCTACACAGGCACCGGCACCTCCAGGGACCTGGGGCCTGGCAGCACCACTTGAGAAGCCACCACAGGTCAGAGGCTCTCAGGACAGAATGGACATGCCGGCTCCAGAGGAACACTGATCCAGCGCAACACACAGCCTCCACTGCGGGGAGGCCACCGGCCATTGGGCGCTCCTGGCCCCAGACAGCACCGAGGCTATGCGTCCTGGGCACACAGGGCCATGTCCCCACGCCCACAGCTCAGGAGGGACCCGGGACATACGGGCCAGGAGTTCATCGGCCCTAGAACGTGGCTACCTGTTTACCAGCTCCAGGAGCAGCGAGTTTTCCTTTCTCTTCACGTCACAGTTAAATGAACAGGACTGGAAACATATCCATGGTGCCTACGAACAGGGAAGGCAGGACCTCACAATAAACAGGGACATCTGCAGTGAGTGGCCGGCGGGTCCGAGCCCTGACTCCGGAGAGCCTGCTGGGAGACGGTGCCTGACAACGCGCTATGAAAGGGCAGAGAGAAGCCCCGGACACTGGTGTGCGGCCAGCCAGGCTGTTTCTGCCGGATGCCGGGGGCCAGGGAGCAGAGAGGTGGCAGTCACCCCATTCACCGCTGGGTTAGATGGTGCGGGTCCAAAGGTAGCCATGTTGGTGTGCCCGAGACCCTGGAACCGGCTGGAACAGTGTCCGAGAGGCTTCCCGTCACAAGCACAGGGCGTAGAAATAGCACCATGAGAAGGGCCCAGGACAGGTCCCGCCTCAGTCGCAGGAGGAGCGGAGGACACAGGCCGAGAGGGTGGAGGCTAGGCCTCGGTGGCAGGGGGGCTGCGGCTCAGCTCCTTGATGCCGCACAGGATCCTCTTCATGTGGCCCACCTTGGTCACGCCGAGGTCCTGCAACGAGAGCACAGCCACCCTGATGCCAGGCAGCAAGCCAGGCCCCGGGCACCAGCATGGGCTGCCCAGCAGCTCTGCACACAAATGAGGGGAATGATGGTGACGCCAGATGGGCAGGAACGGCAAAAGAAGTGACAAGGGTCACAGCTGCCACCCTCCACATCCCTCCTGTAATCCAGTCACTAACACTGCTACGGGGACATCACACAAGACAGACCACACACAACCAGCAGCAAGTGGACTCCGCCCTCCCCAAGCACCACTGCCCAGGACCTGGCCCGAGACCACACCCTGAGCTGGGCCAGGTGCCCCTCCTGTCCCTCCCAAGATGAGCAGCGCCCGGCCTGTAATGTAAGCCGTGCACATGGACACAGGCGAGGAGGGCTGCCCTGGAGAAGCCGCCGGCTCCCAGCAGCTAAGGGTCTCCTGACTCTAACCGACTGTGTCGCCACGAGAGGAACCCCTTGTGTTCCGAGTCCTCCACCTCAGTTCGTCCAACCGGGCCCAGCAGAGCCAGGCACCCCTGCCCGTCTGCTCTGGCTCCTTCTGGTTGTGGTTGGTGAAAAATCACTGCATGGGGCACCATACACGTCACCCCGAGTCACACGCGTCATCCCGAGTCACACACGTTAGTTACTCTGAGTCACACACGTCACCCTGCGTTGTAAACAAAGGGCCAAGAAGAACGGTAAAGAGCATCCTGATTCTGGGGCGTGGCCAGCTCAGAGGGAGGGACAGACGGAGCTGCGGGCAGGCCCAGGTGTGGCAGTACCTTGAGGTCTCTCCGCTCCAGGTGCAGGAGCTCGGAGCCCCGGATGTCGTGCCGAGTGAAGATGTCCTTATACTCACAGAGACTGAGGTGCTCCAGCCAGGCAGCAACCTCCTCTGTCCCCCAAAGGTGAACTGTCGGAGACGGAAAAGCAGGAGAGCAGTGAGTGCCAGCGCCCAGCACCAGGCAGGCAGCAGCGAGCACCCGAGATGCCCCAGGCACCCCAGCAGCAGGCACCCTGAAACAGCACAGCAGCCAGCACCCACAATGCCCCAGCGACTGGCACTGCCCTGAGCTGTGCAGAAAGGGGTGCAGTTGCGGCAGAAGCTGGTATCTGTCCCCGCAGCCCTGTCCCCATGTCCCCAGGTCCCCAGGGGGGTCAGAGGCACCAAATGGAGGGGAAGGTGGGTCTGCTGTGCAGCTGAGCCAGCTCTCCTTCCACCTCCTGGAGCAGTTTCAGCCGCTCACCTCCTGGCACATAACTTTTGCATCACAACAAAAGTATATTTTTGGCCGATCTAACAACTACAAAAACAAAAATAGGTATAATTTTGATTCATTCATTTTGGATGGCTATTGTTTTGTTGACTATTTTTTTTTTTTTAATTTGACAATCTAAGGCAGTGATCAGCAAACTGTGGCTTACGAGCCACATGCGGCTCTTTGGCCCCTTGAGTGTTCTAATGCCACTTCTTCAAAATAGACTCGCCTGGGCCAAAAACCGACTTCTGCACATGGGCCACGAAGTTTCAATTGCACTGTATTGTGTGCGCCCACACGTGGTATTTTGTGAAAGAGCCACATTCAAGAAGCCAAAAAGCCGCATGTGGCTTGCGAGCCGCGGCTTGCCGACCACTGATCTAAGGGAAAAGAATGTTTTAAACATTCTGGCAGCACACCGGTTGAAAAATCACTGTTCTAAGAGGATTCATTTCAGTTCTGGCCACAGCAGGAAGGGAGACACACAGAGAGCTCATGTAGTCACAGCCACAATCATTAAAAGAAACCAAATTTCTGGACAGACATGTGAAGAAGAATAGTAATCAAATGGCACAGCCCCAGCGGGCACCAATGCCGCCCAAGCCCAGGCTGGGCCCTGGCACCCGAGGGCGCTGGGCACAGCTTGGTCAGGGCCAACTCTTCAGACAGAGGAGACTTTAAGCACCAATTTGCTGACTCCCCAGGGTGCAGGAGTCTTGATCAGTGAACCAACTGAAAGGTAATCAGCAGCCCGACAGAGGAAGCAGGTCTGAGTGGGAGCTCTGTGTCTCTGTCTTGTCACCTCTGCTGTCTTCCCGCCTTGAACCCCCAATCCAGGGCAGGCAGGTGGTTCAGGAGTCAGTCACCTAGTCTAAATAGGGAACAAGTTCAGGGCAGGAAATGACCACGGTCAGCACCCAACACAGAGGGGAAAGCAAGGCACAGTTCTGTAGCTGCAGACAGACGATCCTGCAGGCCACGTGGGGGGTGGGAGGGCAGGGGGCTCAGCCTGGGAAATTTGGGGAAGAGCCAAGGACCACGGAAGAAAGGGGAGGCCAGGAGGCGCACAGAGCGGCGCACACAGCCAGAGGAGGGAGGCAGGTACCCGGAGCTCCCAGGCTGCTGTGGGCATCTCTGTTCTTGCTGTTTTTCTCCTTCTTAAACTTGGTCACCAGGCGGAATTTCCCGCTGCGGCTGCGTTTGGTAAGATCCATCACGTTCTGTGTGGAAAAGGAGAAACACTGAGAATCAGACCCCAGGGCACCAAGCCCCGAGTCACACCTGGATCAGAGAAGCGGCGGGGCCAAAAGATGCTTTGTTCCAAATTTACTTCTTGTGTTTTTCCTTGATTTTTAGTCTCATGTTTATTGTTAATTTTTAATGCCTTTTAAAAGTGGTTTCACGGTGATCACTGTATTTTCATTTTATACCATGCATTTCCCATGTGATTAAGAAGCTTTGTAAATATTATTTAAATATCAGTACCATTATAGGAAGATTATTAAATAGGTTACTTAGCCAATCTTCTAGTGCTTCCCCAGGCTGATGTCCCCCGCCCGAGGCCTGCAGGAGCCATCTGTCTGCAGCTACAGAACTGTGCCTTGCTTTCTCGTGTCATGCACAGCTTCCTAAATAAAGCTTTTCCTGCACTTTGCATTCTTCCCTTGGATTTACTCCCGGAGGCAGACTGTCAAGGAGGGGAGCAAGCGTGACACTGGCTGACATACCCACTGGACAGCCATAGGCCCACAGCGCACTCCAGGGCCAGGCAGAGCCAACACTGCCCAGCGTCCCTTCACCCAACTTTCCTTCCCGACCGGTCCCTTCCGTGCACACAGACGCCTGTGTTTCAAGCGGAGTGTGTGTCACTGGCTGCTCTCGCAAATAAAGGCGAGATGCCTATTCCCCAGCTGTGCCCTTCTTCTGCCCTCTCGGCCTGGAATCCCCCCAGGATTCAGCCCCACATCCCCACAGAGACCCTCACGGTTAGACTTGGCAGCTTATGATAGGGACATTTGGTCACGCTGAGAGAAACTGCGTAGGGATGTTCACTGGTCCTACACCAAACCTAGAATTTGGAAATGACAAGCACCTCGGTGGGAATGTGCCGTGCAGCCGGAGGCTCCTTCTAACCTCCCTGCTGGCCCTCAGTCACCTTCACGGACTTCTTTTAAGAAGTTTTAAGTCCTCTACTAGGGAAGAGATCTCACAAAAATATTTTTTCAGACCGCTCAAGAAATTTACGCTTACAAACTCCTTATACTCAGCAAAACTGTCCATCATTGACTCTAACAGCTGCTCTGCTAGACCTTCAGCTCCCAGGCCATCAGCCCGGCCGTCTGTCCCCACACAGGCTGGCACCCACCTCGCACTTCACAGCGCTTCCCGCAGGAGCCACACAAAATCCTGTCCCTGTGTTTATATAATGTTTTGTTAATGTAAATGAGCATTACATTTATTTCTAACTTTTCATACGGATATGTTCATCCATTCCTAAGACAGGAGACCAGTAGAATGAGGCTGATTATCATGTTATCTTCCTTTGTCTCCCAAGCCTGTTGTTTGTTTTTTTAAATATATTTTATTGATTTTTTTACAGAGAGGGATAGAGTTAGAAACATTGATGAGAGAGAGGGCAGCGATCAGCTACCTCTTGCACACCCCCTACTGGGTACATGCCCTTGACCAGAATCGAACCTGGGACCTTTCAGTCCGCAGGCTGATGCTCTATCCACTTAGCCAAACTGGTTTCGGCACCAGCCTGTTATTTTTTATTAAAATATATATATACATATACATACACATACATATATATATATATGTATATATATATATATATATATATATATGGAATGCTTCACAAATTTGCATGTCATCCTTGCCCAGAGGTCATGCCAATCTTCTCTGTACCATTCCAATTTTAGTATATGTGCTGCCAAAGCGAGCACTGCCCAGCCTTTTAAAATAAACACATTTCAGATAAATTATTCCACCAAGGCTACTTCATAAGCAACTCTGAGACAATCCTCTTTTTTTAAACACAATCACAGCACAGTTATCACACGAAACCACCACCACCAATCCATGTATAGCTAATTGAGTTCTTTTTGTAAGCAATCTCCCCAAATGCTTCAAGGTCGGTCTGTCCTCAGTGCACTGCTCTGAACAGGACCCAGTCCAGGTCCTCAGCCTCTCGCCCCTCCTTCACCCACCAACAAGCCGTCTGTCCTGTAAGAGCGATGGCTCCCTGCTCCTCCCCACGGCACAAGGCCGCTGAGGACGCGGACACTTTTGGGCAAGAGGAGGTCACTGGCTTAGCCACCCCTCTTCCACGTGGACACTCCCAGCCACCAATGACCTGCCCAGGGGACACAAAATGACCTTTTAATCCTGATGCACTTTCCAGCTAGCGTTCTTTTAAAAATCATTTCTTTCATCAATTATTTGGTTTAAAGAAATTACTTGTATAAATCTACTGATAACACTGGATTTTGGAATCAATGTGCCAATTTTAAAAAACATAGTAAACAAAGTTCTGGACATTTGTTTCACAATACTGTGAATACAGTTAACACTAAAATTAGACAGGTCAGAAACTGGTACCTTCTATGTTTCTCCCTACAATTTAAAAAAAATGAACTGGGACAATGTCCATCTTTTTCCAGCTTTAATGCTGCTTCTTACATATTCCTTGGCATTTTCACCTTGGAGGCAGTATTTAGATTATTTTTCAAATTGTTCTGTGGCTATTCTTTTTTAAATGTCTTCAGATTTCAATTTCTATAGTTTAAATTTTTCCTGAAAAAATCAAGTTTCATTGAAATTTTAAAATTACCATTTCTTTGAATATAACTTACTTTATTTTCTTGTGATTTATTACACATTCCCTTCATTACTGCATTCTGTTCATTTTTCTTTGATTATATTTGCCAGAGAGTAGTATGACTTATTTTACTTTCCCTAAAACTCATAGATTTACCTTATTTTTTTCTTTCAAGTAAATGACTTTCCTATTTTTATGTTAGTAGAAATGCCACCATCCCTTCCAGGGTTTCTTGGGGCCTCTGCACTTCACCCCTATCTCCTCCCTCGCAGGGGCAGACGGAGCCGGAGCCGGCAGAGGGAGCACCGAGTGGTAAGGAGGCCAGCGGGGGAGGCACAGGGCTATTCCGAGGACATGTGGCTGCAACTTCTGGCCCAAGTTCCATCAGATGAAGGCATCCTGCATTGCATGCTGCCCTGAGCGCAGAGCGTGTCTGGTTTGTAATTAAAACCTGATTTTCGGCTCCACCTACCTGTACTACTTCCCACCGACTCCTGCGAGAACTGACACCTGCGCTATCCCTCAAGCCCATGTCCGGGAACTTAGAAACCGGGATGGCTCTAGACGTGGCTCATAGGATCACGAGGTCAGCCATCCAGGGACGACCTGTGGTGGTTTGTGTTTGTTTCTGTGGCGGCTGCACAGCCCTTGGTGATATTTGTTTTGAAAATATTCTTAGGTTTGAAGCATTGGAGCCACAATCCCTGTGACATGGGCTTTCCATACCAAGACCAGACGGACAGTCCCAAATGAACCGGGTGTGAGCCCCCACGGCAGCAGCTGCTCCTCTGCCCATGAACTGAAGACAAGCCTAGCCCTCCATTCTCCGTCTTCAGAGAAATCTGTGGGCAGGGCAGGACGCAGGGGCACAATTTCCACTGAGTTAGCATCTGAGGCTTTCTGTGCTGCTCAGTGTTGGTGCCCAGGAGTTACCTTGTGGGATGTCACCAGGTGAACTCGCTCCGGGACCACGCTGTTCACTATCCCTGAGAGGAAGGCAGCCTAGGGCTTGCCTTTATCCAATGCTGCCCACAAAAATGGCCATCCGGCAAGCACCTGTCTGGGCTCCTCTGTCTGCTCTACGGAGGTGACTGCATCCCAGGGTGCAATGTGCCTGGGGTCCTGTCTGTCTACATCTAGAATCTGTGCCAAGTGGGGGGGTCTCTAAATGCGTGAAGAAAAGTATGAGTATAAGTCAAACTCACCAACTCTGTCACTGTCAAAAACAAACTTCCAAAAAGCTGCCATTTAAAGGCCCAATGTGCCGAGACCGGTTTGGCTCAATGGATAGAGCGTCGGCTTGGGGACTGAAAGGTCCCGGGTTCGATTCTGGTCAAGGGTGCGGGCATATCTCCAGTAGGGGGTGTGCAAGAGGCAGCTGATCGATGACTCTCTCTCAGTGATGTTTCTAACTCTCTATCTCCCTTCCTCTCTGTACGAAAATCAATAAAATATATTTTAAAAAATAAATAAATAAAAATAAAGGCCCACTGTGTGTCTACAGGAGAGGAAACAGTAGGTGGGGCTCAGCCTGCTTTCTACCCATTCCCCGGTCAGCAGGCAGTTCTGCTTCCAAGGGCAACACATGCCCAGTCACCAAGAGTCATTCTCATACCACCCCCTACTCCGTCCTGCCGCCAGCCTCTCCCCAAGACATTTGACGAGAGAAGACTCAAGACAGACTGGCATCACCTTGGTCCCGGAGACGCAGAGCACACTCTCTACAGGCAGCAAAGGGCGGGCCGCCGCACCTCGGATGCCACCTACCTCTTCATCACTGGGCTCCAGGGGCTGGCACAGCCAGGGGGTGTCCACCAGCTTCCTGAGCTGCCGGTCCATCTCGGCGAGAGCAGCCCCCAGCCGCTCCTTCTGAGGGGGGTCCAGCTGCTGCTCCCGCGTGGGAGAGAGAGACGCGCTCGTTATCAGCAATGAGAGCTGGGGCACAGCAGTCCCAGCGCTGAGCTCCACTCAGAGAGGTCCTCCTCCACCTCCCCTCTGAGGAGCGCTGGGGAGAGAATTAAACTCTCCTTTCAGAAACAGCGGAGGAGACCTCGCCTGCCGGATAGCCACACTCTCGGGGCTGACGCTTCGCCGGCCTCCTGTCCAAAGGCACAGGACCAGCCTGCTGGCACCAGCTGGAGATGCCGTTCCATTCCGGGACAGAGTGGCACATCGGAGGGAAGAGCAGGGGGTACAAAAACTAGACTTTTTGGGACGTTTCTCCAGTCGTGTGACTTTTAGCAAGTTGTTTTGCCTCCTTGGCCTTCCAAGTCCTCATTTTTTAAAACAAGAAGGTTGGCCAGGCCATCTCCCAGCTCTTCCTATTTTAGCTCCTGTGACCCAGTAACTCCCCACCCAGAGTGCTTCCCCAGAGCCGCCGCTTCAGCCAGGTGCGTAAGGGCTGAGTGAGGGTGAGCAGTGAGCTCGTGTGCCTATCAGGGCCCAGCAGGATGGCTGCCAACCGTCTAAGGGAGAATTCTGTCTACGATGACAAAGGCGGTCACATGTGCAGCAACTGACATGCTAGGGATGGTGTGGCTGAGGTGTGGCCAGAAGAGAATGCGCCCCAACCACATGGTCACATCACATGACCTCTGAGGCCCCTCCCAACAATGAGTCTAGATTCTGAAAGCCAGAAAATCTAGACTGAAATGTGCGACAATGGCCACATCCCACAGCGAGAGCCCGGCCCCCCGGCTCACCAGGGCCATCTTCCCGGAGAGCAGCAGCTCTGTCTCGCTGCGCAGGGCCTTCATGTTGTTCACCATCTCCAGGACAAAGCTGCAGTTCAGCCCCTGAGAAGAACCAGGGCAGACACCATGGAGGAGGCCCAAGGGCTACACATGCCCAGAGGAGCAAGACTGGGAAAGGGCAGGTACCTCCGTGGCTCTGGGCTTGCTGTACACACGGTCCATGGACTTGGAGCTGGCGTTGACGGCGTGGGCAAGTTCCTGCTCCATGTCTCTATGGGACTGAGCTATCTCTCGGATGCTAGAGAAAACGAAAACACCACACATCAGAGCAGACGAAGGGTGGTCTAAAGTGTAAGCAGTAAGCGCTCTGTTCCTAGGAGTCCAGGACAGCTGTGCAGGTCTGTAAGCTGGCTCTGAAAACACCCATGGGTTTTAAACTTCCATCTATGTAAACTCTCATATCTCTCAGAGGATCAGTAGAAATAAATCAAAGCCAAGGGCAGGCAGAAACCCTGCTGGGCTGCGTGAAGGGTCTGGGAGGAGGAACTCAACCCATGCATGCCAGCAATGGACACGGAGCCCTGGCGCTCCAGGGGCGGGACTGACCTGTGGATAAGGGCTCCCGCCGCCTGCCCAAACTGGTCCATCTGGGTGGCCTCTTCCTCAGACAGGATCCCCAGGTGCAGGGAGAAAGATGGCGGGCGAGGCAGTTCACACTTCTGCTTGTCTTCCCAGGACTTCAGCGTGTTCTCAAATGCCTAGGGCACAAGAACCTAGAGTTACACTCTCTCCTGCCCTCAAGAGGTGAGCACATCTCTACCAACGACAGACACACCTGACGTGCTAGAGGCTACGGGAGAGGGAGAGGCAGGCTCTTCCATACTGGGGAAGAGAAACGGCCCTAGGAACTCCTATACCATTGGCTTAATTCCGGCATCTAAAAAGTGAGTAACTTCCTAGAACTAAACATTAAAAACCCCGAGTCTTCTCACAGGAGCAGCACAGGTGTGCCTGCAGGTGAGCCCTGGCCCCAAGGCAGCCCTCTTACCCTGTCTCGGGTGAGCATCTGGGCCCGGTTCTTGTGAATAATCCGAATGTATCCGGGAGGTTGGACCCAGGCCTCTCCGTCCACCTGCACAGGCACGCCCTCCTCGCCCAGGATGGAAATCTTCACCGTGCGACACTGAGCAAACACCACAGCGTTATCATGCACCGAGCTCACCGAGGAGCCTCACAGCCACTGAGCCCAGCAGAAACCTTCCTGCCCTACACCCTGCACAGGCAGCTGCCCTCTGGGGCGGCCAACACACCTACAGCCAAGCCTGCGGTCAGAGCATCCCTGTCCAGATCGAAGCTCATGGAGCCTGAGGGTCTGTGCCTGCCCCCACTGTGCCCTGGACCAGCACCACATCTGTGATCGCAGAGGAAATCTCAGTGATCAGACAAACGCCAGGCCGAGGTCGGGACTCATGGCTTCCAAGAGCCACTGGATCCCTGAGCACATGCGAACAAAGAACAAAGCCAACAGCCAACAAGGGGTAAGAATGCACTGCTCCTCTTTCCAACAAAAATGCAGTCAAAGATTTAAAATAGTGAAATCCCAGCAGCCTACTGCGGGAACAAGACAGGACAACACAGCCTGCGGTTCAAGTCAGCTCCCACCCAGGTTACTGTGCATAAATAAAAGCACCACCCTCCCTCACCCCACAGACTGACAGACCCTTCCCCTCCCGTCACCAGAAAAAAGTAATGGGGGAGCCCAGAAGCTGCATTCCCTCCCCCGCGGGGCCTCAGAGCAGCTTGGCGAGGCTGCACGTTCTCCACTGGCCGTATATGCTCAACCTGTGTTCCCAAGCACAAGCTGCTACTTCTGAAAGTCCAGGCCAAGCCCGTCTCATCTCATCCCACCTCAGCACGAGGGGTAGAGAGGGGGCACCTCCAGAAAAAGTCAGGGCAGTGAGCTCAGGCTGGGTGCTAATTGGCCCCAATTTCAGCACCCATTCTCCTGGGCTCTGTACCAGGACACATGTATTGGGGAGAGTGCGGTGTCAAGACTGTGGTTCTGGGCCAGGTCCTACTCTCCCTGAGACCACCTCCCCGGCTCTCCCTGCCTCCAGGACCACAACCAGTACCTGGGCAATCCGGTGATGCTGCAACTTAATGACCCGAGAGACAGCCATCTGCATACTGCCAAACACAGCTACCACCTCCAAGATCTTATCATCAAAGGACGGAGCTGCAAAAGTCTGAAAGGTGGAGGCAAAGCTGATGTGGGATCCCACTTCTTGAACACACAGCACATACTTCTCCCTGTGAGGGCTGCTGCACTGGTAAAAGCAGACAGGCCCTTACAAGGAGGTGATGCAGCCTAACTGAAGAGGCAGCTACAGTATGAACCTGTTACTAAGATCCAGAAACCAAGCTGCCTAGGATCAAATCCGGATCTGCCAGTTACTAGTCTTGTGACCCTGGCAAGTCACTTCATTACCCTGTTCCTCAGTTTCCTCATCTGTAAAGTGGGATAATACTGGTACATGCCTCAAGGTGTTGTTACGAGGACTGACACAGAGGAGTGACCAGCACATCTGAAGTGTCCAATTAGTATTAACTATTTTTACTAGCTCTTATGTACCAAGGAAGCCATGCCCCTGGTTAAAACCTACCACTGCCTCCCAGAGTTCTCAGCATAAATTCCAAAGTTATCCCCTGGCTTACACAGCCCTGTATGATGAACTCTAACTTCTCTGCACCCCACCTGCTGCACAGTGCCATCAGACAACTTCTGCCCCATGTCATTATCTAACCACTAAGCCTACCATCTGCTGCTCCCTCTGCGTGAAACAGCCTCCTTCCTCTTCTTCCCTACCCCAACACTACACCTGACCTGGCTGACCCCAAATCATTCTTTGGGCCTCAACATAGATGTCCCCTCCTCCTAGGAGCCTTCCCAGATCGCCACCAATCAGGGTTGGGTCCAGCTTCTGCATCACACCTGTGCCTCTGGCCACATCTTTTCTACTCAGCCTCCCTTCTCATGAGCAGGAGACACCACCTGTCTTGCTCTCCATAGTACCCATCCTGCCAGTACAAGAAAGGTGGGGTGCATTCATCCCTCGGCATCACTGACAGAGCACCCCGAGTGCTGATGCTCTATCAGGGCCCCAAGTGGCTAGTGCTCCTTGAAGGGGCTGCCTCTCTGGTCACTGCCCTCTCTGCCCCCAAGCTCAGGCCCATGTTACCCAGAACCCCTGCACATACATCATCTTCCTTGGTGCCTCCCCAGAAGTTGGTCCCTCCGGCATAGCTGGGAATATTGAGGACAGCAATTCCTTGGAGACTGGGGAGCGGGATGGGCCGCCCATCACACTGCGCAGTGGAGAAGAAGGACAAGGAAAGGAGAGATTCAGGCATCAATCAGTCCTTCCTCACAGGCAACCCGCCCAAGGGCCGAGGAGGCCCGCAGTGAGCGGCTTCCCTCCCACCGAGGGGTCCGCAGGGAGCAGCGCTAACAGGAGGCCCTCGGGCTCACCTCCAGCAGGACCTTTTGCTCCAGGTTCTTGTAGGTCCTGTGCAGCAGCTCTTTGGTGCCAAGCACCCCATACCACATCATGTTCTTGGTTCGGCTCCTGGAGAAGGAATCACAGAATGAACGGGGGCCGTAACTTTCTTTCTAGTTAACTATAGTCATTGCTAAAAATATATATATATATATATATATGGGGTGGCATCAGATCACAAAAGGGTGAGACTCTGCGATTCCCTGCAACAGAGACCCCTTAAGGAAGGTAAGCCCCTGCTAGTATCTATAAAAGGTAAGCACAGAGATACGTTTATTGACAGGAAAAGTAGTATTTCTCAAGAAGGTAATCATACCCTAAAAGGTAAAACTTCACAAAGATGTTATAAACCATGAGCTTTTCTGACTATAAAATTATGTTTACCATACGACACTTGAAAAGCCCATCTGTACGGGCTGGTGATCAACGCTGCTGGGTGTCTGTCTTTTCTGGGTGTGCAATTTACAGGTGGAATATCCAGCCTGCCATCTCCTGACACACTGTCCACTTCCACTTCTTAGCACACTTTGTGTTAACTGCCCCTGTACAGTAACCTCACAGACTTATGAGTCTCCTCTTCCCATTGACTGGAGTCTCTCGTTTTCTTATGCTGAATCTGCCCAAACCTGGACAACCCTCGGGCAAGCCTCCTCCAGGCTGGCCTCTGGGACTTCCACCTGCTTCCACCCACCTTTGAAAGCACCTCCTAGCCCTAACCGGTTTGGCTCAGTGGCTAGAGCGTCAGCCTACAGACTGAAAGCACCTCCATTGGTAGACACAAGGCATTCAGGTAGCAAACTGCACATCCTTTTACCTGCTGACTCCAAAAATCACCTTCCTGACCAGGAGAAATGAGAAGACTCGAGGACAGGTGTGCACACAGGTGTCACCCACCTGCACTTCTCCGGGTGCTCATCACGCTTGTTGTTGAAGTCCAGAGATATCTTCGCATCCAGGCCAATGCCAAAGTAATTGTTCATGACACATTTTTCTGTGTAATATTCTCTGCAAAAGGGGATTCAGAGCAATTTAGCAGCTTCCCAACCTCTACCAGTTCTTCCTGAGGGCAAACTCTATTTCTTATTTTATTTTTTAAATTATAATTATTTTAGGTAACAGTGTTGAGAAATCATATACCATATAGTTTACTCACTTAAAATGTACAATGCAATTTTGGGGGCTGTTTTTTTTGTTTTGCTTTGTTAATCCTCACCCGAGGATATTTTTCCATTTGATTTAGAGAGTGCTGGGGGGGGGGGGGTAGATATCGCTGTAAGAGACACACATCGATTGGTTGCCTCCCACACAAACCCCGACCAGGGCCACAGATAGAGCCTGCAACTGAGGTGTATGTCCTTGACCAGATCAAACATGATACCCTTCAATCTGTGAGCTGACCATCTATCCACTGAGCCAAACCAGCTAGGGCTACAATACAATTTTAATGCAATCACAGAGTCATATAACCATCACTACAATCAATTTCAGAATTACTGTATCACCCGAAAAAGAAAACTCACACTGTCAGCCAGCACTCTCAACCCTTCTCAAGCCCCCAACAACCACTAATCTATCTCCATGGATCTGCCTCCTCTGGACATTTCATAGAAATGGGTCCCAAAACATGGGGCCCTTGCGCCTGGCTCCCTTCACTGAACAGTGTTGCCAGGGCCTGGAGGAAGCAGGGCTGCAGGGGCCTGGGAAGTGGCCAGGCAGGCCACAGAAGGCCATGGCAGCAAAGGCAGAATGACCAGGTCCTAGGGTGACAGGGAACAACCTGGTGCTCAGCCTGGGTGGAGGAGGAAAGCAGCTTTGGTCTCCCTAGGTCAGTGGTCGGCAAACTCATTAGTCAATAGAGCCAAATATCAACAGTAAAATGATTAAAATTTCTTTTGAGAGCCGAAAACCGACTTCTGCGCATGGGCCACAAAGTTTCAATGGCACTGTACATGCGCATCCGCACGTGTTATTTTTTTGAAGAGCCACATTCAAGGGGCCAAAGAGCCATATGTGGCTCGCGAGCCACAGTTTGCCGACCACTGCCCTAGGTGAAGGAGAAGTCTCTCCAGTCAGAACAGGAGAAAACAAAGACCAATGGCTGTGGCTGCCAGACTTGGAACCTCAGAAACCTCAGATTAAGAAAACAAACAAAATATCCAGGGCACTGCTCACAGGAAGACAGGCCTTTTCGAGGAATTATCAGAAAGGGTCAAAACAAGAGCCCAGGCAGCCCTGGGGCCTGGAGTGAGGAGCAGACAGGCCGGTAGGTGGCAGTGGCAGGTCCTAGATGGGATGCCCAAGCACTGGGCAGGCCAGAACGTGGCAGCAGGTGTCCAACAGAGGCAGCTCCCTGGCAAACCGGCTTGGCAGGACTGACACTCTCCGTACTTCCAGCTTCACCTTCCCAAAACCCAGAGCTTCTGTAAACCACACATTTCTTAATGGCTCTCCCCCACCCCACACACCAAACACATGGCTGGCAACTTAACCAACTGCCACCTGAGGCTAACTGCCCAGAACTTGCTATCAGCAGGCAGAAAGGAAAACCTAGAAGAATGGGTTTTCAAACACCATCTGTGTTTGCAATGGCGTGTACACACATAGGAACAGATTCAACTGAACTGCTGTCCACAGTCCTCACGGCCTCAGTCCAGGGACAAGAGACACAGTGCGGGAGCACAAAGCAGCTCCTCCCCACACATCTCAGCCAGGACAGCGTCTCCCTGGGGATCGCCAGGAGCTTCCAGCCCAGGGACCTGTGACTGCAGCTCTATGGGGAGCAGGCCGCAGGAGAAAGCAGCAGCACAGCAGGGGCTGGGAGAGGTAGTCAGGAAGAGGCACCAACACAGGGTCAGCCAAGGTTACCAAACAGTGATAATGAAGAACAAGTTCCTAACAGGAGTTTCTGAACCTGCCCAAAACCTCAGAACATTCCATATATTCAAAGACGCTGCCTCGTGACCACTGGAAATGAGCCAGGACAGGCTATGTCCCATCATCCCATCGTCCCATCGCCCCATCGTCCCAGCGCAGGAACTTTCCATCCACACTGCTTAGCTGAGGCTTCCCATTTCTGGGTTTTCCTTATCAGCTGACACCAGCTGGAAGGGGATCCCCTAGCCAACTGCCCACAAATTACTCTAGTCAATACCAATCACTTTCCAGGCTCCAGCATTCTTTACCAACGTGCCCACTTGGTTCATGCCACACTCACAGGTTTTCTGGTTCGGAGTTGAAGGGATCAGCATTAATTAACAAGCGACTGATAACTGAACCGCCAGGCAAGGAACCAGACATCCCCGCACGAACATCTGTGAGGGAGACAACCCAGAGTCATGAAACAAAAGCGAACATACTGGTGACAGCAATCAGCACCTGTGAGACACATACAAAAATGGCTTGTGAAGACAGTCCCCATTAAATGTACAGAAAGCTCCGCCAGAATGAGCTCTTCGTACGACTAATCTTAGAGCCCAGGCGCCCAGCTTTGAAAGGCTACATTCATGAGAAATAAACACCTTCGAGCGGCCTGCATCAATTTAAAATCTTTAAATCACACATTGAGGTAGAGATGAAACCTGTTTTTGAACGTTCTGCCCACCCATGCATCCAGTAATATCTTTATCACTAGCTACCCAAATGCTCATTTCCGAGGGTTCATTTCCCAAGGGCTTCTAGAATTTTCTTTCTATTCAGTGGAGATTCTCTAGAAATTGACAAATCACTTATAGGAGTAGATGGTGTGCCAGGAGACCTCCGGCTCTACCTGAAGCTGGCAATTTCAACCCCTTGTGGCATTCCTTCCTATGAAGACAAGTTCTGTCACCACTCCCCTGGGGGAAGCAGCAGCAGGAGTTGCCTGTGCTCCATCCCAGGCAAAGGGAGAGCAGAGCAGGGAAGAGCACAGGGCCAGTCCTCCCGCCGGCTAGCTGCTCCTGCTGCAATCATGGAAGAAACAGCAGCACGACTCAGTCCCACCACAGCCTGCCCGCCTTCCTCGTTCACTCAGGACAACTATTTGCCTGCCTTCCTGGAGCCCCGCCCCCGCCTCTGAGGCGATGTGGGTGCCACCTGCCCTTTGTAATGAATAAGAGCACTTTCATGCCCTGACCTAACTCTGAATTCTATCTACTTTCCAAGGACCTATAGACTCTTGGAGGACAGACCCGGCCTCATTTATTCCCACAGACGCAGTGCCGGGCAAAGCGAGGCCTGACACCCTCCCACAGAAGCTCACACTGTGCCCGCACGGGGGTGGGGACACTCACTCGGGAAGAGGATCTTTGTGTTCAGCGCTGGGAGGCCATCCCGGTTTCCTGACTGGGGAGGAAGAGAGGCCGAACTCCCTTTGCTGATCAGCTTCTCACATGGGGACTTGGAAACTATAAAAACAGGACACAAAGCCATGACTGTCTACTGGAGAAGTTCATCAGAGAAATGCCAGGTGGAGCTGGTGAGGTAAAGAAAGAGGCCCAGAGAGAGACACAAAGAGGGGACGAGAGGCCAGTGGGTCTGAATGTCTCCAAGAGGGTGAGGCTGGGACAAGGCACAGAGGGACCAGACCCTACTCACACTCAGGGCCCATGCCAAGGGGAGTTCTAAGTGGTAATGACCATGGAGTGAACTCTGAGGCAGATTCCTCTGGGCCATCCTCCACACCCAGAGCCTGCGCTGCTCCAGGACAGATACAGTGCACAGGAAGGTGACCCGCGAGGCTGGTGATGCCCTGACCAAAATGCCAGGCCAGGCTGGCTCTGGCTGGAACAAATTTCGTATGTGCATGGCATTTGGCTGGCTGCAGCCAGGAAGTTCTGAGGGGTACCCAGGAAGGTTCTGGGCCCTACTGGGTCTGGGGCACAGAGAGGTTCTGAAGAAAGCACTCCTCAGCACCAAGGCTCCCCACTCCCCAGCACCCCTCCCACCTGCCACCTGACAAACTGCGCACAGCATGCAGCACAGGGAAAGGCCTGTAAGTGGCCAGAGCAATGAGCCAGCACTGCCCCGACACTTCCTTGACAAGCTTTCTGAGTGCCAGGCCCGACCGCAGGACTGAGGGCACCCCGGCTGGTGGCTGTACCTTTTCGGAGGCTTCTATGCTTGGCAACCCCGCAGCTCTCACTGTGGCACACCGTGTCCTCTGACTTCAGGTCCTTTTTCTCCTCTGACTCAGAGAGACCTAAGACGATCATCTCCTGCTCTTGGGTCTGGGCATTCTGCTCATCGACAGCTGCAAGGAAAGAACGTCCGTAGCTCAGTCCAAGGACATTACCACAGGCAAGGCCAGGCTGACAGAGGTCCTGCTGAATAGACTCCCCTCTTCGCCTGCCAATTTGATTTTCCTTCAAATGTCCTCTTGTTTGCAGATTAAACCTAAAGTTCCCACCTCATGCCCACTGTCCCCCTGGGCATAGCACACTACAAGCACCATGGGCACCGGACATCTGTGCCAGCTGGCTGGGGAGGAGGGCCCAGAAGCTGAAGATGTGGAAAGAAGGTGAGTGAAGGACTGAGAGCCTAGAGCAGCCCTGGGAGATGTGATGAGGGCCCCCACCTTGTGCATCCAGTATATAGGTAGAGGTCACGACTTATTTTCTCATGGAAGCAAGAAGCAGGCTGATCTGCTCAGAGTGAAAAGGTGAGGGCTAGGAAAGCATCTGAAGGGTGTGGACATGTGAAATGGCTTCTGAGGGTAATGAGAGACAAGGCAGATCCAAGATAAGAAAAAATTTGCTGAGGAACGATCTGGAGGTCCCAGCAAGGTTGGAGGCAATAAAGTTCACAGGTCAATGTGGTTTTTCAGCATTCTCATCTAAGCTTAGCAAACCCGAGTCTGGAGAAAGGGAGTGACTAGCCAGGCAAATCTTTGTCCTATGTGATCTATTTACCTCTCCCAGGCCCCAGGCTGATGGTGGGAAGTCAGCACACCAGGCCACTGACCTGCCCAGGCCCTGGGCACCCTCCTCCACTGAAGCAGTCCTGACTCAGATACCATGGTGTACATGGTCCCTCCACTTCTCTAACCACCTCTCTGGGCTCCCCCAACCTCCAATCTCTCTCTGTCCACTGACTTGATGGGTGGGCCCCACCTCTCCAGGTGTCCTAAGAGCACCCAAGATCTAAGCACCAAGTCTTTCTTAGAACACACCCCCCCAGAGCAGCTCCTCCTCCAACTGGACAGGACACATCCTGTAGGGCTGACCCAAGGCTGGGCCCAGTTCCGCATGTTAGCTCCCTTCTAGGGAGGGGGCTCCCTATTCAGGGATCAGTTTCTCCAAGGAGCCCACTGTGTATGTCCATGAGCACCTTTTCACCAGCGAGGGGCGCCCTCCAGCTCTGCCTTTCACTTTCTGGATCCCTGGGTTCTCTTTCCAGTGTTTACATCAGACCCAGTAGGTGAGCAGGGAGACACGCTGCGGGCACACGCTCAGGTATCGATAGGAGGTGCTGCCTCCTGTCAGGCAGGCCGGAGATAAGCTGCATAGGCAGAGAGTGACCTCGGGCTATCAGGCTTTGACCTACAAGGTGGATGCCTTTCCAGCACCATGTTCAGAGGAAACTGGGCGTGCCTAGCACTTGCCTGAAGAAAGCTCTCTTGTCATTAAGAGACCAGCTACCTTTTTCTGTGTGTTCTATGATCTGACGAATCGCCTTCTTCAGGCTATTGGCTCTCAGCATGAGCTGTTCCCGAGGCCTGAATATCTGTGGCCGGGTTGGACATGCTGACCCCATCGAGCGGTCCACAGTTGACCCACAGCTGCTGCCCGTTCCGTCTCCATCTTCTGCCTCCTCAGCAATGGTGGGTGGTGGGGTGGGCAGAGAGGACGAGGCCTGGGACTCATCGTCCAAGGTCTTGAGAAGAGAATCCAACTTCTCTTTCAGGACAGAGCACTGGACAAGAAACAAATAAAGTGGAATGGAGTGCCTCTCATCCTGACACCCTCCCAGGCAGGGGCCTAGGGAACAGACCTTCTTGGCCATGACCTCAGACTCCTCCGAGCTCTCAGTCGTCTTCTCATAGGCCTTTCCCACTCGAGCCACAAAGTCCTTCACCGTCTCACAGAGCACTCTGTGGGAGAAAACGCAGACAGAAGCTTCTAGAGACAGTCCTGGTTGCAAACTGGACACTCTGTGTGCTGGACCCCTGGTTCCCCTGAGGCAGCTGGCACTCACTTTGCCGATGAGATCACCACCGAGTGCTGGTCAGAAGTCAGGATTTTAGAAAGATGGGCCGCAACCGAATCTTCATAGAAGAGAATTTGCTGCACCTTAGAATTATCCCAAAACAGGGAGGGATCATTGTAGGTACAAGTTCACCCAGTGAATTCCTCACCCACTGCCCCCACTAACCAGGCCTCAGCTCACTTCCTTCAACAATCTGAGACCTGCCAGTGTTATCTGAAAGATTTCAAAGGCTTCATCCGGATGTGGACAGATGGGCCTTAACAAAAAAAGAGCATGTTTTGATAAAGACTTACAAATACCTCATGCTTCTTTGTCCTTTAGTCTGAGATTCACCACCAGCAGCCTGGCTAAGAACTAGGATCTTCTATCTTGTTTCCGTAAGCAACACTCCTTAATTTAGGTTCCATTCACAGCAGACAACACATCTGTCTACTTGATTGGGAATGTTGCCTGGCCCATCTCCTTCTCTCAATATAAGTTCCCCCTTTCCCACTCATCTCTGCCTGCTGCAATGGGAGATCTGATGCTGTGTAATGGCCCACTCTAGGCGCTAGCCCAGGGTCAGCAAACTTTACTATCAGCTAGATAGTACACACAGTCTTCCTCTCTTGAAAGGTACAGACCATCCTCTGCACACAGGTCATGTCAAAGCAGATCCAGGTAGATGTGGCCTGGGGCCAGTTTGCTGACCGCTGACCTAGATGGCCCCTGCAGAGTTCTCTCTCCTGCTCAGCCAGCAGCTAGCGTACGCAGTGGGCATGAGCACAACTATGTGCCAGGACTGCACTACTGCAGGATATAAAATAAGGAAGGCAAAGTTTAGGCCCTTAAGAACTATTAAGACATAACAGCCATAAAACAAAAAGAAGAGTGAATGACTGAACTGGCACGGCCAGCTGCAAAGGGAGGCAATGTGGAGGATGATGGGGCAGCATCAGGTGCAGGGAGGGTGGGAATTCCTAGGGAACTGTCAACACAAAGACCCCAAATTCTAATGACAACTGAGAAGCCTCCAGGTGACTCAAAGCCTGGGGAGGTCAGAATCTATGTGGCTTCACCTAAACCTTGAGCTGATCCTGAACTTCTGGTCTAGCCTAGGGCTGGGCATGAGAACACTGGGGGTGCAGGGGAGGGGAGGTAACCGGAAAATACCTCGGAACCCTCGCTGAAGTCCTCAGTGACGACGGTAGAAGAGGAGGCCTGCCGGGGCAGTTTAGTCTCGTACGCCATGACACTCCACCTGCACACAAAGGCAGCTCCCAGCAGGTTGCTCCCTGCACCTCCCTCCTTGTGACCTGGAGACCTGACCTTACAACAATTCTAACTTCATCTGTAAGTCCTTTCTGTTAGCTTGTGTACAAATGCTACCCCAATAAGTCACTATGGCTCCACTAGTGGAAGAGAAAGCCAGCAGCCTGCTCCTCACTTCCTCAAATGCACTACATGAGAGGGCAGCTGAGTGGATGCGTGATCAAACCTGCTCATAGCAATCTCAGGATCGTGACGAACATGAGCATTTTCACAACACCAATCCACCACAGGCTCTGGTTAGCAGGATTTCAGACATGAGTCAGAACTAAAAGCAGTTCACCCAAGAAGGATGCCAAAAAATTGTTAAACACACAGAGACTATCCAATACTTAAGATCCTTCAGGAACAGAATATGAGAAAATGGGATCGCTCAATTATGGATAACGAGCACTCTACTGACAGGCGTCAGATGATGGCCGCAATGCCTGAAAGGGACAGCGCCACCTTCTTTAACAGCCCCAGTGGATCAGGCTTGGCCTCAACAGAAGACCTCATCACTCAGTTCATAACGTGTCTGTTATTCTTTCCATAACCCTGGTCAAAACTTAAGAACTCCCAGGAAAAAAGAATTCCAGCTCAGGTCAAGTTTTTACACTTGTTTGTCAAAGGCCTATGGTTCCCTGGGATCCGGGTAAGAACAGCTGGTCCAGGTTACCTGTCTCTGACTAGCTCGTGTGGAGCAGCACGAGAATGCGCCCCACTCACCTGTCCAGCATCTTGGTGCTGGCTCTTTCCAGCTTCTCCAGGATCTGAGGGAGCTGGGTGTCATCATCACAGGCTGAGCCCCAGCCCAACACACGAGCCAGGTCGTTCCCTGTGCCCAGGGGCAGCACTCCCAGCTGACACTGCAAAACACAGGAGGAAGACACAGCACTGAGACCCCTCCTCTTTGCTGACAATGGTGGCTGACCCCAGTGGAAGAGACCTGTTCCAAAAGGGGTGGGGCTTCCATTTCAGGCAGAGCCACAGAGCCCACAGCCTTTCTAACCCCACAGAAAAGTCCTCCGTCTCCCACAGCCCGCATCTCACATGTTGCTACATTTTGACTGCCCTCTAGCACAGTGGTTCTCAACCTTTCTAACACTGCGACCCTTTAATACATACAGTTCCTCATGTTGTGGTGACCCCAAACCGTAAAATTATTTTCCCTGCTACTGCATAATTGTAATTTTGCTACTGTTAATGAATCGTAATGTAAATATCTGTGTTTTCCAGTGGTCTTAGGTGACCCTGCTAGCGGTTCTCAACCTGTGGGTCGCACACAGGGGGCTAGCACAGACACTCTGGGGTAGCAGGACTGAGCCTAGCAACTAAGTAGAATGAGGAGGGAGGGCAAGGGAAGAATCAAAAATGATCAACTACCAAATCTCTGGTTTGGATGTCTGGTGGATGATAATTTTCAGACTTTAAAGAAAGAAATGGGGGGCAGGCAGGGCTGAGTGGTGTGCTCAGTGCTGGAAATGTTGGGCTTGAGGTGGGAAGGGGCAGCCAGGAAGACAAGAAACACCAAGGAAAGCTAGGGGAAAAATAGGCTGACCAGAGACTCGAGTGCCACAGAGAAGCTGAAGGAGACAGTGCTCACTGAACTCAACTGAGTGGATGAAACCTGCCTTCCTGATTAGTGACAAACTTGTATTAATAGATCATCCTAGAAGTCAACAGAACACAGAACTTAAGTATTGTTCTCTAACTTTACCACTAGAGGGAAGCATTTTCTTTCCTGAGCAAGTGGCCTTGATGGAGAGTTCACAGTCCAATTTGTATCATTTTAATGCCCGAGGCTAAAAAATGCCTTAGAACAGTCCACCCCACCTGAGAATCAGGTAGAAGATCTGGAAAAAAAAGTATGTTGAAAGCAAAAAGTAGGGGAAAATATCACCGACAAAAAGAATTTACATCCCCAATATAACCTTTAAAAATTAAAATATTTTTAATTTTTTAAAAGGCAAATACCCCAATTGAAATGTAGGCAAGGAACATCAACAGGTAACTCATTTAAAAAGTCATGGTTAACCGACTACCGAGGTTCAGTGATTAAACATCGACCTATGAACCAGGAGTTGTCGGTTCGATTCCCAGTCATGGCTTATGCCCTGGTGGGGCATGCAGAAGGCAGCCAATCAATGATTCTCTCTCATCACTGATGTTTTTCTCTCTCCCCCCATCTCTTCCTCTATGAAATCAATAAAAATATTTGGAAAAAATAAATTCACAGTTAATTGAGATGTTTTATTTCAACAGTAATAAAGAAATAAAAATAAGACATATCCTAGAGAGTAGGAAGGGACAGAAATAGACTTACTGGAACTGCAAGTCACAATTAGGGTCCCTTGGACCTCTCTCTCTCAACAATGGACTCATATCACCCTGTTCCGTTCCTGCATTTTATAAATCAGCATGTTGTGGCATCTTGTGCTCACCCCATGGCAGTAGGTGGAGATCTGCCGGTGGCTTTCCGCTGGGCAAAGCTCTGCCAGCATTGAGCTTCTCACTCCCCTCCCTGATGATCCCCTTTCTGGGCATTCATAAAGACCACTGTGAAAACCATACAGACCCTTTACCAACTGTGCTCTCTTCCAAAGAGCGTCCAACATTTACACACTGATCTGTACTGCCACACTGCTATCCTTCCAGACTGCACCAATCTCATTTCCCGATGCCACTAAAATCTCTCCTTTCCACACCTATCCATTGTTCATCTTTTTCGTTTTCGCCCAATTAAATAGACAAAAAGGTCGTACCTTTACTTCTAGCTGTAAAGTTCCTGTTCCCGTCACAGCCCCAGCCCCAGCTCCCGGCCCCATGATGCTATTGAGCTATCAGCTCTTCCCTCCCAGACCTTTGCTGGCCCCTCCCTGGGAAAAGTACTCCAAGGGACATGGAGTGTCACCCAAGACAGCCCACCCACCCCATTCCCGGGCCTGGGCTCCTCCACATTCAGGCACCTGTTTGTGAAGATTGAGGCTGTCAATTTCAGAAAGGACCCAGCCAACACTGCCGTCCCCACCACAAACCAGAATCCGGAATGTGTCAAACTTCTGGAATAAGCGTAAGCTGCAAAGAAAAGAGAATGTAATGAAATGAGGTACATTCTAAATGACAAACGATGGCCAGTCAGTCCTGGGTGAGGGACCTGTGTGTGGTCCTCACAGTGACCTGTACCTTCTCCTGCAATTAAGTCCCTCAGAGGAAGGGCCTAGGTGCTCAGGCTCGGCCTGCTGGGGCCACTGGGCACCTCAGAGCAAAAGCCTCCCACCAGAGGCCTCTGTGCCATTCTCCACTCGCCTAGTCCCCACACGCAGCCAGCACCTGCATGGGCAGCTGAGGAGCCCAAGAAGCACAATTAACTCCACTTTATCTTCCCCACAGGGCCGCTGCATCCTCCAGGTGATGTGACCCATCCCTCCTCCCCGCGTAACCCACCTCCATCTCCTTCCCGTGCTCTTCGTGGTCACCTGCCCCTCTGCTCATTCCTCACCCACTTCCTGAGTGGTCTGACTCAAGTTTTGGCTTCAGAGACCATGACCCTAAACCATGACCTCCAGACTTTTCTGAAGAACAACACATGCACTTGTCTACCAAAAGAGTCACCAGGGTGTCCTAGGTTCCCCTCCTTGGAAAATAGCAGAGCTACCATCAAAACAGTCACCAGGCCAACCCTGCTGTCCCGTCCACCACTGCTTCTCTGATAATCACTACGAGAGCCTTCTCCCCAGCTCACGTCTCCTGCGGATACCTCCAATTGCTACCAGTATGATCTGTCCCAAAACAAGTCTTGTCCAGTGTCTCACTTTAAGAATTTGCCGCTTGTTTCCAGGAAAGGTTCAAACCCCTTGGCCAGCACCTACAACCCTCCCTGGCCAGCAGCTGCCATCCCACTGTCTTCTCACCTCTTGGCACACACAGCATCTTCTGCCCAGCAGGCTCCAAACCTCCCTCCCTGCCATGACACCAATTCTCCTCAAACACTGGCTCAGGGAGAAACTGAGAAACCCTAATTTGATTTATAAATTCCCCTGGGTTCCCAAAGAATCTGCATGCCTCCCTGTCATGGTGACAGACATGCTGCCATGTGACCTTGACTATCTGTCCATGTGCTGCACTCCTGGCAGGCAGGGGCCCGCCATAGCAGGCCTTCCATCTAGCTGAATCTGAGCCAGAGGATGTCCTGGAAAGACAAAAGGGAATGAAGGGCACACGTGGCTCAGGGAAAAACCATACATGAGATTCTAAAGCATCAAGGCTGCCTCTGAGAACACTGACCTCTCCCAGGCCTCCTGCTCTCCAAGGACAGGAGTCAAAAAAGTGAAACAATGTGCCTAAATTTGTTTATAAAGTGTGGGATGGGACCTGCTTCCCAGAAATTAGAGTTTACTAAACCAACTGCCCCTGTGCCTTTGTGGGGCTCCCTACGCCATCCTGTCTCCTATGCAATATCACCCAAACACGGGTCTGCATGCAGCCAAGTAATATCTGGTTCTTCTCAAGTTCTCTGCCCAAAGCCATTCACAGCATTTGTCCAATACCCCAGTGCCTCGCTGAGTGAACCTGTTCAGTATATCAGGACAAAGGCTGTCTGATTCCTTCACTGAACCTCCCTCCTTTTTTAATCCTCACCTGAGAATATGTCTATTGCTTTCAGAGAGAGAGAGAGAGAAACATCAATAGTTTGCCTCCCATATGCACCCCAACCAGGGATTGAATCCAAAACCTAGGTATGTGCCCAGGGAATGAACCCGCAATCTTTTGGTGTATGGGACAATGTTCCAATCGACTGAGCTACCCATTCAGGGCACTGGCCCCATTTTTTAACTAGAAAGATTCCTTTCTAAATGCAATGGTGAATATGCTCCTGATCATTCAGTTAACTAAGTCCCCCTACCTATATCTCAGGAGTGCTGCCTGAAGGAAGCAGGCTAGAAAGTTGCCGTGGTATTTTCCTCCAGCAGCTATTGCCATGGGAACACCTCCACATCAGGCCCTGGGGCCATGTGCACATCCTCTCCTCCCACCCGCCCCAGCTCCTGTTACAGCAGCGCCTGCTCCTAACACAACACCCTCCAGGAAAACATAAACCAGAAAACAGGTCCCCAAGCACTTTCCACTATAAATCCCCTGATGATCCATCCCCTCACAAGCTAGGAGGCTTGCAGCTCCGACCTTGAACTGCTGCTTCCAAATGAGGAAGGAGTTAGTTCAAATGACAAAATTTACAGAAGCAAATGTTTTCTACAAACCTACAGTATGCACAAAACTAGAAAGACACATCAGCTCTCCAGACACTTGGGCCCTCACACGTCTGCACGTGTCACTACACCTGCAAGGTGAGCAACTTCTTATGCCTCCAAAATGTAAACTCTCTTGTTTGGCCTCTCTGAAGGAAAGCCTCCCCAATAGTAAGCAGCCACTGAAAGCAACAAAGCAAGTCTGTAACCACTGACTTCAGAAAACGCCCACGCTATTGCATACTGACACCCTTAAACAGTATACTGCACAATGCCAGGCAACAATGCACCGCATTCGGTTCAAAAGTATGTGTGCACGCCTGAAACACACATTTGAAAACTGGAAGGACACCCAACTCTATTGAGAGGATACCTCTGCAAGTAGAATTTGGGGATGGAGGGGGTGGTTCAAGAATCAGGGCCTTTATTTCCTTTTTTAAAACTTATGTTTGAATCTCTTAATAATAAACATGCATTATCTTCAAAAATTAAACTCCAAGAAAGAACTATTTTACAAGCTTACCCAAGGTGTGGCCCTCCATTCATAAGGTCAAAAACCTGGGCAGGGTTCAGCAGCTGTTTGAATCTTCTGAGGAACTTCACGCCCTGGTTGTCCCCACTTTTTGAATTAACAAAGACTAACAAGGGGCTTGTGCAGGACGGAGGACATGTGGCCTTCCAGAAGCCTGGATTGAGAATGGAAAAGGACAGAGGTATGAAAGATAGATGGGCATGCCTGATCCTGTAGGAAGTAATCACCTGAGGGCCCTGTAATTTACACAGAACCAGCAGTTAATAAGCGCATTTCCACATGGCCATTACCCCTACAGAAGAGAGTGAGTGCCCATCCAGTCTGACTTCATATTTATAAGGATTCTAAATTTCAGGAAGAGCGGGCACCGCAATGCTCTTCCTTTCACTCTTGTGCTAATTCTGAAGAGCTGATATCCTCCCACAAATGGGCCCCAATTTCTAACCTTTATTACAAACATGGCAAACTCGTTGCCAGAGGGTTTGCCATGCTTGACTTACTAATATACATCATCAAACATGCTCTGGACAAGTGCCAGCAGCAGGAAATCACGTGCTATTTAATACCTGCTGCTAGATGGAGACCAGCTGATGGAGCACATGATCTCAATGGCTCACAGCAGAGACAGACACGCGTCTTTGAATGGGTGTGTCTACTCACAACCTCCTGGATCCATCACCTTTAACTAAGGTACCAGCCTCGAGTTCTAAGCCTGCCATCAGGACACCATTTACCACCATGTACATAAGTCCTTTTCCCTGATGTCTGGGCCTGACCTCTTTCCCACCACATCTCAAAATCACCAATAGAGCCTTTTAGAGTGAGGAAGGAGAATGCACGAGGGAGAGCATGAGGAACGGGATAGGCCAGGAGAGCGCCTGGTACCCACCATCGGAATCGATGCTGTTGAGAGCTGTGGGAGGGATGACTGACACTTTACACAGGCCCAGTGGGCACTTGGTCACTAAGGATTCCTTACACGCCGTGTGTACCTGGAATAAGAATCCATGCATTACAAGGAGTCACGGCCTCCTTCACATAAAACCTACATGCGGGAGGAACGGGCTGTGCCCATCAAGAGGAACTGAAGGATTCGGGAGAGGGCTGTGCTCACTCACCATGGCCTTGCACCACAGGCAGCGCCAGTCCTGCAGCCGCAGCACGCTGCCACAGGTCTTGTCACACACCGTGCACTTGGCACTCACAGGCAGATTTCCTTCCAACCACTGGTGAGGCATGGCGATCTGCAGACCAAGCAGAGACATGCACTAGAAACATGTCCCAGCACCCCACTCAGGGGCACAGACCTTGGGCAAAGATGCTCCAAAATGACTTCAACCAAGACACTCTTCTCACCACAAGCAGAGGGAGAACAGGGTTGTACCACCCACACTCCTACTCCGGGCACAGCATGACTCACAAGGACTGGACAGAGTTAGGAAGCACAAAAGCCCACAATGAGCCCCCAAATGCAGAATGGGAGCAACTCAAAACCTCAAGGCAGAGAACCAAGAGAGAGGAGAGCCACACCAGTTTGGCCAGTGCCCCTGTGCGTACCCCGTCCTCATCCTCAATGATGTCCTTCCCGATGGAGGCCAGTGTGGTCCATTTGCAGTTATTGGTTGCACGCACAGCACACCGTTTGTGGGCCTTGAACTTGCACACTGTGAGAGAATGAACACATAAACCTTCAAGCCTCACTCGTGGCAGCTGCTTCCGGTGCTGGGTGAGATGGTCCAGTGGAACTGCCCAGGCTTCCTGGGACAGCTGGAACAGACAGCACGCCCTGTGATATGAACTAATTACTGGGACATATGTAGGGACTGACCTCGGTGAGACTAGATACCCAGGATAGCCAGGAGTCAGCAGACCTTCTGGAAAGTGCCAGAGAGTAACCAGTTCATTGTCTATCCCAAGTGCTCATCCTGCCCCTGCAGCCCAAGGACTGCCATGAACCATGCTTTACATATGGACACTGAAATGTCCATTCCATGATTTTCTGTGTCACAAAACAGTCATCGTCTTTTCACTTTTTCAACCATTTAAAAATGTAAAACCAGCCCAGCCAGTGGTGGCTCGGTTGATTGAGCATCAACACACAAACCAAGAGATCACAGGTTCAATTCCCAGTCAGGGAAGATGCCCAGCTGGATTCCCATGTAGGAGGCAGATAACTTATGTTTCTCTCTCATCAATGTTTCTATCTCTTTATCCCTCTCCCTTCCTCTAAAATCAATAAAAACGTATTTAAAAAAAAAAAAAAAAAAAAAAAAGTAAAACCCTTTTTAAATCTCACAAGCCTCATAGAAACGGGACAGGTGGAATCTGGCCTGAGGATGACAGTTTGCCTTTCTCTGATCCTGCCCAAACACTGGAACCCTGCCCTCTAGATCCATAAGACAACTTTCAATCCATTTATCCACAACCCAATTCACCCCAAGAGTGGGTATAACTAACACTGGGGCTGACAGTTTCAACTCCTTCTCCCTGTGGCCTCTTCTTTCTTCTACCTTATTACTGCCTCCCTTCTTTCCTTTGATCCGCTACCATAAAAAAGAACTTATCAGAGACTCCTCAGCAGGCATAATAAATAAGCGTGGGGTCACAGCAATTGCTTCACTCCTGACTACATTTGGACCTCTAGGGTCACACCGCCTTTCCCAGCAGATAATACGTCATCCACACCTTCACAGGACAGTCCATGGGACGTGACCCCAGACAGAGCCTCGCGGCACACGTTGCAATAGGTCGGCCTCGCGTGGGAACAGGCGTACCAATTGTGCATCCCTGAGAAGTGGTCCATGCTGTACTGGGTCGGCTGGAAGAAGAAAATAAAGGCAGCAAAGAGAAGGTGAACCTCTGACATTCTTAAATGTGGTCACTTAAACAGGAATCAATAAAGCATCCAGGGGAGGAGAGGAGGAAGGTTTATAAAAGACAGGGTCACAGTACAATGGGGCGACCTTCATTTACAAGGACCATGCTGAGAACGCAAGTCCAGAACTGTACGACCCACACATGAGAGACACCCAGACAGCAGCAAATTAAAGGGCAACAAGAAGAGTTTCTTTCTACCTCAAAATGCTCCCTGTTCTGGACAGTCTTCAGCGCTGCGATCCAATCTTCCATTTCTTTTCTATTGTCAGCACATAGGATGAGTTTCCTACATGGAGTGATAACCTAAAGAAAGGAACATATTCAATAAATCCATGAGCAAAATACAAATGCTAATAACGATAAAGACATCTTAAAAACCTACTTTCACCATATATATTTTATTGAAGAACAGCTGCTTAATTCAGATATTCAAGTGAATGGAGCATAAAAATGGTTATCTTGAATCACTAAAAAATAAGAACAATCTCAAACCAAAAAGACAATCATATTTAGGTTATACATTCACCAAAAACTAACTTAAGTGGACATTTATGAACTGCTTAGTACTCAGGCACACAGGAAAAAAAAAAATTAAAGGAAGAGAAAACGGCTGTTATTGTTCTAAACTCACAGGGTGACATCCTGCACTGACATAGTTCAGGGAAAGTCTGGTCCAAGTTACTCCAAGAACAGGGTGGGCATTTCACATGGACCACATGTAAGTGTTCTCACACAAGACCTTTCAATACATGGCAATGGAATAACAGCCAGCTATTGCATGCAGGGCCTGAGCAACTTAATCGGACCTGGTAATAATCAGCAACTAAAAATTATACCCACAACATATAAAAAAGTCTTTATACACCAACAGAAGAAACCTTTCTTACAGAAAAAAAAGGCTATAAATTTACATTTCACAGAGGAAATACAAAATGACTAATAAACAAATAAAAAGATGCTTAATTACCACTCTAGCCATCAGGGAACGCAAATGAAAATAACAAATTATTTTTCACCTAACAGATTGGCAAAGTTTTAAAAGATGAGAATGCAGTGTTTTCAAAGAGATGGGGGAAAGAGTTCTCCTGAAGTACTGACAGGAGGTAAACAGCATATAAACTTTATAGAGAAAAACTGGCCTTAGGTGGTTTGATTCAGTGGATAGATGTTGGCCTTTGGACAGAAGGGTCCCTGGTTGGATTCCAGTCAAGGAAGCATGCAAGTTTTTCAGGCTCCATCCCCAGTAGGAGGCATGCAGGAGACAGCCAATCAATGATTCTCTCTCATCATTGTTTTTTTCTCTCTCTCTCCCTTCTCCCTTCCTCTCTGAAATAAATAAAAATTAATTTTTTAAAAGGGGGGAAAAGAAAAACTGACCATGTCTATCAAAATTTTTTAAAGTTACAGCCTTTTACTTTTTTTTTTTAAATATATTATTTATTGATTTTGTACAGCGAGGAAGGGAGAGAGATAGAGAGTTAGAAACATCCATGAGAGAGAGTCATCGATCAGCTGCCTCTTGCACACCCCCTACTGGGGGTATGCCCGCAACCAAGGTACATGCCCTTGACCGGAATCGAACCCGGGACCTTTCAGTCCCCAAGCCGACGCTCTATCCATTGAGCCAAACCGGTTTCGGCTAGCCTTTTACTTTTTAAAAAATATATATATTTTATTGATTTTTTTTTTACAAAGAGGAAGGGAGAGGGACAGAAAGTTAAAAATATCCATGAGAGAGAAACATCGATCAGCTGCTTCCTGCACACCCGCTACTGGAGATGTGCCCGCAACCAAAGTATATGCCCTTGACTGGAATCGAACCTGGGACCTTCCAGTCCACAGGCCAACACTCTTTCCACTGAGCCAAACTGGTTTGGCTTACTTCATTTTGTTTTAGAATGATATAAAGTATCTACATGGTTCCAAAGTCAAATCTACAAAATACAGTACATTCAAAAGGCTAGCTTTGTATCTTCCTTCCATCCTGATTCCCTCCCTATGCCAAAGGAGCCCTAAAAATAAATAAACAAAACTACAGTTTATCCTTCCATGTGTAAGGTATTTGCTAACACATGTATATATATACAATCCCCCTTTTAAAACAGTAGCACACCACAGATGCTCTTCTCCACCTCTGCTTTTCCCTCTGAGTAAGACCCCGCCCTCACTCCTTAGCAGCATGCAGTGTTTCCTTATAGCTGTATCCAGTCTGTTCAACCCGTTTCCAATTAATGGGTATTATGTTGTTGAAAAGCCTTTGGCAAGTCAAAGGTGCCGAAATGCACAGCCTTTACACAGATCTTTTCATATGTACCAGTGTATTGCGGTGACAGAGTAAATGCATATGCTGTTTTGTAGCTATTGCCAAATTCCCCTCTGCAGAGGCTGGGCCATTCTGCATTCCCAGGGACTCACCAATAAAGTTTGTTATTTAACTTCTGGATTTCTGTTTTGTTAGATTATCTCTTCTGTGATTTCCATAAACTACCCACAAAGCTTAACCAGAGAAGGGGATAATCAGAACTGAGTCACAGATGTACGGTGCTGTTCATTCTTTAAGTAACTGGGATAACTACATGTAGGGAGGAAGGGTAGGTGTAGAAAGAGGTGAAGCTAGAGGAAAGTGAGGGGAGCCCGAAAGACAGAAAACAGAAGACGGGAGAAGTGAGTGCCCTCCAGAGTGAGGGTGGGGGTGGGAGCCACTGTCTCTGAAGCTTCAAAAGCACCACATGTAGCCTATATCCAAACACCTGCTGAGTGTCTCAAAGACCACGAGAAGCCAAGGTTCCTGCTCACAAAGAAC